AAAGGCCACACATTTGCCATCGACTATCTCCCTAGGTACAGCTCGAGTCAAGAATCTTTCGATTTTTCGTCCGAGTGGGCACTTTAGTGGTCGAGCAGAGGGATTTAGAAGCGGTTTTTGGGCGGCAGAGGGAGCACTTTAGTGATTTTGGTTGGTCTAAAAAGGAATCACGATGGATTCTTGCGAGATTCTCGAGTATTATTAAGACCAATACATAGCTCTTGATTTTTGCCCAAGTGGGCACTTTAGTGGTCGGGGAGAGGGATTTGGAAGCGGTTTTTGTTCGTTAGAGGGAGCACTTGAGTGATTTTGGTTGGTCTTACAAGGATTCAGGGGGGCTTATTGCAAGGCTCTTGAGTATTATTAAGACCAGTAGATAGAGCTCTTGATTTTTGTCCGAGTGCGCACTTTAGTGGTCAAGGAAAAGTATTTGAAATCAATTTTGGTTGGTCTGACAACTCTGGTTTTAAAAAAAGGTCCTGGAACTCTGCAAAAAATGTATTTTTGAACGCTTCAAAGCTTGAAAAGAAAGGGATCAGCTCGATCAAGGTCAAGAAACTTTCAATTTTCGTCCGAGTGGCCACTTTAGTGTTCGAGAAAAGGGATTTTGAAGTACCAGATGAAAATCATGAAACTTTTAAATTGGTCAGGTTTCGGAAAAAATCATTGAAAATTGGTGAAAACCGGCTTCTTTATGCATTTGAGCCTTCTTTTTCAGAAAAAAAGGAAATTTTGGAGATTTAAAACTTCTAAAACGAAATAGCTACATTGAAAAGTCCAAAAAACTCCGCAATTCAGAGTAGAATTAATTTTTTTCTTTTTGAAAAAGTATTTGGATTTTTTTTCCCTCTAAAGTTTTCTGACGGGTTTCTCCGAGTAGCAAGACCATCATCAAGAAGATCGGAACTTCATGAAAACAAAAATCAGTTTTGATAGATTTCCTCATAAATTAATAAAAATATTTCAACGTATAAGTAGGATTTTGGAATACGATTTGAAAAAAATATGCATTTGGGACTGAATTATTTTCCCAAAAAGCTCTCAATTTAAGATTCTTTGGAATTTACCTTGTTTCCTCGGAAAGCTGGATTAATTGAAATCGAAAATTTTGGCTTTTCTCTAAAAAATCGGATTTGAAAGGGTTCCCTTAAGAGATATAAGAAAAAAGGGAAATTCTTGGTTGATTTGAAAAAATAAAGATCTGAACTTACAGTTGCAACTTACAGTTCTTCCACATGAGGTTGGTATCAGGTAGTCCAAATTCTTTAAAGTTTATTTTAAATCTAGGCTTAGACAAAGATAAATATTTTTATTAAGAACTTGTTTCATTGTTGAAAACTATGAGTTCAAGATGACATATTTTTCGAAAGAATCTTTGAAGATTAAAGTTTTTATGAAGTAGAAAAAAGGCTTTCCATCGACTAAGCGGGCTTTGGATCGCAGCCGTATTTGGTCGCTCAAAGAAACTAGAAGGTCGCAAAGAGGTCACTTAAGGGAAATTTTGGATTAGAGCTAGTTGAATCTCAGAAAAAATTTGAGTGAATTTGATCCTAAATCGAGTTATAAAGAGGACACTTAAGGGGAATTTTTTTGAATTTTCAAGACTTGATGAAGCTGAAGTAGAGCAGAAGCCTCTGGCCTGAGTAAAACACTCAAGAGGGCACTTTGGATGAATAAAGCTTCATTGGAACCTCTGGAGCTCATTTTTGAAAAAATTTACAGTTAGCAAAAATGATTTTTTTTTCAATCAATCAAAGTCGTTTCCAGAACAATTTTGAATGAAGTTTCGATTTTTGATCGTGAAGTGGCCACTTTAGGGATTACTACAGGGGAAACTTGACTCAAATTCGTGGCTGGTCACTTTGAGAACTTGAGAAATTTCAAGAAAACGGTATCAAATTTCATGTCCGGGCTACTTTTTTTTGAAGTTCAGCGTGAGAAATCAAGCTTTTTGAGAACTAGTTTCCAAAAAAGGGGGTTTTAATAGCTGGAAAAGTCCCTTAAGTGGTCATTCAGGGCTTTGAAACATCTATTTTGCAAAATTTACAGGTTTTTTAACTTGAAAATTGATAATCTCACTTCTTTCAAAGAGCAAGAAATCAATAAATCAATAATTCGAAGCTTTAAGAAAATTTAGCAGCGCCTGTTTTATTGTGATATGAAGTCACCTTTTGTTTTTTCGTTCCCCGATGACGTCATAGTAGCAAAATAGTTTTCGATCATTTTAATTACTACCCATACAATACGGTACTCAATTTCACTCTGCCATAGAATTGAACAGAAAGGCACCAAACTAGAGACATTCCACGGCGCTCCACTCATTCCTCCAAAAAAAAAGGGGAAAAAATCAAAGTGCCGTCGTCCAAGAAGCAGAGTTGGACACGAGAAAAGACAAGACCGGTCTACATGACAGCCATTCCTCCAAGTAGTCTCTTAAGGGATCCCTCCAAGTGTCGACTAAAGTAACTTCTCAACACGTCATCGCTGTCGTCATTTTTATCGACTTTTTCCTCCTTTTTCTCCTTGGAATAGAGGCGGAAGGGCAAAAGAATGTGTGTGGGCATTCATTGGTTTTTTTGCAAATAAAATGAAGGGAATTTTTAGAGCCGAAAAAAAAATGGGAAAACTGAATTAAATAGCTTTTTGCCATGGTGAATTGAACGGGAAATTCGATATTGGGAGAGATTTTTTTTTTCAGATTTTTCACTCCAATAGCTGAAGGTTTCAAGTTCAAAATGTGGAATTAGATAAATAAAATGAAGAAAAATCAATAATATTCAAAAAATAGCGTTCCTAAGAGTCTCTATTCCATCTCAAACAAAAAAAAATTAAATTTTAAGCTTCTCAAACTTTTTGCATTTTTCAAATCGTTCCAGAACCATTTTATTAAACTTTTTTTCTTCTGATTTATTACATTTTTTTAGCTCAAGCCAATGTTAAAGTTCACAATTACGAAAAAATTGAAATTTTGTTGCCGAAAAACTCCAAAAAAAGTGAAGATTGCTCTTTGAAAAAATCGGCTTCCGAAAGAGTTATGGAAATTTTTAATCAAAAATCGACACTTTCTTTCAATTTTTCAAAAAAATTCTCTTCCTGCGACGCTTTTTTTACCGTAGGCCAATTTTCTGCATTTTTCTCTCAATTTTCTGCATTTTGCACGATCGTTGCGTGACATATAATTAGTTCGAAGGGGGCAGATAAGAGGGCGTCTAACACTTTGGCTGGAAAAAAAGAAAAAAAATCAGCGCCTCCTGGAAATCTTTTTGACGTTCGAAGAGCAGCCGTCAATCGTAATTAGAATTGAAAGTTTCCTTCGAAACATTGAATTTTGAGCTGAGTTCCAAGTGATTTCAAAATAGTAATAGTACAAGGAAAGCGCGTTTTTTTTCTTCCAGGCCTCGGCGCAGAAAAAGCCTCGTTTCTCTCGACCGCCCTCCGACTTTTGCACACTCTCTCGCCGGGAAATGTTTTCCCTCGGCACCTTTGGCCAAAAAGTGGATAAAAATCAAGTCCCAGAGGCAACCAACGGAAGTTTTCAACACATTATTCTATTTTTCACTTTTTCTTCTAGGAACTTTCGTTTTTGTGACATTTGAAGACGGTTGGAGGTATAAATGAATAGGGACGGCCGCGTGACCTGTGTTTGCGTCACCCATTCTCTCTGTTTGGAGGAGTGGCTTGGCAATTTTCCCAATCGCAAAACAATCTTGAAACGACGGTTCGAAAATTCTCACAAGGGACACTTTTTTTTCCCAAAGTGACAAGAAGCTGAATGCCGAACTTCAAACAAAAATCAAAAATGAACCATTTACCAAGAATAATTTCTCCTTGCAAAAATATTTATTTTAAATGTTTATTTTGAATAAACCTTAATTGCGCTTCCCTGAAAAATCGTTGAAATCGGAGATGACCTGAATAAATAACACTGGAAAAAGCTTCTGGAGCTTATTTTTTTAGTATTAATATCATTCTTTGAACATTCAAGCAAGTTTCTGTAAATCAAATGTACCCAATTTGACTTTAAAATCATAGAAAAAAAAACCATGGTTTTCAGAAATGTTCACAAATTCAGTATTGCAACTGCCATATTTAATAACCACACTGTACATTTTATCGGTAGGAATACTATTCAGATCTTATGCAGAAGTGCAAGATACTGTACCATTTAATACAATTTTTAAGTGAGACAAGTTCACTTTCACACGTCCCTCTTAGTTTTTCTCACGAAACGCTTCATAATTTTAATTCAATTTTTCGGTCATAAGACCAATTATCCAAAACACATCTGAAACCGTCGAAAATTGACCCATTTTACTGTATATAATTGTTAATGCAACATCAGGAAATGTTAGCAATAAAATAGACACGTAATAAGGCAATCGATTTCCGCCAAGTTTATACTTTCAAGAGGCATTTTTTACATGAATCCGCTCGAATTTGACTGCAGACATGATAATTTCATGTAGAAAACAACCTCTCCGAGGAAATCCACGAGAAAATTCGGAGCTTAACGATGTACGGGTACAAAAGATAAGCAACCGAACGATGTACGCGGAATGGGCGAAATAGATTTTCGTCGACGACAGCCCATTTTTTGGGGATTCCGAAAAGGGAAGAAATCAGTTTGAATTGTATAACATTGGGAAGCCTGGTTTCTGGCGCATTTAGGGATATATCAATGTCTTGTGAACAATTTTGCTGGGATAGTCTAAAAGCGGTCTGAACGCGTGTGAGCGCTCTTTAAAAACGACGAGTGCAGCGGCTAGGCCACGCCTACTCCGCGCGTCGCGGCCGTGCGAGGTATAAATAGGCGGGCGTGCTCTGGCGGCTTTCTAGTTTGCGAACGCTCGTTGCTGGGTGTTGTCGCTTGGTGCGTTTTTATCTGAAGTTTATTAGAAGACGTCGCGGCTCCGCGCACATCAACGTTGACAGTAAGCTCATCGGAACTAGTTCGTGTTGGGGCTCATTCGAAAGCACTCAGTGAGCTGAACACGGCTATCATGGGCGATACTCTCAATAATGGCGAATACGCGAGATCGTTGTCTGACAATGACTCGGAGCTCGACAAGAAGAAGCGCAAGAATCGTCGCCGCCGCGGCCGTCAGCCAAGATTCCGTCCCTATCCCACTCTGTCGCCCGATGAAGACGTCGACACCGTTGAAGCTGTCGCCGACCGATCAGATCGCCGTCGTAGTGACAGGTTTGTTGAATCCAAAGTTAATCATACATTTTCAGTATCTAGCCCGACTTTTTGTAATGTATGTAGCTCAAAAATGAACGAAAAATTTCAAGAAACTTAGTAAGACATTGCTTTTAAGAAGGCGGTTGTGAAGAGCTCGACGCAAATGGTCACTTCCCTGAGCCACTGGCTCTCGCTGAATGAGGACCAATTCGGGTGTCCTTGTAATCATTTTTTCTCCTTCGTTGTTGAACTCTTTGTGGAATATCACGTTGATTTTTGCTTGTTTCGCACCTTTTCCCTAACGCCTTCCATCCGTCTTAACCGATGCTATTCAGACATGCCAATGGAAAACCGATGGCGCCGTTCAACACGACGCAATTCCTGCTCGAAGACCTGGCCGCGAGGACCGAAGAAGGAGCTCAGGTTGGTTTCCCAAAGCGAAAATGAGGAAATAAATTGATTTCTTTGCAGGATGACCTGAATAAGCTGCCGAACCGACAGCGGTCAATTAGCGTGGGCAACGAACAAATCTCCGTGCATTCCTACTCGGATCAGGGGAGCTCGAGCGGCGAAAGCGACACCGACAAAGGTCTCGATCAGGATTTCGAGACCGAATATCTGTCCGTGAAGCGAGAGCGAATGGACAACATGACTAAGAGCGAGGTTGGTTGATTTTCGAAAATTTGTACCTTTTTTTCGACTTGTGAACATTTTGATATAACTAAAAGCATTAGAAAGTTGACAAAATTAGTTTTTAGCCTTGGATTTCGAAAGTTTCTATTTTCGAGTTTCATTCAAGTTTTTCTATCCCTATTTTTATAATTTGATCATTTTTGCCTGGAAATTAGGATTTATTTGGTATTCAGAATATTTTTCACTAATAGAAGTACATTTTTCAGCTGTGAAATTCGAAATTAATCAAAATTTTTATTTTCGAAAAAATTGTCCGCTTTTTCGGTTCGGTCATTTTCGAAATGGTAGAACGTGTATTTTCACGTTTCGAATATTTTTTTTTAGGAATCCTGAGTTTTTTTTTTCATTGTTCTTTACAGTTGTCTGTTATCTGTGGCATAAAATAAAAAAAAAGTAATTTTGAAAAGGATATTTCACAGATGATAAAAGGATTTACAGTAAAACTATTACTTTGTTTCGAGTAAATTCATTTCGCTCATATTTGACTCGAAATTTCAATTAAAAGTTACTTCAGGCTGGATTTTGATAATAATTGACTTATTTTTCAGTTGCAAGAAGAGTTGTTGGAACGCGATCGCGACACGGAGACGCTGCACGACGAGTGCGAGAAGATGCATTCCGAAAATCGGCACCTCAAGGAACTTTTGGCCGCCAACGGAATCGCCTACGAAGAAGCGCAGCTTTCGCCGGCCGCCCAAAACGTTGCCGCCGTTTGAAAAAAATCTAATTAATTGAATAAATGAATTAGTGAACCACCCAAATAGCTGTAAACCCCTCTAGTGATCCCTATCATTTCTCCGGTCTCGATTCTGGTATCGTCATTTTTTCTCCTCCTTCGCTAGTCCGTCTGATGTACATTCTCGAAATTATACGGGTTGCTTTTTTTCTCTCATTTTTTTGCCTCCTACCGTTGATCGGTTTCTTTAATTGTTCGATACTTCATCTGCTGGGAATGATTGTTATAAAATATGCCCCCCCAGGAATCGGTTAATTGAATATATTGGTCATTTATGGCTCGCAACTCAACCACCTCAGGCTTCTATGTGTCTTTAAGTGCATACGGGTCTGTTGGATTTTGTTGCCGGTTTCTTAATTTCCCTTTTTTACATATTAACTTTTCCGCTTGGGAGTTTGTATAGACTTTAACAATTTTTTTTTCCTAGAAAATAAAATTCCTTTTTCGAAGGCTCTTATATTCGTTTTGTGTCGCAATTATGGCGAAAAGTCGCAAAGAACGCGGCCTCGAAAGACGGAGGTTTTCGAAAATGAGGGGAAAGAGAGGAGGAGCAGATTGTGGCGCGTAAATCGACATCTGAGGGGTACTGTAACACTCTTCCCTGCAAACACGCCGTAGCGAAAAATGCATGCTTTGAAAATGAGAAATTTTATAATTTTTTTAAAAACTATATAAACGAAATTTTTTTTGTTTGTATTCCGTTTTCTAATCTATCCGATGTTGATCAATAACTTTATATTGTTTTTTAGACGCCATGGCGTCATTGAACCGGTCGCTTTTATCGTTATCGAAGCGGGTCATCTGTGATGTACGTGGCATGAAGAAATACCCGTTTCCTGTGACCTATGAGAGTTGGTTTTCTTTTCTTGTATAATTGTTATCGTTTTATTGATTAGATGTACGTTTTCCACCCAATGGGCAGCTCAAACTACCTGCCATGGCCGCAGAACCGTTCTATGATGCCGAAAAAGGAGAGAAAAAGTTGCTTTCTCGTTAGTTTTTACATTAAAGCTTTGAGTTGATAGGTACAAATCTACGAAGCGGATGATCGAAGCAAGAGGAATCGAGGAAATTCACACGGAATTGATTCACGAGCAATATGGATTGGCCGCAATTTCCGGCGGTTTCATTTCCAGCGACGACTTCAAATTCCTTCAAGTTGGCTTCCATTTTTCTTGATTTCATGGTTTTTTGGATTTTCAGGACAGAATAAACAAGAATTTGGTCGACAAGCAATTTGCAGTTTGGCGTGTTGATCCGCCATGGCTTCCCAGAACCAAAAAGGCTCAAGGTCTTTCATATAGAAAGTCAAAAACCCCTTTAAATGACCCCAAAAATAATTTTTTTGTGTTTCATTAAGAAAAACATCCTAAAGGGTTATTTTTTACTTTTTTTATATTCCATTTTTGAAGTTCAATTGGATAAGATCTTTAAATTTCGGTTTTCAGGAACCCGGCTGGGTGGTGGAAAAGGAAGTATCCAGAAATATGTTACGCCAGTGAAAGCGAAACGGATAATTCTGGAAGTTGGTGGCTACATTACCGAAATTGAGGTTTTTTTGAGTTTCGAAACGGTTAAAAATCGACTTTTTCAGGCCCAAGCTTTCCTTTTTTATCTTTGCGAAAGATTTTCATTCCCCGTTGAGTTTGTGAGCGAATCCATGTTGGCGGAACGTCGGAGGAAGGAAGAGCAAGAAAGATTATTGAATAAGAATCCGTTCAATTGGGACACTGTCATAAAGTTTGTTTTATTTCCAAAGACGGGAAAATACTTCAGTGGCCACTTAGGAGATTCCTCAAGAACCACTTGGAGAGGACACTAAAGTGGTCACTAAAACCACTTCTATAGAAGCCATTTTTTGCGTCTTAGTGGCCACTACAGTAGTTTTTAGTAGTCTACTAGTACCAATTAGACTTCTAAAGAGGCCAGTGATGTTTCGCCACTTAAGTGGTCATTATTTCAACTACTATAATGACCACTAAAACGTCAAAGCCCTAAAGTGGTCACTAAAAAATTTCACAGAAGGTGTAAATTTAAAATTTCAGGTACAACATGCAAAATTGCAGCAGTTGGCTTTCAAATTACGACATCGAATGGAAGGGAAAATATCGATAGCGCTCTATTTTTTCGGAATTTATTCTAGAATTTAGAATTTCCTTGTTTTTTTTTCTTGTTTGTCATATAAATTTTTATTGTACAACCGATGGTTTTAGAAATGTATTTTTATCCGTTTGAGCGGAATTCTTACTTGAAAAATTGTTTCGAGGTGAGTTTTCGGGAGTATTTCTGAAGGCGCAATTCTCTTGTAATACTTGAAATATAATTTTTCGCCTCGAAACCTCTAATAAATATGCCCATGCGCCTTTAAAAAGCTCAGCAAGGAGTTTTTTCAAAAAGAGACATGATTCAGCTAGGAATGTTTGTGCAAATCAATTAAGAAGGGATCTTTATATTTTAATAAAATGGCTTTCGATGATGATTCGCTCTCCCTGTCACTCAGGTTAGTTGAAATTTTAGACTTTCTGAAAAAAAAAATTTTCAAGGAAATTCGTCCTGATCGTGGCGGGACTACCACTATCAGGCTTCATTATTTGTGTCGTTTGTGCTTTGTTGCTTCATTTTTGAACAGTCCACGGCAACACACTGTGAAGTTCCCAATTGGTTAGGCTTTTTTTATTGGTTCGGAATGAGAAAAAAAGAGTTTAAAGAAGGAAATAACTGTTTTATAGGGTTCCTAAAACAGATACTTTCGTTGAATGTGAAAAAGCATCATAATTTCTAGATTTTTTTAAGAAGTTATTTTGTGTTATTTTTTTTCTCTAAAAATAAGATTTATGAACGAACACTTCGAAATTTGAAGAATTTCCTGAAAAAAAGTTTGAAAAAATGGTTTAAAATCGTTAAAATAAAATGCAAAATTTCGAATTTTTTTTCGAAAGATGCAATTTTTTCTGTTAAAAAGTTTACTTGGAAACTACTTTAGAACATTTTTTGTTTGCTATAAATGAATGATTTCATCTCTGTGGCGTAGTTTTGAAAATATCAATTTTTGTCATGTTTCAATCATTCTGAAACTATTTTAGTTGTTTAACTAGATATATTATAATGGCTACTTGCTGATTTTTTGCTTTTTTTTTTAATTTTTAGCGTTATAGAGTTCTTTCTTTCAAAATTCTTCATTGAATTTATTCAAATTTGATTCAAAAATAACGATGAACCAAGTTTAAATGGAAAAAAGAATGAAATTTTAACCTTCGTGGTGATTTTTATGGGCGAAACTCTAAATTTGAAATGATTCGGGCATTTTTTGCGAAAATTTTAAATTTGGACATACAAAACATAAATCGTCGTTGTAGGACTCAAAAAAGTTTTTCTAACGGGCCATAAAGTTCTAATTTTGCGTTTTCCGCGATTTAATTTGCTTTTGAAATCATAAAAAAATCAAATATTTTAGCGAATAATTTTGGTTCCAAGGCTTCTATCCATATCTTTATTGCTGTTTTTTTTTTGTCAATTTTGAGCGATATAAATTTCTTTCAATTCAAACGATTCTATGTATTTTTTTCTGATATTGTTCCAAAGATAACAGTGAACGAATTTTAATAGAAATAGCAGGAAAAACGTAATTTTGAACTTATTTGAACACGACATACGTGTTCTCTTCACATTGGCCCAAGGAAAATATTCGATTTGAAGGCTTCCATCAATATCAGCTGCCGTATCAACTTATGCGCCCGAAAAATATATTTGGCGAATATTTATCGGCCTTCACATTGGCCCGAGGCTGGCTGTGGCGTTTGCCTTGAGGTTTTTTTCTCAAAAAAAAGTTAGAAACGTTTTTTTCAGAAACTTTTTTTGATGTATTCGCCCCTCAGACCCTTGACTGGCGCATTTCGCTTCAGAATGTTGTGTCAATTGGCCTGTGGCTTGAATCTATTGGAAAATATTTGCTTATTAACCTTATCTTCCATTTCTTCCACAGAGGATCATGGTTTGAAACGAAATATTGCGCTTTTTTGAGCAATTTCTCGTCATTTTAGGCCTTCACAAACTCAGTTTTGTCATGTTCGAGGTTTGCGCGACGCTGTACATGCTCTTGGCCACTTTCCTGTTTCATCATTCCGGGCGGAGGAGGGCGACGAGCTTGGTTGGTTTTTTTTGTAGTGAAAATAAGTAGGAAAAAGTTCAAAAGTCTTTATTTTATTTTATTTTTTTTATTTTTGAACGTTTTTAAAAATTTTTTTAAATCTTTTTCATCATAAAAATTGGCTTTTTTTTCGAATGTGTGCTTTTTCCCACAACATTTTACAAGTATTGAGTGATTTTTTGAAGGTTTTCGAATTCAAGAATGGTCATAAAAAACTTTTTTTCCCACAAAAATAGTCGAATAACTAACGCCTTTTGCTTTACGCTCTGAAATTCGAAATCATCTCTGAATCTCCAAAATTTAGTTATCTTTCTCGCTTTTTAACGGCTTTCAAAATTTGCGGAATTTTCTCGTGAAAAGCTTCGAAAATTGTCTCAAAATCTCAAATCCCTGTTTCAATTTTCCAATTTCAATCTTCCAGGGTTCATTACTTCAATGTTGGTTCTCCATCTTTTCATTGTATTTCTTAACGATTTGGTTCTCTGATTCTCATTATTCGAAATTAATTCAAAGAAAAAAATTTTAATACTCGAAATTTAATGAATTTTCTAATGAAAAAAACGTCGTGGAACAAAAAAAGCTCAGAAAAATTCTATTTCCGGGGCAATATTTGGCCTTTTTTTCATAGAAAAAAAGTACACAAGACTTTGAAAGGGTAATTTGAAATAATTTTTTTCTCAAATTGTTGTTTTATTGGTTTTACCCGTTTCCAAATTCATTTTAAACATTTCCTGGAAATATCAGATGTTCTCTTCATTAGTCGTGCTATTCTTTGGCAGGATTGTATCGAAAAAGGAAGCGAAAGACATTTTTGGAGTGATTTGCCTTATAGGAAAGGTGAAGTATTCGAAAATTTCCCCTAATAACTCTTGATCCACTAGAAGGCATCCTGAAAGGAGATATACAAAAAAATTTGAATTTTCCGAGAACCGACGCCTCAAAGTCAAAGGAAACTATTTTCAAATGGCGAACTTTTGGGATCTTTATGAACTTTCAAGCTTCCGGTTAAAAAAGAGATTTTTCAGAGATTTCTAGGAAAACAGTTGAAACATTTTTGTTTTGAGTTCTTTTTTATATTCCTTGAGGTCTACAGAAGTTTTTGCGGAAACTTCTAAAAAAACTTGAAGAATTTTATTTTTTTCCAAGTTTTTTTGTTTCATTTCTTCATTGAGTCATTGAGAGCTTCATAGAATTTTCAAAAAGAAAAGTTGAATATTTTTCCTTTTTAGCTCTGTTTCATTTTACCATGAAGTTCTTTACAGAAATTTTTAGGAAAGTTCCAGAAAAAAGGCTATTTTTTTGAGTTGTAAGTTCTTTGTTGTTTTTTAGAATTTTCCAAAAAGGAGGGTAAACGTTTTTTGCTCAGTCATCAAAACTCCAGAAAGTGCCAGAAAGATCAAACTCCATACAAGAACGTTGTGATCAAAACGCGTTTTTTAGTATCTTCTGACGGAACTGTAGATGATTTCCCTTCAGAGTTCTATGTTTCTTTTCTCCAGTGCTTCAAAGGCAATAATTTTCCGGATAATTTCCCTTCTCAGTTCAACGTTTCAGTAATTTTTATAAAAACGTTCCAGGGCGAGAAATCGTACGAGCTGAAGATTCTGATGACGTCGATCTCGGTGATCGGGATCCTGACGGCGAGCTATCTCTACTGGAGACACAACGCCTACTGCGAGCCGGGCGTCTACACCCTGTTCGCCTTGGCCGAGTACGCCATCGTCCTGGCCAACATCGCCTTCCACTGCACCCTGTACTACGACTTCCACGGGAAGAGCGTCGCCTTCACCTCGGCCATCGGATCTGTCGGCGGCGGATACTCCTTCCTGCCTTCCCATATCGAGAAGGACACCTAGAGCTTGAGAAAATAGTTTTTTATTCTGATAGCAAGCTGGGGAAAGGCTGAGAATCGACCTTTTACAGTGAATTTTACGTTTCGTAGCTGAATTTTATGGAAAATGCTTAGTTTAGCTTGAGAAATATTCATTTTCTTGCCTTCCAATATCGAGAAAGACTCGTAGCTTGAAAAAATTCTTTACTCTGATAAAAAAAAAACTGTTTATTGCATCTTCATGTAAGAGTACATGTGCAATCGACTTTCATTGATTTGACTGTGTTTAAACGACGGCAGGAGCTGTGGCTTAGGCAGAGAAGTTGTGGATTCCGCTCGTAGAACATCAGGTACAAGAGAGGTCGTAGGGAGAAGTACGGTGCCGGCTTTCCAAAGGCCGATGGCAGAGATTGAGCCTTTTCGCTGCATGCAGCTTCCAATTTTATCTACCCCGAGGGATGAAAGGCTTGGTCGACCTCGGGGGGACTCGAACCAACGACCTTGCGGACGTTAGAAATGAGTTATGCCAGCTGAGCTATGTCGCTGATCTGATAGAAAGTCGGGAATTCTACGTTTCAGGGCGTATATGAAAAGACAAGAAAATGGATAAATATCAATCTTCTTGCCTTCCCACATCAAAAAAAGACACGTAAAGCCTGAAAAAAAATTCTTTTTTATTTTGACAGAAAATTTTACGTTCCAAGGCTGAATTCTGTGAAAATTATGAATCTCGCTTGAAAAAAATATCTACTTTCTTGCCTTCCCACATCGAAAAAAAGAAATGTAGAGCCTGAAAAAAAGTTGGTAATTTTTTTGAATATTCTTTTTCCTGCCTCCCCATATCAAAAAGATCCGTAGATCTTTAAAAAATGGTTTTTTTCTTTCGACAAGGAGTTAGGAATTTTACATTTCATGGCGGAATTTTGTGGAAATTGTTCATTTTCTTGCTCTCCCATATCGAAAAGTGAGTAGAGCTTGAAAAAAAGCTTCATTTTGATAAAAACTAGAAAATTTTGAGAAACAATCTCTAACGTTATAGCTAATCCTAAACTAGCTTCGGGCGAAAAGGGGCGTGGCTTATCTCCATTTTCATCGTGTCAGGACCCTTTTTTCGATGGCTCAAGTCAGCCTTGAATCAGTTATAACTTTTCAAGTTCCCTGGCCGTATCCATGAAAAATATGTTTTTAGCTTGGAAAAAAAATCAAATTTCTTGCCTTCCATTATCGAAAAAATCAAGTAGAACCTGAAAAAAATGGTTTTTATTCTGACAGAAAAGCTATGAATTTTATGTTTCATGGTCGAATTTTATGAGAAATTTTTATTTTCTTGCTCCCCATATCAAAAAAGACACTTGGTTAGAGCTTAAATTTTTTTAAATAAAGAAAAAAATAACGTCCACTGACTCATACGTTTCATGACTGAATTTTAAGGAGGAAAAAATGAATCCAGTTTATCACTTTAGGATATATCTCTTCTCATATCTAGAAAGACACTTTGAAGATTTTTTGCCGCGTTTTGAAATAATTTTCGAACAAAAAAGAAAGATTTTCTGGTTCAAAACGAGATCGAAAAATGGGGGGAGCTGGATTTTCAAATTTCAGTTTTTTGAGTTTACTTTTTTCAATGACCAGGTTTTTTTGTTGCTTTCCTCGATTGTTTCAAGACAAAATATGAGTTTAATTAAAGAAATGAACTTTTTAAAATCGAAAAAAAAAAGACTTTTTCATGAGAAAAAACTGTTGAAACATTTTTTTTTTGTCATTTTTTTCATATTTTTTTCCCACAATAGCATCATTCCAATCGATTTTGTACCTTATTCTCGTTATCGCAAATGTAATTTTTCTTTTTATTAATACAAAATTTCTATATTTCCTTTTTACATATCATCTTTTTTTTCTTCAGTTCCTGTGATATTTTCCCGAAATGATAGTGGTTTTATTGCATATTTTCCTTTGGGTTCATTTTTTTCCTGTTGAAACGACTAATTATCCGGGTTTTTTTCTTTTTTTATTGTGTGAGAATATTGGTTTTTTTGGGGAGGTTGTGCAATGAAGTTTTTTTGGAATTTTTTTATTTTCTTGATGGTTTTTTTGAATTTTTATGTTTTTAATCATAATGATATCTCGTCTTTTGTAGGAAAGAAAATGTTGAATTTGAATTTTTGAGAAAATCACCGTTGAAAATGGTGTTTTTCACGTGTGACAACTGCTCGGAGGCCCTGAAAAAGAATCAGGTTTGACTTTTTTGAATTTTTTGTTTGAAAAAGAACATTTTGAGGTTGAAAAACATACGTATCGATGTAGAAGTTCAACATATAGCTGCATCGATTGTCAGGTGGTTTTTCACGTGAGTTTTCATTTATTCAATTGAAATTTCTATCAATTTTTGGGAGAAATTCGGGTTTTTTTAGTGGTAAAAATTTCTTTGAAATTGAAGATTTTAACGATTTTGACGTTTAATTTTGAATTTTACCGGTTCAAAATAGGCCCCAATTTGAAGATTGTAATAATTTTGAAGTTTGAAGTTGAGTTTTAAGAGGTAGAAATAGCTTGAAATTGAATAATTTTACGATTTTGACGTCTAATTTTGATCTTCTTACGGTCAAAATAACTTCGAAATTAGAGATTTTGAGAAATTTCACCTTTTTTCCCTGAAAAATCAAAAACGTAGACCCTTTTACCCATGAAAAATTGGAATTTATGAACTTTTTTTCTCAAAAAATTCACCGATACTTCACCGGCTTCCAGTGAATTTTCAGTAAAACTTGGAATTTCGCAGGATTTTTTTTTCTTTTTTTTCTGGGACGAGAAATACGACCTTTTTACCAAGAAAAATGGAATTTTTTTCGAATTTTTAAATTACGGATTTTAACGGTTTCCATCAGATTCTCGCAAAAATTTGAAGTGCATCAGATTTTTCTTGGAATTTTTTTCCCTTAAACGCTCTGGGTTTCAACATTTTGCTAATAAAAAAATAGAAAAATCTTGAATTTTTTTATGTGCAAATTCAACATTTCCACCGGTTTTCAATCGATTTTCAGTATAATTTGGAGCTCCTCGTTTTTGCGACTTCAATTTCAATTTTTTCGTAAAGATTCGACTTTTTTTACCAAGAAAAAAATTGAAAATTTTTGAATTTTAACTTGAAATTTATCATTTTCAACAAGTTTCCAGTATAATTTGGGTGCTCTGGCTTGAAAAAATATATTTTAAAAAATTGAATGAGTTTTCAGAGAGTATTCCTACGCGGCACACGTCAAGTGCATCACTGAAAATCAAAAATACGGCGGCAAAAATTACGTTGAAAAGGAGGCAAAGGTAATTTTTTCGAAAATTTTGAATTTAATACGCCTCAGTGCTTTTTTTGTAGTTCAGGTTAGCTGAAAATAAGGTTACCATAATAAACTTAGTTTCCGGTTTCGTTTCCTTTAAAAAAAGCGGAAATTTAAAAATTTTGCTTGGCTATCGGTACTTGTTGCGTGAAAGTAATTATTTTAATAAGTTTAGGATTTTTTTCAATTTTTTTATATTGGTTTCACAATTTTTTTGATTTTTGCGTCATTCATTTTTTTATTCGAAATATGGATTTTAGTTGTAAAATGAAGTGGTTTTTTTCAAGTTTTAGAGACGAAATTTTTCTGATTTCTGCATTTTTTTCCAGTTTCTCAGAGGGGAAAAAAATTTTTTTAGAACCTAGAAAAGGACAAATTTTAGCTCAATTTATCAATCGAATTTTTTTCTAATAAAGTTTCTTCTGCTTTTTTTTCAAACTAAATTCAAAAAAATTACGCCTATTCAGTATAAGAAAATGAAAAAAATCTATAAAAATCTGTATGTGAATCGCACTTTTTTTACTATTTTTTTCTCATTTTTCAAGGTAAAATATCATTTATATCATATATAATCTTGAAAATGACAAATTTAAGCTCAAATTTTTGATTGAATTTTGGAAAAATTACTTTTTCTCCACGGGGAACAAAACAGTTAATATGTCTCTATCTAAGGGATGACTTTACATCCCTATAGGGGCCACTTGAACTCACAAAAGTGGTCACTAAAAAGGATCTACCCGTCTTTTCAATTTTTAAGTCTGAAAAAATAAATAAATAAAAAAAACCTCGTTTGGGACTAAGTAAGCTTTAGCGGCTTAGGGGTCAGAGTTTAAACCCCTGTAGGGACCACCGAATTTTTACTTCTATAGGGGCCACTATTTTTCCCCTATAGGGACCATTCTGGCGTCTCAAAGTTCTTCGATTTCCAGGGCGAAGTGAAGCAAAATGCGTGGTGTGAACAAGTTTCCCGTGCGATTGAAGACGTCAGAGATCCTCAAATCAAGAAACTCCTTCAAAGTGTCCAAGGCTTTGGAAATATTCCAAGAAAGGTGCAGTTTCTGGGCCAGTTTTCTGTGAAAATGGTGTGAAAATAGGCTTTTTTTAAAGATTTTAATCTTTAAAAAAAGTGAAAAAAACCTCCTATTTTTTTGAAAAAAATCGTTCATTTTTGGAATTTTATCTTTTTTTTTCAATGACAGTTCGTCGGAATATCCTCGGTTTTTTTATTTTATTTCGCCCTTTTTACTGTCTCCATTTATTTTGGTATATATAGCATAATTTTCAAAAAAGTTATTTTTTTAAAAAGAATCATGAAGATGGTTTCCAGTGGAAAATTATAAAAATGATATTTATTTTATTCCCAAGGGATTGACAACTTGACAATGGAAAGAATCATTTCCAGGAGGCCAAATTTATCAATTTCCTCATGAATTCCTGCAAACTGCGCGACCGTTCCGTGGCCCAGAGGACGTGGGCGGCGATCGCCGAAGAAGCCGAAAAGATGCGGAAAGACGCCGAAGAGAAGAACAAACTGTTGGCCGCCGCCAAGGCTCAGAAATCGGCTGAGGTAACAGTTTTTTTGTGGGCAGGTAACTCAGCGCGTGTACCTGTGTTAATCCTAAGTTTTTCGGTCTCAAAAAGTCGGTCCGTTTGGCCGGTTTGGAAAACCAGGCCTCTCTGCAAGTTTGCTCCATGGAACAGTTCGATTTTCGGACTTTTTTCTTCCATTTCTCAGTTTTCGATTATCTGTGATATATGCTCCTTACTTTGAACTAAACAATTTTTTCTTTGTTATCGTTTTTTTTTGGAATTCTGCTTCTTGCCTCATTTACATATAGTTTACATGAGAACATCGTTCATGATTTTTAATTTGCAATTTCTGATTTTTATGAAATGCGGTAACCATCGTATTTTGCTCACGAAAAACGATATAGATAGAAGAAAAAAATAACGGAAAAAAATTGAAAAAATTAAAAAAAGAGAAAAAAAGTCTGAAATTCGAAGTGTTCCATGGAGCAAACTTGCGGCGTGACCTAGTTTTCCAAAAAGACTAATTTTTTTGAACGTCCCTTTTTCATGTTTTTTCTCCTTTTTTGTTGATTTTTTTCAATTTTCTAATTTTCAGACGGCCACAGAATTGGCGGAACAAGCTTCAGTTGCTGACGAAAACGATGGAAAAACAGAGGTTGACACTTTTCTTTTCTATTTTTTAGAAGCTCATCCAGTTTAACTTCAGGAATCGCAAATTTCCGAGCAGTTCAAGTGGAAAAAAGCGATCAAGAGGAAGTTGAAAGAGGCCGGCGGCGAAATGAAGGTGAATTATTGATTTGATGAATAAAAAAAATGAAAAATTATCGACTTTCTCGATCATTAGTCTTCACACAGTTTATTGATAATTTATACGCGATATCGCTGTTTTGAAGGTAGGATGAATTGAAGAGATAACACAACACAAATAATAAATCACACAAGAAAAAAATTTAAAGTTCAAATATTAAAAATTTCTGATAAGAAGTGTGCGCTGACTTGTGCGTCAGGCCGGGGCGACCTGGCCCATGCTTTGGACCTTCATTTTTTTAAGAAAAAAATTGCGCAGGCTCGGGCCAGGCCGGGCTTCGAAAAAATCTTAATTTTAAAAAATTTCACCGAAATTTCTTTTTTTTTTACGTTTTGAATCATAGTTTTTAATGACTCTATGAGAAAAAATATACGAAAACACCCCTTTTCTCGTTAAAAAGCAAAAAAGCTGGCTGACTGGCCGGCCTTCGCACAAGCCTGCTCCGCCGTCAGAAATGTTCGTCTGAGCACATTCTATCGCACGCCAGTTTTTCTCTTCACGTCCACCCTTTTTAAAACGCCGTTAACGGTATCAGAGATGCACGAGAAGCGATCTCGTCTCGAGATCAAAAAATCCCGTTTCGTGCACCCCTACTCTACTGAAATCGTGCAAAGTGCAGTGCCTATGCTGGCATTCTGCAAAAAAGCTTCATGCATTTTGCAAATCCGTGCTTTGCATTTTGCACAGAAGTACCTCGCATTTTGCACTTTTTTCGTCTGTACAAAAGTGAGCCCAAAAAGAAATGCAAAATGCGAGGTTCTTCTGTGCAAAATGCAAAGCTCTGATCTGCAGAATGCGTGCAACTTTTTTTGCAGAATGCCAGCATAGGCACTGCACTTTGCACGATTTCAGTAGAGTAAACGGTATCATTTTGATTGCTTCCAGGTGAAAAAGCTGCGAAAAGAGCTTCTGAAGGAGTACGCAGCGACGACGGGCGAAGAAGCCGATGATGAGACTTTCGACGCGAAACTTTCCAAATCCGGCGTCCGAGTCGAAGGAAAACTCGTCCTTCTTTCTTGATTTTCCCGTTTTTCTCTCTTCTTTGTGATTTTCATCGTTTTTAATAGTTAATTCAGCTTTCATTTCGAGATATAGCCCATTCCGCGCCAGTCTGTCACGTTTTTTTCATGCAAAAATTACCGTATACCTAATTGGACCGATTTTCGCTTCAAGACCTTTTAGAAAAAAAGCCGTGTTTACGGTAGCTTTTTTTCTTCTGTACCTTTACAACGGGGCCGTTTTCCGCGGAATACACTTTAGTCCATTCTGCGCAGGTAGGTCAATTTTTTTCCGGCCAAAATTACCGTATACCAAATTGGGCCTGATTTCGCTTCGAGACCTATTTTTTGCTGTCAAACGGTTTTTTGATCGAAAGGCAAAAAAGAGCCGTGTTTACGGTAGCTTTTTTTCTTCTGTGTCTTTAAAACGGGACCGTCTCGCGCTGAACACTGCACATAGCGTTATCCGCGCCGTTCATTCACGTTTTTTTTTCACGCTAAAATCACCGTATACCAAATTGGAACAGATTTCGTTTCAAGACCTTTTTTTGCGGTCAAACGGTTTTTTTATCGAAGGGGCAAAAAAGAGCCGTGGTTACGGTAGCTTTTTTTCTTCTGTACTTTTTAAACGTGATAGTTTTGCGGGGAACACACATACACTTTATAGTCCATTCTACGCCGGCCTGTCACGTTTTATTTCTGGCAAAAATTACCGTATACCAAATTTGACCTGATTTCGCTTCAAGACCTTTTTTTCTTGAAACGAAATATTGCGGTTTTTCACAACAAAAAAAAGAGCAAAAAAGACTTTTTTTCTGTTTTTTTTTTTAACGTGACCATCTTGCGCGGAACCCACTGTATCTCATATTGAAGTTTAATTTGACTTCCCTGAACCAAAAAAAAAATCATTTTTATCCAATCTGTTGTTACTTGTTGTCTGTTGTCCTTGTTGTTCTGCCGCACCTCCGAAAAAAAAAATGAAAGTTTATTCAAAAAAATAAAGTTTTCAAGCATTTTCCAAGTTTTCTCGATCACTAAAATGCTCCATGTTCTACAGCTTTTTAGCTGGTTATTTGCAAGTTTTTTTTAAATTTATTCATTTTTTTAGTTTTTTTCAAGAATGATTATCCGATTTGGCAGCTTCCAGAAGTTCTCGAAATTCGCATCTTTTCTGAAATAAGTAAATTTTTTTCCATTTTTTTCAGATGAAAATCAGAGAAAAATGCGGACAAAAAAATAAAAACTAAAGAACAAAAAAATACTGTGTCAATTTTTCAGAAATGAGAGCCTTGAAGAATATTTTCAAAACTTGAGTAATAGGAAAAAAATCAAGATGAACTTACGGCTTTAAATTATTTTAATGGTTGGAAATTTTCCGGTTTTATTTGTTTGGGAACGAAGAGCCCTTTATATGAACTTTTACTCCCGAAAAAAAAGGCAAATTACAAAAAAAAAATCAACTTTAACTCCTTTTTCCCTTTTTAATCATAGTTAAGGACTGAAGAATGAAAAAAAAAAATCAATTATTAAAAACCATTGAGAAGAAATCGATTAGAACCATTTTTGTGGCATTTCTAGTGACCACTTTAGTAGCCTCAGCACTCTTATGATCCCTACAATCGCCCAGAATCGTCCGGAGCACGTCCGTTTCGCGTTACCTATATAGAAAAAGGAGCAATCAGACCATGAGACTTTTTTCAATTCAAATTTTTGGCGTGAGGGCGGCAAAAAAGAAAAATTAGACCAAAGAGATGTTCTAAAACCATTTTTTTAAAAACTCATTTGATAAAGGAATAAATATTTTTCGGGAAAAATAGGCTCAAAAGTTCAGTTTTAGCCTCCAATCTTGGAAAAAAAAAAGTTTTAATTGGCTTCTGTGATCAAGTTATGCGGAGAAAAACTAGGTTTAAAAAAATCTTGAAGAGGTTATAATTATCGAGTATAGGACAAAAGCGCCGATTCCAAGAGCGCCGTTCAAATTGAGCGCCAGTTCGCAATGCGCCGTCGCGTGTATGCGCCGTGTATGCAGACGCCGCTGTCTTTTGCGCGGAGTCCGTGTGCGCCAAATCTTTTTGCGCCGTTATTTCAAACTTTCATTTTTTCGCTCTTTTTCTATCATTCTTTATTGATTGTGTAGTACAAATTCATATAAAACTCGAATAATTTTCGCGCCATCTGTTAATATGGACCTTTCTGCCGCATGTTCGAAAAAACTCGAACTATTGTTTCAAGAAAATGAGTTTGACGTTACGAAAAACGATTTTCTGCTGTTTCACGTCTGCTAGAATTGAAACTCTGCCTTACCTAACGCAGAAAATTTGCGACCACAAAAAACTCATTATGTCGTTTAAAGCAGTAATTTTTTTTATCCATTCTCTTTTCATATCGTTTTCTGTATTTTTCGATATCAGGGGATCATATTTGCTTTTTTGTTTGTACTTTGAAAAGGAAAAAGGGGAAAAAAATATTTTACCTGGACCAAAGTAGACCTAAAACTCATCATTAACGGATGGCGCGAAAATTATTCGAGATTTATATGAACTTGTACTACACAATCAATAAAGAATGATAGAAAAAGAGCGAAAAAATGAAAGTTTGAAAAAACGGCGCAAAACGATTTGGCGCAAACGGACTCGGCGCAAAAGAAAGCGGCGTCTGCATACACGGCGCATACACGCGACGGCGCATTGCGGACTGGCGCTCAATTTGAACGGCGCTCTTGGAATCGGCGCTTTTGTCCTACACTCTAATTATCGACTTTCATAAGACAATAAACGGGAAAACCTGGGACTGGTAGTTGATCCAAGGCTTGAGGATGGCTTCGAAAAGAAGAAGTTTATTTATTTCAGGCTTAATGCCAAATTTTTCTCTTTTTTTTCTGTACATGTTATTTTGTTCTGCCTGTAAATAAATAATATTATATAAAGTTAAGCCAACAGATCAAGAAAAAAAGCTAGAGGTTTTGATTTGAAAGAAAACGTTGCTGGAAAATTCGAAAGGAAGTTTGAATTTTAGCTTTCAAAATACATTTAAAACGGATTTATTCGGGTTTTTGAATTTATGGAAAGAGACCAGGTTTTTTTCCTTACAAAAGTATTTTCCTAATAAACTCAGGTTGAAGGATTCATACTTTTCGACTTATTCAAAAAAAAAAATCTGGGAGAAAAAAGAGAAAAAAGGTACAATTTTAGCCTCCAGAGGTCATCCAAAAAAAACTAGTTTTGATAGGATTTCGTTAAGCGGAAAAAACTAGGTTTCAAAACGAAATTATAATTATAGACTTTCAAAAGACAATGAAAAGAATAATCTGAGACTACTAGTTGATCCAAGCTTTTGGCGTGAGAATGGCTTTGAAAAATGGAAGAAGTTATGCCAAAAAAGCACGAAAAGAATTTTTTGTGAAAAATCAACCTTTTTGCTGGAAAATATGAAGGAAAAATTGAATTTCAGCTTTCAAAATTCATTAAAACGGATTTATTCGGGTTTTTTTTTGAATTTGTGGAAAGAGACCAGGTTTTTTCTTACAAAGGTATTCTTCCTAATAAACTCAGGTTGAAAGATTCATACTTTTCGACTTATTCACTGGGAGAAAAAAAGAGAAAAAGGTGCAATTTTAGCCTCCAGAGGTCATCCAAAAAAACTAGTTTTTGATAGGGATTTCGTTAAGCGGAAAAAAACTAGGTTTCAAAACGAAATTATAATTATAGACTTTCAAAAGACAATGAAAAAGAATAATCTGAGACTACTAGTTGATCCAAGCTTTTTGGCGTGAGAATGGCTTTGAAAAAAATGGAAGAAGTTATGCCAAAAAAAGCACGAAAAAGAATTTTTTTGTGAAAAAAATCAACCTTTTTGCTGGAAAAATATGAAGGAAAAAAATTGAATTTCAGCTTTCAAAAATTCATTAAAAACGGATTTATTCGGGTTTTTTTGAATTTGTGGAAAGAGACCAGGTTTTTTTCTTACAAAGGTATTCTTCCTAATAAACTCAGGTTGAAAGATTCATACTTTTCGACTTATTCAAAAAAAAAAAAACTGGGAGAAAAAGAGAAAAAGGTGCAATTTTAGCCTCCAGAGGTCATCCAAAAAAAACTAGTTTTGATAGGATTTCGTTAAGCGGAAAAAACTAGGTTTCAAAACGAAATTATAATTATAGACTTTCAAAAAGACAATGAAAAAGAATAATCTGAGACTACTAGTTGATCCAAGCTTTTGGCGTGAGAATGGCTTTGAAAAATGGAAGAAGTTATGCCAAAAAAGCACGAAAAGAATTTTTTGTGAAAAATCGAACTTTTTGCTGGAAAAATAGAAGCAAAAATTGAATTTTAGCCTTCAAAATACATTTAAAACGGATTTATTCGGGTTTTTTTTTGAATTTGGGGAAAGATACCAGGGTTTTTCCTTACACAGGTGTTCTTCCTAATAAACTCAGGTTGAAGGATTCATACTTTTTCGACTTATTCAAAAACTGGGAGAAAAAGAGAAAAAAGGTACAATTTTAGCCTCCATAGGTCATCGAAAAAGCTATCCTTGGTCAAGTTATGCGGAGAAAAACTAGGTTTTGAAAAAAATCTTAACGAGATTGTAATTAAAGACTTTCAAAAGACAATAAAAAAAGAATAATCTGGGACTACTAGTTGATCCGAGCTTTTGGCGTGAGAATGGCTTTGAAAAATGGAAGAAGTTATGCCAAAAGAGAGGTCCTGAGGACGAATAAACTAATGCAATAACGTAGGGCCCCGGCCGGCGGCTGGCTATCGATCGTCGGGGACGTCGGTTGGATTGGACGAGGGGAGAAGCCTCTCCGGAAGCGCCCTCAGGCGACGTCCCGACGCAGAAGACGTCGTCCGGAATCCGCTTCTGAAGTCGCGGCGACGACGACGTCGTCATGGCCACTACTAGGGCCGCCACTTGTGAGTTTGATCCATCCATTTTTTTAAATTTTAAAGTTGTTTTTGTAGAGAAGGATTTTTTTCTATGAATTTTTTTAATTTCGATTTTTCCTGGAAAAAGTTGGCTATGAGTCAAGGACGGAAAAACGAAGGTGGAAAAAAATCTTTTGAAAAAAAGTGTGATTTTATAGCATTTTTTTGAAGTTTTGGTTCTGGATCAAAGGGAAAAAGTTTTATATTTTTTTAAAAAGTGTAAAAATTCAGTTTTTTTACTGGTAAAGTTTGATTTTTTCGCTTTTTTGAGTGTTTTGGCCTCCAATTGAAGAGGAAAAAAAGAGTGTTTCATATTTTTAGAAGTGAAAAAGGTTTGATTTTATAACTTTTTTGGAAGGTTTGGCTTCAAATTAGAAAGCCAAATTAGATTTGTTTGATCTTATAAGTAGCAAAATTACATAGCTTTTTTTGAAAGATTTGGCTTCTAACTGGTGGGGGAAAAAAAGGAGTTTTTATAAGTTTATAAGTCGAAAAAAATCAGTTGTTCTACTGGAAAAAAATTTGATTTTTAAAAATATTTTAGGAGAGTAGGCTTTGAATTGGATGAGTAAAGAGAAAAAGTTTCATTTTTTTAAAAAGTTTGCACAAAAATTTTTTTATAGCGTTTCTCGGAGAAAGTTTATTTTTAGTTTGTAGGGATATAGAATTTTCATATTTTATAAATGGGAAAAAAAGTTTTTTTCGAAAAAAATTGGTTGCATAGTTTTTTTGGGATATTTTTTTATTGGCTTTGAATTGGAATGACAAAATGAGAGTTTTATATGTTTAGAAATGGAGAAATCAATGTTCTACTGGAAAATTTTGATTTCATAGTTTTTTCGGAGGCTTTTTTGGACATGTTTGACTTTTCGAAAGACTAATTTGTTGATTGAAAGTTTTGACAGTTGATATGCAATTTCTGATTGAAAAAAGGCAGTTTTTACAAAAAAAGAAAAATCGAATTTTCTTCCGAGAGTTTATGAATTTGGAGTTTAAAAGATTATTTTTGCAATATTTGACTTTGGATCGAAATGAGAAAGGCGGAAATGTTGCTCGCATCTGAATTTGCCGTTTCACTTCCTGTTTTTTTGGGTTCTGCCTTTGATCAAATTGGTTGGATTGTATTTTGTGTGACGATAAAAATTTAAGTAAGCTTCTTTTTTCCTTTTCAAACTTGCAAAACAGCTTTTTTGGATATTTTAGGTTTTTAAGGGTATCCTCAGGCATGCTGGAAAAGTCGCGTAGAATTCTTGATTTTAGTCAGTTTTTAAGTTTCGAAAAATCAAAGATTACATTGCCGGCCCAAAATAGGAAATTTTGTGTTTTTTCAACAGTTTTCATGTAAAAATTTCAAATTTGACATGAAATCGAAATTTGTCAAGTGCGATATAGTCTTCACTAAGATTTGAGAGCATTTTTTTAAGCGAAAACAGAAAAAAAGGTTTTTGTAAATTTAATGTCGCTTTTTTTGAAAATTGACCTCGAAAATCGTCACATAATGAAGAAATAGATACTTTAAAACCGTTTACAACTTTTAAAAAGCCCAAAAACATTTCAAAATTTAAAAACTTGAAAATTAGACGTTATAGAAAAGTGACCGACTTTTCCAGAATACCACTACATAAATATTGAAACGACCAATATCATAGTTTTGGGCTTTTTTTTGAACTCCAATGGAAACAGGAATCGAGAAAAACGATGTTTTCGATTAGAAGCTCAGAATTTTTGCTCGGAACTTTTTTTTTGAGGGGGCAATAAATCAAGACATTTTTTTTTTCGAAGTTGTTTTCGAATTTTCGACATCTTATCTACAGTAAAAAAATAAAAATTTTTTAGTCCGCAATTCAAAAAAAGGTTTAAGAAAAATGAGATCCTTTGAAATTTCGTCTTAAAAATGCTGTGAAAAATCCATATCTGTTTGAAAAAAAAACAAAAAGTCGTTAGAAAAAAGTCCTCTTGAGCCTTGAGAAGCTGCAAAATTTAAAATAAAGGTTTTATAACGAAAATTCCTGAATCTGTAACCACAAAAAACAGCTTTTTGGTCCCTTTTACCGATTCCACGACGATTTTTATTGTTGTTCATAGTGAAATTGAAAGAAATTGGTGGCGTAATAGGGGAAGAAAAATGGCAAATTGAGCGGTTGTGCTAATCCGCAATTGGCTAGCTGATTGAGCAGGACTGACGCCGAAAACAAGGAACGACAGAGTGGTCCCTAGAGTGGCGTGGGTCCCCCTTCAGGAACCCCCTTACTTCCTCCTATGGATAAGACTGAAGCTTGCATAATTGGCCACTTTAGGGAGGGTCCTAGAGGTCCCTAGAGGGATCAAAAAATAAAATACTGCTATAGGGACCATTTAAGCTTCTGGGGCTCAGAAATCAGATTCTAAACTCCTATAGGGACCATCTAGATTTGTAGCCTTCTGGGGAACACTATTTTGTTCCCTATAGGGGCTTTTTTTGTCATATACCCTAAAGTGACCATTCCGGCGTGAGAAATATTTTTTTTCGAGAAATTTCAGTTTCAATTGAATTTTATATGACTCACTAAGAGCTTGTCACAGTTGGTGGAGGAAAAAAGCAAGTTTTCGGCATTTTTTTCCCTTTGAGATTCGATTGTGAGCGCCGGTCATGATCCTTTAAATTTTGAGGCGGCAATTTCAATAAAAAAATTTTTGTTACTATTTTTTTCTCGCTTCAAAAAAATATTTGATTTTTTTAGAGAATTAAAGGAGTCAGACATGAAAAAAATTAGGTTTTTGGAATGTAAATTAATCTTATGTAGTGTTTTCGAAGACCTTTTTGGGTTATAATTGAACAAAAAAATCAGTATTTCTTTTGAAGAAAAATCAAATTTTATCATAAATCCTGTTTTGAACTTAGTTCGAAAAGATCTTCAATGTCTTTGGTTTCCTAGCAATTCTCAAATAATAGTAAAAAAAAAGTACCCCAAAATTGACTTCAATGCAACAAGGAACTTATATAAGCCAAGGAGAACTCGAAAAGATCGATTTTTGCAATTTGAAGGGGAAAATTGTCATTCATTAAAAATGAAATATTTCACAGAGAATATTCAAAAAAATTCCATCAGAATAGAAGCGTTCATTCAGGCCGAAAAAAATTTTATAGAAACAGCAAAAAAACAAAAGAAAATAAAAAAAATTGAAATTAAGACAAAATCTCTAGAAAAAAAAAATATGAGTTCCACTTTACTTCATATCATTTTTTGCTCGGTTCAGAAATTTTAATTGAAATAAATTTCCATTTTTCTTTGATTCAGATTGTGCTATTTTGACTGTACGTTTTATTCCAAGGATCAATACAAAAAAAGCCTCAAAAAAATGATTTCAAAAAAATTTCATTTTTCTACCAATTTTAAAAGGCGCATAGGGAGCACTGACCCAAAAAAACTTGTAGCGAATAATAAAAAATGGTAGTTTTTCATCAAATGAGGCTTCAAAGAAGCGCGTAAAAGAAAAAAAATATCATTTTTTTTTCACCGATCTATTTTTTTTAAAGGCGCATAGGAAAAAACTGACTAAAAATCTCGCAGCGAATAATGAAAAATGGTAGTTTTATCAAATGAGGCCCCGAAAAAGCGCCTGAAAAAACAAAAAATTTCATTTTTTCATTGACCTATTGTTTTTGAAGGTGCATAGGAAAAACGGACTGAAAGTCTTGCAGCGAAAAATGATAAATCGTAGTTTTCATCAGAGGTGACTCCGAAAAAAAGCGCGTGAAAAACTTAATAAAACAAAAAAATTCCATTTTTTTTTTTACCGACATATTATTTTTAAAGGCGCATAGGAAAAACTGACGGAAAGTCTTGCATCGAAAAATGATAAATCGTAGTTTTCATCAAAGGAGACCCCGAAAACCGTGAAAGCTCGATGAGACGCCTACACTAGCCGCCTAAATTAAGAGGCCACGTCATTAATTGGCTCGGCATTCGTCAGAATATGGGGAATAGGGGCGTTTAAAGCCATTTAACCAATTATTGAGCCGTTTAATTCGTTGGAGCGCATTTCTGGAATTTAATGAAGTTTTGTTCAAAGAAATAGGATATTTTGACGGAATCCTTGAGGATCAGAAGGGTAATTTTGATTTTAGGAAGAAGGAAAGGTTCTAGTTTGATACTGATAAAGAGGGTATATCAAAGACTTTTCGAGGATTTTTGAAAATCAAGAAATGGAATGGATGCGAAGTTGATGGGACAAGAAGGAAAAGGAGGAAAATCTGAAAAAAAAGTCAATTCGAAAATGAAAAGTACCTTTTCGTTTCTGATGGAATGGTAGCCTTCGGAAACCTCAAAATAGCGATTTTCCACTTTGAAAGAGCTTGAAAAGTGAAACAAGGGGAGATTTCTGCACTTGACACGGGAAATTTATGAAAAAAGGATACAGAAACAAAAATGAGACATTGAAAAAGAAAACAATAAATTATATTCAAGACAAAAATAAACTAAAAAAAAAGACAGATCGCCCCGGGCCAAACCGACCCGAGGGTCACAATTTCAAAAGAGCCGTTTTTTTCGTAATACATCCACTACTGTTTTTCACACCCTCTTTCTACATTTCCACTCATTTTAAATTTGACGGGTCGGGTCGCCCTATGGCGACTGCTTCAGTTGCGGGTCGCCCCAGGGTGCCCCGTCGGAAGCTCGGCTTTACGCGAAAAAGAAAGACTGAGCTTTCATTTAAAGGCATAGGGGCAGTAAAAAACGGTGTTTCAGTTTAAAGCAGTACTTTGTAGAGTTTTTCACTGCGAATCGAACGGTAAACTTGGAAACGTACAGAAGTTCATAGTTTTGGAGAAAAAATAATTCAAAGTCGGAGAGAGGAAAGTTTGAGTTCCCGCAAAAAGGGCACTTTGCAGTAAAGTTGCTCTATGGACAACAGGCTTTCCCATCTTCCGGATTTTCGCTTTTTTCTTCGTCTCTTTCAATTTTCAATTTTTTCTGTTGTCACCAAAGGTCTTTTCGTCACAAAAGCTTTCTATTCATGTATAATTTGCAAACTTTGATCGCAAAAATGCTCCTTTGGTGAGAAATGATGATTTTACACAGGTTTCGATTGGGATAGCGATTATTTGAGTTTCCTTTATTATCGGTGTGTGTTTTTTGTTTGACTAAACGTTTTTTCAGAAAAGAAACCCTTAATTTGAATCAGAGAGCCGGTTATTTCTCACAAAATGCGATTCTAATGAGACGTCCGCAACATCGCGTGCACGGCTACTGTAAACATTTGTCCGTAGGCCGATCCAAAGCTTTTTTCAAAAATAAAGGCGGGAAAGTAAAATCGCGTTTTTCTTCTAAAGTTGTCACATCTTTAATTGTTTTGAGTACACCATTCGATTAGCAAAGAAAAAAACTATATAAGATACTGCTTTCACCTGAAACCCCATTTTTTACTGCCCCTATGCCTTTAAAGTTTCTCAAGTGAAATTTGAATCCAGCGGATCCGTTTGCGGTTACAAATTACAAATTAGTAGTTCAAACCGAACGAAAATCAAGTTCAGAAAACGATCTTTAAGTTTCAAATCAGAATTTTTGAGGGGAAAAAAAAGTCTTTAATTTGATTTTGCTCACTGGTCGAAAAGTCAATTTCCAATCCCATGAATAAAACTAACAGAGGTAGTCTTCAAGATTCTACAAAGAATGAATACAAGTTTTCATGTCCCTCTAAAATTTCAGATATAAATGCCCCCTTATGTCTTTGAAAAGTACAAATTATCAGTTAGAAAATGGAAAAATGATGGAGAATCAGTCATTGTTTTAATTTTTAAAGTTTTTAGGTCTGTGGTGGGTTTTGTAGTTTTTAGTTTATTTAAAGGGGTTCAAAAATAAAATACAACAAGGAGCCTGAATTTGAGGAGCTTGGATTAAGAGTAAAACGATACAATTCCAAATTTCAAAATTGCGATCTTAAGGGAAGGTAGGCATTGATCTAAAGAATAAGCTCGAGGGACGAAGATTTGAGGACAAGGAACCAAAACAGAAAATTTGAGTGTAGAAGCTTCTTCTAAAATGGCAAAAAAGGACATTTCAGCGGTAGACTTCATAAAGTAGTAGTTTGAGGGCTGTCAAGAAAAACTCCAAAGTTTTAAATCTTGAAGTTCCGATTTGAAACGAACTGGACCTACCTGCATTTGACAGGTACAAATTACAAATTAGCAGTTCAAAAAGCAAGATGAAAGGACAAGGAAAAAAGACAAAAAAGGAGAAGAGATGAAGCATTCTTGTAAGAATGGGAAAATGAACATTTTAAAGGTAGACTTTGTAAATTGAGCCTTTAAGGACCCTTGAGAAGAGCTTCAAAATTTCAAAGCTTGAAGTTACGATTTGAAGGTGGAGGTAGCTTTCATATTTCTCTGAAGAAGGGGCCTACAATTTGAAGTCGCTTTAAAGCTTTAAAAGAAGAGATGAACTGCACCTACCTGCATTTGACAGGTGAAAATTAGCAGTTCAAAGAGCAAGATGAAAGGACAAGGAAACAAGACAAAAAAAGGAGAGAGAGAGCTGGAAATGTGGGAAAGGTGGACCTCCAGGCGGCTTCCGAGAGCCGGAGGACCGCCCATCGGCGTGTGTAGAGTGGGCGTGGCTGTGAAGAACCGCCGCTCTCCGCGACGGCTGGCTGACGTCGCCGGCGGAGCCAAGATGATCCCGAAGCTCCGCTGACGTCGCCATCGTCACGTCTTCGCCGCCATGGCTTACCTTCTCAAGTACTACACATGTGAGTTGGATGGGCCTGTAGGAGGTGTAGGTGTCCTGTTATGACATTTTTGGGAAGTTTGAGAAGTTTTGGAGCTAGAAGATATTGAGCTGAAAGATTAGAAAGTTCTCGGACCTCGGTAACGGCAACCGGTCCTTTCTGAGCGATCCTAGGGGTCACTTAAGAGGGCTCACATTGCTATAGGGATCACTAGCAGTGCTCAGAAACGTACGAATCGCATTACCAAGACTCGAGTAGATTAGAAGTTTATTTTTAGGTTAGAAAAAGAAAATAACTTCTCAAGCATTTCACCTGTGAGTTGGTTGAACCTGTAGGAGGTGTGTGTGTCCTGTTATAACATTTTTGGGAGTTTGAGAAGTTTTGGAGCTGGAAGGAGCCAGTTAGAAGATTGGTTTCAGATCAGAAACATGAAAAATCTTCTCAAGTATTTCACATGTGAGTTGGTTGAATCTGTAGGAGGTTTAGGTGACCGATTAACTTTTTTTTGGGAGTTTGAGAGGTTTTGGAGCTGGGAGGAGTAAGTTAGGGAAATTAAAAAATTATTGGACCTCGGTAACGGAAACCAGACTTGTCTGAGCATCTCTGGGGGTCACTTAATAGGTCTGACGCTGCTATAGGGATCACTAGCAATGCTCAGAAAAGTACGGCTCGCATTATCAAGGACCGAGTAGATTAGAAGTTTATTTTTAAGTTAGAAAAACCTTTTTTCACCTGTAAGTTGGTGAGGCTATTAGGAGATGTCTCTGTCCTGTTGTTACTTTTTCAGGAATTTTGAGAAGTTTGAAAGCTGGAAGGAGAGAACTTGAAGAATTAGACGGTTTATAGAGAATTGAAGAGAGAGATTTATACGATTCATACTGGATTTCGAGGTTTGAAAGTGGTATACTTTAATTTTAACGAAAAAAAGCCTGAGTTAAAGAGATTAAAGCTTTTTTCAAAACGCAAAACCTTGGTATTCTGGAGAGCTTCTGCAAAAGGTGGTAAGGCTCATCCAAGAACGTTGAAATAACTTTATGAAGTACTATTAGGAACGTTGAAAAACTTGAGCAAAGTTATAAGCGAAATTCTTATGTATATTGATTTTTAAAACCGAATAATGCTTCTCATGAGCATTCAACACTGGAAAGTTAACCTAAGAACTTCAAAGAGACAACCAAAAGATCAAGTTTGCCAGGAAATTGAAAGAAAGAATGAAGCTTCTAATTTCATTCCCCTTTTTTTTTCAAAGTGAAGAAGAAATCTTCGAAAGTTGCTGTATTATATTTCCAGAGACCTTCTCAATTTAGTTTTATTTGCGAAACGAGAAGAAGGGTGCGTGGGAAAATGGCGTGAACATATTTCGTGGTCCTTTTCAGCAGAGTCACTTTCGGAATGTTGATTTATGAACGTTTGGTCGAGCTTGAGTTTGGAAAAATGAGAAGTTTGGGAAAATTTTGGTTGTAGATGAGTTTCCCATTGCAAATCAAAATGAAATAAAAATAGAATTACGAATTTTCCGCTTAAACGTTCTTTCAAGTCAGATGAATCTTTATTTGGAAGATTTATGTATGAAATAAAAAAATATTATTTTTAAAGGTTGACATTTCTTAAAAAAATTTTTTTGGCGGCATTTTGAATGGCTCGAGGTTGAGTTTGGAAACTGGTCCTTGACGTTTTTTCAATTAATTCTGCGAAGTTTTAAAAATTCAGAACCTTCAAACTTCCTTTTTTTCCTGATATTTTCCGGAGAGTTGAGAAAAAAAACTTCAAGTTTTCTGTTCGAAACCGAAAATTGTCTTGCAGACAAATAAAAAGTAGGTCTTGCAGCTATATCCGTTATAACATCAAAGAAACTTTCAAGAAAAGGACTATAATCTTTTTTTGAAACGGGAATCTGTTCTATGGGCTTATTTGTTCCTTCCAGCAAAGTTTTGACTTAAAAGAATGGGTTATAACTTTTTATAATAAAACTTTTCAGTCTCGGCGAAAATCCGAACGTTGGCCGAGTTCCAAGTGAGACTTTCGACGAATCAGCAGCCGCCTTCAAACGCCGAAATCATAACGACACTCCGCTACTTCCAGCAAACCCTTATTGGGTTAGTTTTTGGGATTTTCCAAGGAAAAAAAAACACTTATCTTCGTTAGACGGGCCGAGAAAGGCGGATAATTGGCGGGGAAATCTCTTTTCCGTAGGGACCTTTCGAGAATTGGAAGAGGAGCGGTCATTTTGGAGGATTTACAGCGGCTATCTGTCAAGTCTTCCTTAATGGGATTCCTCTTTTATATTTCTCTTAAGGGGTTGCTTGGAACATTTAGTGATTTTGAGTGATTCATTTACTTCGAAAATAAAGATATCGGGTAAGTCTTTCTTGATGGGATCGTTCTTCTTGATTTTAAATTTCTCTTAAGGAGTTACTTGGAAAATTTGATTCAGTTCAAAAATTGATTAAGAGGTTCTACGTCTTCTTGATTTTATATTTTTCTTAAGTGATTGCTTGAAGATTTTACGAAATTCAACGAATACTAGAAGCTGTGAGCTTTTCAATGAATTTATTTCGAAAAGTAAAATATCTCTCGATTCCCCTTAAGTGATTGCTTTGAGCCTTCCGTGATGGGATTATCCTTCATGATTTTTTACTCCTCTTAAGTGGCTGCTTGGAAGGTTTTGAGATTTTGAGTGATTTAGGAGTTCTCAACTTTTTTGTAAATTGATGGTAATTCTCTTAAGTGATTGCTTAGAGTCTCCTTGTGATTCTATATTCCCCTTGAGAGGTTGCTTGGAGAATTTAGGGATGTTAACTTTTTGATAAATTTATTTTAAATTGGAGATAACTTTCAAGCTTCCCCTGAAGGGTTCCCTCTTAAGTGGTTGCTCCGAGATTTCCGTAGATTCCTCTCCTTGCTTTTATATTTTCCTAAAGGGGTTGCTTAGAGAATTTAGGGATCATCAGTGATTTCAAAATTTTGTGAACTTTTCGATTTTTTTTTTAAATCTCAAAGTTGAAGATGTCTGTGAAGTCTTCCTCAAAATGGTTTTCTTAAGTGATTGCTATAAATTATCAATTTTTCCCGGAGCTTTTGCAATTTTCAACTTTTTTAAAGTTAATTGAGTTTTTTTAAATATGATTTGAGTAATTTTTGGTTTCTTCCCCCTTTTTCGAGCTCCTACGCATAAGTGCAACAACCAAAAACACCAAAATAAGCAATTTTGAGGGCCCTTGAAAACTCATTTTTTCTCTTCTGAAAGCCACCCTTTGTCCTGCGAGGCACTCAAGAGGTCACTTGAACTTTTGTTCTTTCATGGAGCTGGCTTTCACTAATGGGATTCATTTTTGGAAGGATTTTGGATTAAATAAGTTAGAGGGTTTGACCAATCTCCGATCTTTCCGAGAAGGAAAAGTTGAAAAAGACGTTGCGTCAAAAAATTGATCGATTATTACTGGAAATCGCATAAAAAGACCAGAACTTCTAATCGAAAAGATCACTTGAGGGTTCACTTAATGGCTTAGACTTTTCCCATTGATTTGGAAGACCCCAGAGGAGGACAAAGGCTATAAAGTCGCTGAGAAACCACTCAAGTGGTTACTTGAAATAGAAAACAGTTTCTTCACTAGAAGCTCATCAAGTTTGTTGAGCTACTCGGATCTAGGTGACGCTAATCGGGTTCTGAGTGGTCACTTTAGCGGAAACCCTTAAGGAATCCCTGGAAGTGATTCGGGTTTTCTGGAGTTTTTTTCGGTCTGTTAGAGCGGATTTCATGAAAGACCACTCAAGAGGTCACTTGAAAGAGAAAATTATTGGGCAATATATAAATCGACGTACTTGGACCTTGGTAACAAAAAACACGGAGGTTTCTGAGGGATCACTTTAGCGTCGTCAGAACTCTTTAGTGATCTCCAGAAATAGTTCGATTTTTACGGTTTGCCGAGGTCTGACTTGTCGGCTAGCTGTTTGAACGATTTCCCGTGAAATACCACTCAAGAGGTCACTTGGCTAGGAACTATTCAACAACTGAAAGCTCAATGAGTTTGCTCTACCAGGACCTCGGTAACACGCCCCGGACATTTTTGAGCACGTCTAGTTATCACTTTAGGGGCGTCAGAACCCTTAAGGGATCACTAGAAATAGGTCCGACTAGTCTGTTAGAGCGGTTACCCGTGAAAAACCACTCATGAGGTCACTTGACTGAGATAACTATCGGGCAATATTAGAATCGATGTAGATGCTTGGACCTCGGTAACACAAATCCCGGACGTTTCTGAGTGATCACTTTAGGGACCTCAGAATCCTTAAGGGATCACTAGAAGTGGCTTGGCTCTCCCCGTTTGCCGAGGTCCGACTGTGAAAAACCACTTAAGGGATCTTTTGAAAGAGACAAAGTTTGACGAGACGGAAATCGGTTGAGCTACTCGAATCTCGGTAACACAAACCCCGGACGTTTCTGAGTGATCACTTTAGAAACGTCAAAACCCTCAAGGGGTCACTAGGCATAGTTTGGCTGTCCCCGATTGCCGAGGTCTGACTAGTCGGCTAGTCTGTTATGCCGTGTTCAAAGTAATTTCCGCGAAATGCGAAATTGTCTCTGAGCCTCCAAAATTTAGTTATCTTTCTCTTTCTCTGACGGCTATTTTGAATTTCGCGGGATCACTTTGAACACGGCATTAGAACGATTATACAGTACTGGCCATAAAGGTATTTCAAAGTGGTTATTCGAGCATAACTTCTCTGAAAGTGGCTCAAATGACTTGAAACTTTGAATAAATTTTAAATAACTAAGCAGTAATTTTTTCCCAGAAGAAGAACTCATTTGCTCAAGTAAGACCGAATTTTAGAGCAAAAAAACCAAAAATCGTGAAAATGAAGATTTTTCTCCTGAGATTCGAAAAATCATATCTTCAAAGAAACTTCGATTTGAAATCAGAAACTTTTTTTCCCCGGTAAAACGAGACTTCGGCTTTCCAAAAAGTTCAATCAGCCCTTACCAACCCGATAGTAAGAGCGTAGTGACTTTTTCTTTGGAAGGCCTTTGCGTTTTGACGCATCGTCATTCAAATGGACTATACGAGGTCATTTTTGTTTGAGAACACCATGTTTCATGTTGAAAAACTTCAAAACACCCTCAAAAATAGTTTTATACTGTTTTCTTCAGCTTTGTCACTATTCCTCTCGGCAGAACTCGCTTACTTCACTAGGTCTGATTTTGAAACCTCTGATTTGGAGCGGTTCTGCTCGTTTTTCAAAATCAGAACATTCTCAATTTCTTATTTCAGATTCCAAAGCTTTTTCAGATCCTTTATGAATAAAAATAAAAAAAGATTCACTGTGTTTCGCTTACCTATTCAAAAGATATAGTGAGTTATACTGAGTTCTATAAAGTTCTCAAAACTTCGTTTCAGCAAGTGTTGCTTAGAAGGCTCTAAATCTTGTGAAATATGATAAAAAACCCCTTTTTTTAAAAATTTTTTTAAACGTTTAAGATCATTAGATAAATTTGTAACTCCTCTTTCTAGCTCTCAGGTCAAAAATAGGGCATTGTAAAACGTTTCTTCAAACTTTATGGGAAAATAAGCTTTTGATCTTGTGAAACTAATGCTTCAGCAAAAAAATTAGCAGTCTTCAGGAAGTGGGAGACTGCAATTTGGCCATTATTTATTCTCGAATTCACGATTGAAAAGCGATTGATCAGACAAAAACTGCTTTGAATGCCCGTAAGTCCAGAAAAACTGTTTGAATCCGAGCTTTCAAAATCAGACCTAATGAAGTAAGCGAGTTCTGGAGAGAGGATATAGTGACAAAGCTTAAGAAAACGGTGTGAAACTATTCTTGAGGGCCTTTCGAAGTTTTTCAACATGAAACATGGTGTTCTAAAACAAAAATGACCTCGTATAGTCCATCTGAATGACGAGGCGTCAAAACGAAAAAGGCCTTCCAAAGAAAAAGTCACTACGCTCTTGCTATCGGGTTGATAGGGGGCTGATTAGGTTTTTTGGAAAGTCGAAGACTTGTTTCACCGGGAAAAAAGTTTCTGATTTCAAATCGGAGTTTCTTCGAAGATATGATTTTTCGAATCTCGAGAGAAAAGTCTTCATTTTCACGATTTTTGGTTTTTTGCTCTCAAATCCGGTTTTACTTGAGCAAATGAGTTCTTCTTTCGGGAAAAAGTTACTGCGTAGTTATTTAAAATTTGTTCAAAGTTTCAAGTCATTTGAGCCACTTTCAGAGAAGTTATGCTCGAATAACCATAACATATCGATGTACGTGAAATACTACTCAAGAGGTCACTTGACAGAGATAACTATTGGGCAATATTAGAATCGATGTAGATGCTCGGACCTCGGTAACACGCCACTGACGTTTCTGAGCACGTGTAGTTATCACTTTAGGGTCGTCAGAACCCTCAAGGGATCACTAGAAATAGGTCCGACTAGCCTGTTAGAGCGATAACCCATGAAAAACCACTCAAGAGGTTACTCGAACTTGAATAAACAGCCTCACATCATTCCAAAGATGACGTGGCTCTTGGCAATTGTCCTCCTTGTTCTTCTTTTTCTGCTTCTTCCAGTGGGCAATTACACTTTGTGTGCGACGGAGCGACCTTCGCAAGCCCGTTTGATAACTTGAGCTCTTCTGCCTCGTCCACAAAATGATGATGATGATGCATTTGTGTCGGCCGACGACGACGATTCATTATTCGCGCAAGGAAATTTCGAAAATTCTTCCTCCCGAGTTTTACCGGAAACGTGGCCGTGGAAGGACAGCCCCACAAAGTAGACGAAAAATTTCCGTCGACATTTGGCGCCGGCGGCTCCCCAAAATCAACGCTAACGAATCGGCCCCCAGGAAGAGCCACTCGACGGCTTCTCCGCTTGGAAAAAAAAAAAGAAATATGAAACAGCACAAAAATGGGGAAGAAAAAAGGTTTTTGGATGATTTTGCAATGGTTCCAGAACATGTCAAGGACCAATTTTCACAGAATAAATAGGAAAAAACTAGCCGACAAATGAGCCTGATCTGTGGAATATGCGCCCTACTGGCAAAACTTATGAATTTTAAAGGAGATTACCTGGAAAAAGTACTGAAAGAAAAGGAGAGTCCCTGGAAAAAACGTTTTAAAAAGACTTCACACAGTAACCTGAAAAATCAGCCAAATAAATGTTGCCTTGAACATTTCTGAGGAACATGCGCTCTACGGGCAAAAACTCATAAATTTAAAAACTGAAAAATAAATGAGAGTCCCTAGAAAAAAACGTTTTTAAAAAGGAATTTTTTTCTCACCCAGTTATATGAAAAAAATCAACCAAATAAATGTTACCCTGAATATTTCTGAGGAGATTTTCAAGAAAAATGAAAGAACAGAAGAGGGTGTAGGGAAAAACTCACTTAAATACAGTTTTTGAAAAAAATTAAAATGGCCCATAAATAGCTAATAGGAAAAAAAGAAATTTCAACTTGAAAGATTAAATTTGTTTTTTTATTTGGTCTTCAAAAAAATGTATGAAAAAAAGACCATTTTGAACACAGAAATTAGAAAAAATAGAGTTTGAAAAATTCTGAGGAATGTGCGCTCCACTGACAAAATTTAAAAAAATGTAGAATATGAAAAAAAGTGATAAAATGGAAATTATGATAATTGATAGGGTTGAAGGTTTCAGCGAGAAGTTTGGACTTTCTCTTTGAAATTTTTTTTTGAAAACAGCCGAAAAAGACTCAAGAAAGTGCGCTCTGTTGATAAAGTTCTCACTTTAGTGTTTCTCCCCCGAAGTGAAGATCTTTTCTGATTGTAAATGAAAAACTATTGAATTTTTTTGAGCAAAAAAATCGAAAAATTCAGTGGAATGTGTTTCGAAGCAAAAAAAAGGAATTTTCTGATGTTTTTTTTTTCGTTTTGTATAGGGAAACCCTGTATTTTAGAGCGGTTTTCGAAATTCTCTAGTCTTATTTTTTTTAACTTATTATTATATTTTACATCGATGGTCATGAAAAGTGAAGTTTTATTTTTCAATTCAAATTCTCATTTTCCCGCCGTTCCCAATGATGCACTATCCACCTCAAATTGAGAGATTCCGGCCGCCTTTTTTCTCAATCTTTGCCCCCAAATGGCGTGTCGAGAACGTGAAATAATGAGCCATTGGTGAAAGAGATTTTTTTTTCTCTCTTCGGGGTCCATTTTGCGACCAATTGTTTTCCGTCGTTTTCCCATCAAAATGAGACCGCCTCTTAACAAGAAGGAATGGAAATTCAAATGAAATGAGTCGAAACAATGTTTTTTCTATACAGAAAACAATTTCTGATAAGAAAATAAGTTTTAAAAAATTTTTTAAATCGCCTTTATATGGTTGAAAAATGATAGTTCCTACAAGGAGGTCAATTTACTTTATTTTTTGTAATTCTCCGAAATTTGGTCAGAATACTCCTGGATGTACCAGAAAAAGATGCTAAAAGTCCAAACCTGCCCAACTTCCTAGTTTTTGAGAAAGGACTCCTCAAAGCCAAAAAATCCCTCGAATTCCGTTAAAATGGGCTATTTTTGGGCATTGACCTGGGATTTCATTTATTTTTGCGGTTGGGAATTTTTCGAAACTTGGCCAGAACACTCCTTGTTGTACCAGAAAAGTACCCTGAAAGTCCCAACCTGCCCAACTTCCTAAGTTTCATGAAAGGGTTCCAAAAGTCAAAAAATCCCTCAAATTCCGTAAAAATGGGCTTTTTTTTGGGCTTTGAGCCCTCATTTCTCGAAAACTAGGAAGTTTTACAGGTTGAAACTTATAGATTATTCTTTCTGGTACCTCAGAGAAGATTCTGAACATTTTTCAAAAAATCCCAACCGCAAAGTGTCCTTACCTCCCTTGTGAGGAGCTTGAAATGTCTCACCCTTTTTTCATACTCGAAACTTGAACCAATTAGCGAAAGTCAACAAAAAAGAGGAAAAAAAGACGCGTCATTCCTTTGAAAGTACACTTTCGCCTGAAACTGACACCGAGTCCAACGTCATTTTCAGAAATCCACGGCAAAAAAAAAGTTTTTAGAAAACTTAGACAAGTTTTAAAGCTTCAAGTGAGTCACAGAATCAACATTTAAACGAATAATAATTTTTTAAAGGTGTTACGGTAGGTATGGTAAGTTTGTGAAGCGGTCGCGTCGCGTTTTTTTGGCGCCAATTTGAATATTTTTTTCCAGTTTTGGAGATTATTTTCGTGGGAATTTAATTTAATGTAATAAAAAAATATCTTTAAAAAAATGTTATAAAAAAATATCTTTAAAAAAATTATTTTACATTAGCTAACGAATTTTATTAAAGAGAAACATGCGAAAAAAATCCGAAATTCGAGAATTTGGATTGGCGCCAAAAAAACGCAACGCGACCGCTCCGCGCATAAAATATGAATATCGCACTTTGCCGTTTCAAGACGGAAAAAAATGAGGAATTTGAAAAAGAAAAAAATGCACTCTCAGAGGAATAAAATGCCCAAAAAGAATGTAAAATTTTAAGAAAAATCTTAAAAAAATTCGAAAGATTTAAAAAAATTGATCAATGAAACCGAATATATTTTTCTTAATTTTTTTCAGGTTCCTCAAAGACTTCCCCGCGGCGCAGACGCACTACTGCGAGAAGTTCACTTCTGATCCGGCCAGATGGAATCTTTATCCGAATCTCAACTACTCGGCCTTATTTTTCGCCATCGTCAACCTTCTGGACGTCTTCCCGCTCATCACCTCTTCACCTCAACGTAAATGAAGGAAATTATAGTCTGCCACGACTTAAAATTTCACCGAACGACATTCCGCTGTTCCGCTGCGTGCGGTCGCGAGGCGTATTTCGAATTTAGGTCACGCTTTCAATGGATTATTGTTGCTGTGGGAGCACATGAAAGTAGAGTACCATTATAAAAGAAAAAAAAATTAAAAGCGCGACTATGGTTCGCAAAGGCGCGTAGCGGAACAGCGGAATGTCGTTTGGTAAAATTTTAATTCGTGGCACACAGACTATATTTGAAAAAAGACGGAATGAGTCGCGCGACGCGTGTGCGCTGCGGTTTTTTAATCTTTCTGAGATTTTTCTGTTTATATTATTTCGAATCTTTATATTGTAGTGTCAGTCGATTGACTTGCAGAAGAAAAAAACATTTTCTTAAAAATTCAAGCTTGAAATACAAAAAAATGTTTTTTTATAGGGTTGAATAATTCACCTGACCGCTACGCAGACGCGCCGCATGAGCCACTCTCAAAAATTTTCGATTTTTTTGGATCACTGGAAATGTTTCTTCTTCACAGTCATGATAAAAATTCTCTTGCTTTTTTCTATGACCTCTAGTGAGGGAAAAGAGAGCGCAGACAGGTCAGACTGTTTCGAGTCGAGGCGAATAGATTATACTCAAATTTTTTTTAATTGTAATTTTTTTTCTGCTTAATCGTTCTAATAGCTAGAAAGTAGGACAAAAAAGAAGAATTTCTGAATTTTGAAGCGATCGGCGAAGCGATCCTGGACACGATCAAAGCGTTGATGATCTTCTTGGAACGCGACTCCTTGGAGCAGTTGCCCCTGCTTCTGGCCAGTCAACTCGGAGTGTTTCCCCATGAGCTGGATAAGCAGGTGAAGTCTGAGACGGGTCTGCCCGGGGCGAGAAACGGTCAAAAGAGCCATTTTTCTCCGTTTTTCATCAGATGGTTTTTCACTCAGTTTCTGAATTTTTCACATTCGGGCCGCCCCGGTACAACTTTTTCAAGTCGCGGGCCGACCCGGGGCCTCCCCTTTTATCAATTTTCCAGCTTTTTTTTGGCCTTTTATCCACGTTCTCAAAAACGCTATAGTGGTCCCTAGGGGTCCTTGAAAGTTTCACTCTAGGAACCTCCCTACCCCCCTGTAGGGTCTAAAGCTCGCAGAAGGAACCGCTCTAGGGGTTTTTCTCTAATAGGCACTCTAGGGAGTAGGCTGATGGCTCCTACACCTTTTTTTAATTAAAAAGGAAAAAAAGGACAAGACATTATAAAAATCACTGTAGGGACCACTCAAGCTTTAGGGGGTCAGACTTTGAAATCTTTTAGGGACCGCCTAAGCCCTCTAGGGAGCACTCATTTCTCAATTTTGGAAACTGTTTTTTTTTTCCTACTGGGAAAATTTTTAGTGGCCACTATAGGGTTTTGACGTTTTAGTGACCAGCATAGTAGTCAAATTAGTGGCCACTCAAGGTGTTAAAATTTACTGGCCATTATAGAGGTCTAAGTACTCTTACTAGACCACTAAAAATTTTGGCGGCCACTTTAGGGATCAATGGATCAACATAACTGGTCCAATCTGTTTGTTTAAAAATTACCAGAGTTACTGGAAGGAATACTGGATAAAAAATACTGAAGTGGCCACTAAAAAGGAAAATAGTGGCCATTATGGAGGTGGGTTTAGTGGCCACTTTAGTGTCCTCTCCAAGTAGCCCTTGGCGAGCCTCTATAGTGGCCACTAACAATTTTCCCAGTAAGCCCTTTAGGGATCCCTCTGGAGTTTCCAATTCAATGAGTTATAACAGTAAGGTTGGTTGAGAAGTTAATGTGAAAAATTCAATGCTGTGATAAGGTTTTTTTCAATGAAATTACTTAAAAGTTTGTGATTGGAAATAAATTTATAAATGAAAAATATTATAACGCGCAAAAAAAAGATTGACCTTCCTCGTTGAAAATTTAAAAGAAAAATTGTCTGTTTACACTATTTCTCCCTTAAAATTATCAATAACTATACTTCTTTACAGATTGTCCATTTGCTGGCCGACTGTGTCTTCCCATTCTCGATCAACGACGACACCCTCGTCAAATTGTCGGTCCCAGGCGTTCTGATGCTCATTCTGCAGCAGACCAACGATCCCAGTTCGTTCAAAGGGAGAGGAAATCAAAAATTCCACATTTTCCAGGTCTCCACACCTGGATCATCGAAGGGGCCATGAATTGCTCGAATAACGTCCACGACGACCTGATGCAGGTGCCTTGGGAAGATCGATATGAGAAAAATATGTTGGAGAATATCACAGGCACTATGGGGGGGTAAAGAAGTGGTCCCTAGAGGGGTGAAGATCAAGTGGTCCCTGTAGTGAGTTAGGGTCTGACCGCTAAGCTTTGATAGCTTAAGTGGCCCCTCTAGTGATCCCTAGAGATGATCCTAGAAGTGAACCCTAGAGGGGTGAAGTTCAAGTGGTCCTTGTAGTGATTTAGGGTCTGACCGTTAAGCCCTCTATAGCTTAAGTGGCCACTCTAGTGATCCCTAGAAGTGGTCTCTAGAGGCGTATTAAGTTTAAGTGGTCCCTATAGTGATTTAGGGTCTGACCGTTAAGCCCTCGATACCTCAAGTGGCACCTCTAGTGAACCCTAGAGGTGATTTCTAGAAGTGATCTCTAGAGAGGTGAAATTTGAGTGATCCCTGTAGTGATTTAGGTCCCGATAGCTCTAGTGGCCCCTCTAGGGACCTTTGGACTTACTGTGTCCTCCAGCAGTGCTATTAAAAAAATCATCAGGCTTTGAATCGGCAAAAATGACCCAAAACGTCACCTTGAAGTTGATTAAAGGTGCGCCAGACTTCTAGCTACTTACGCGTTAACGCGAGCTTGTAAGCCCCAAGACGGCTGAAGGCTCGGTTCAACCGCAACGCGACCGCGACGCATGCTTTACCACGAAACAGAGCATTTTTTCAAGGCTTTTCGTTCAGGTGATCGCAAAAGGTACCTGCGAATCGCGTGTGGCCGCTGCGAATCTCCTTTTCCACTATTGGCCTTTCCCAAATCCGCACGTTCTTCATCGGAAGACTATCCAATACCGTGTTCATGGTAATATTTTCTTGATAATTTTAAAAATGCTCAAAGGTGCATAGACAGCCTTAACAAAGGTCTTAACGCGAAGAGCGTTTCTTAGACATCTGCGACTTTAAATTTTCAAACGAGCATAGATACTTTTATAACTGTTTAAAGGAGCATAGGTAACCCTAATGAAGGTCTTGAAGCGACGAGCCGTTTTTTGCCATCTGCGCCTTTAAAATTTTGAGAAGCATTGAAAATTTCAGAATGGTCTCGAAGGGAAGAGTCGTTTTTAGACATCTGCGCCATTAAAATTTTTAAAGGAGCATGGAAAATTTTATGAAGGTCTCGAAACGAAGAGCCGTTTTTAGACAGCTGCGCCTTTAAACAACTTCTAGAGATGCTTAAAATCAAGATTTTCTTCATAAATTATTGATTTTTAGCTTGGCACAACATCGCCTGCCAATCGACTGGCTGTACCGACAAGGCTCATAGGTATTTTTGTTTTTCATTTTTCGATCATTTGGTCTCAAAGAGGAAATGAACATTCCGTTGTGATTTAGTTACGCTTTTAGGAAAAAAGTCCCATTAAAGGAGCTAGGGTTCTTTTTTTTTCGTAATGCCGTATTTCAGCACATGTGGCGGCCACGTGTTTGTTTTCCAAAGAAAAACTTTTTTTTTCCTTTTTGTAAAGATTTCTGGAACTGGAATGTTATACGATAGATGTGAATTTAGGACTTGAAAGTTGATCTTAAGAAAAAAAAAAGATATCAAAACGAAAGTAGATTAAACTTGACAGCATCTGCGCTCCATGGACAATTTTTTTCAAAGGGCATTTTTTTCAAGCTTTTTTTTAGGACTTAATTTTTGAAATGATGTTCCTACAAAAAGTTTAAAAAAAGTCGAAAAATTTTATTTTTAAAACTGTATTTTGCGAAAAAAAAAGCTGGATTTTGTCGAAAAAAATCACAAAAAAAACTAGGTTTTTTCTTGAATTTTTCAGCGTTTTGTTCAGTGTTTCAGTGGCTCATGCGTTATCGTGTATTTAATTCAATTGTTTCGTTGAAGTTATATCGAGAAATAAATGAAGGAAACTTTTGAGGAAAAAAAGCAAGAAGGAATGAAAACTGTCGTCAGGTTCGATGTTTTTGCCGTAGTGAACTGGAAACATAAGAATTTACGCGCATAACACTTGTAATTTTTGAATGAATTCGGAGATGGACTTTTTAATCAGTTTCATTTTTTTCTTATTCAAATTTTCAAAATTTTCCGGGTTTTATCAACAAGTGTGCCCGTGTTTTTTTGAGGATTGAAAAAAATATTTTGAAAAAAATAAAATAATAATAATTTATTTCTAAATTGTAATACTGATGCTTCCAATTTCAAAATTTCACCTTTAAACAATTTTTTCCCACAGTTTTGGCACTATATCTTTAAAATTTTCACTTTTTAAAAGATTAATTTGAATCCGGAAACTCATACAAAAGATGATTTTGACAGCGTGAAACGTTGCTACGATCCGGTGATCTGCGCCGACGTTGCCGACTCGTCTCCGCCCATTTTCCTGTGCCGCAAGTGCGCCGACCAAGTGATGGGCGAGAGGAAAGTCGTCACCCAAAATATTGCGCAGCCGATGCCGTCCAGCAGTACCACTTGTCAGAGACAGGTGAATTTTTGGGGGGAATATTTTTTTGAGAATATTTCGAGAAAAAAACAGAAAAAAATTATGCACAGAGCCATCAGAGAAAAAAATTTTTTTCAGAAAAAAATCGTAGGGAAAAAGCTTGAAAATATCAAAGTTTAGTTATTTTACTGTTTCAAAATATTTTTTTAATTTTATTTTGTTTCAAAAATATCTTTGATTGTCCGAAGAATTTTCAAAACAGATTTAGAAAAAAATAAGATTTGTTATAAAGTTAAGGCTGAAATTTCAATTTATGTTATTTTTTTCAGCGCAGAAAAAAATTTTTTTCAAAAAAACAAATCAATCATATTCATTTTTTTAAAAAGCTCCAAAAAAGCTTGGAAACCCCTGTTCCGACTTGGTTTGCAATTTTAAATCGGTCCAAAAAAATCGGGCCTAACAATTAGCTGCAGTTGTGCACGAGAGCCGGAAACAAGAGTGTTCGAGCAGAAAAAAAGATTGAGTGGGTGGAAAAATCTGGAGAATTTTTTTGAGGGATCGGAAATTTGAGAAAAAGGTTTATAAAAAAATTTAAAAATAAAAACAAGTTTCAGTTGGAAATAGCGTTCGATTCTGTATTTTAATAACATTTTTTTCGATTTTTTTGACATGATTTACGTGATAACTTTTCCGTGGGATTCAGTAATTCAAGCTCGAAAAATTCGAATTTTAGGCCGAGAAGCGAGAGTTTTCTTCAGTTTTTTTCTACTCACGGCTTGATTTAGAGAAAGTTTAAGTAATTCGTCTGAATTCTGAAGTTTTTAAAAAAATCAATTTTTTTAGGCGAAAAATGCATATTTTTTTGTTAGAAATTTATTAATTTTATGTTTTTTTGAAGGCCTATAAAAATTCCCTAAATCATCAAGGTTTTTGAAATGTAGAATAAGTTTTGAAAACATATTTCTTTCGAGGCTGTGGTTTTTTTTAATATTCCGCTGATCATCAAAGTTTTTTGAATTCAAAAATTCGAGTTTTTGACTGGATTTTTTCAAAAATAAGATTTCATGAGTTTTTTTAGAGATGGATTTATGAAATTTCTAACTAATGTTCTTTTTAGGACTGTCAATCCCAATCGAGACTTCCCGTGGCGATCTGTTGCTCTCACGAATGTACACGCCTTCATAATCATGTCCCTGTGAGAATGTGTGCGGTAAGAATCTTTCATTTGTCCTCACCAGTTTGAAGTTTGAAGATCTTTGAAGACTGTATTTCAGTACTACCTTCCGGAGGTTGAAATTAGGTTGCATGGTAAGACTGTAACCAGATCGAGACGAGAAAATTTTTTCGAAAAAAAACAATTTTTCAAGGGTTTCCGGCTTCATTATGGCTTTTTAATCCTTCAAAACTCGTTTTAGTTTGCTCTTGGTGAATCGGTACTAGGGATGCACGAGACTCGTTCTGAAACATTTTTTTAAAAATTTTCTTTATTTGACCTTTTTCAATCCCTTGATTGGGATCATCATTTCTTATGCCACACTTTGGTTTTTCCTACACCCAACATTATATCGTTCCTATCTTGAATTTTTTGGAAACCTTCCTATAGTCCATTCAGCGCCAGCTTGTCACGTTTTTCTTTCCGCCAAAAGGCCAGGTCAACTTTGACCAACTTCGCTTCAAGACCTTTGTTTCTTGCCGTTATAAAAAGATCTAATTTGGTATACGGTCTTTCTGGCGGAAAAAAAACGGGACAAGCTGGCGCGGAATAGGCTATAAATTTCGAGAAATTTCGTGCAATCCTGAACCCTGGACCCATTTTTTCACCTTTTTAAGCAAACTCTTTATGAGTTAAGTTGAGCAATCCTCCGCTATGTGAGTTTTGTCTCGAGCAAAGTCGGAATGGTGGATAATAACCGCTAAAAGGGAGAGGCTCGAAAAAGGCTGCAAAAAGGCCGCAAAAAGGCTGCAAAAAGGCAGCAAAAAAGCCGCAAAAAGGCTGCAAAAAGGCTGCAAAAAGGCCGCAGAAAGGCAGCAAAAAGGCAGCAAAAAGGCCGCAAAAAGGCCGCAAAAAGGCTGCAAAAAGGCAGTAAAAAGAGTCCCTTTATCGAGCCTTCCATTTTTTCGGGATTTTGAAGGCTCAAGAAATGGTGGAAAAAGGAAGCAAAAAGGGTGCATAAGGGCCGAGAAAATGGCTCAAAAGGGCAGCAAAAAAAAAGAATTCTATGGAGCTTTTTCCCACCCTTTCCGACTTTGCCTATGGTACTTGCCCGAGTACGACTTCTTCGAAAATATATTATTCAAAAAGAAGCCTGTGCCTTTTTCAAGAACCTATTTACGGCTGGCTTGAGCCTCATCAAAGACCTGAAACGACTTTTCACTTAATAATACACCCGATTTTTTGCAGGACTGCTTCTCGTTGGCCCACGAGGAGAAGAAGCACCCTTTCATGCACAGCGGAAGTGGATGTGTTTGGGGAACGGCGGAACGTTGGACGACTGTTGAAAGCATCGTTAAGCTCCTCCGGGAGACCACGTTATTCGAGGGGACCGAAGGCGAGGGCAAAAAACCCAAGTGGCTGAGGCAACTCGACGGCGGCCATTCCATGGGCAAAGAAGTTAGGGAATCCTGAAGGGTTAAGAAGAAAGATATGATCAGATCGACCGGATGGCCGACGAGAGAAGGATGTTGAGTCGGTTCGGAGTCTGGCTCATGGCTGCTCTCTGTCCGCCGACTGAGAACGCCGAGCCGGTGAGTTGGGAGGGACTGGACTCGGTCTTGGGAAGAGAGTTGAGCGGCTTGGGGTGGCCCGGGCTCTGTTCCTCGTATTTGCGAAAAGCCTGCCCGGGCTTTGGCCCCTTATTTTTGCTTTTTTAAGCGAAGTTGGGCGGCTTGGGCCGGCCCGAGCTTTTTTCCTCATTTTCGCGTAAAAACCTGCTCGGACCTTGGGCCCTTATTTTTGCTTTTTTAAGTAAAGTTGGGCAGCTTGGGCCCGCCCAGGCTCTTCTTTTTCTTCCGGGCACAATGTTTCGTGTCCGCAAAAAAGCCTTCCCGCGCTTGGGCCCATTATTTCTGCTTTTTTAAGCGAAGTTGGGCAGCTTGGGCCGGTCCGAGCTCTGTGACTCGTTTCCGCGAAAAAGCCTGCCCGGACCTTGGGCCATTATTTTTGCTTTTTTAAGTTAAGTTGGGCAGCTTGGGCCGGCCCGGGCTCTTAATCTTAAATCACGAATGGTGAAATTTATGGCTTTCGGGACTTTATGGGACTTTTAGGGCTTGCTGTGGGATTTATTAGGGCCTCAATAGAAGATTAGTAATCATAATGGCCTCCGGGACATTAACTAGAACATTTTCTCCGGGAAAAAAAGGAGAATCTAAAAGCCCAGAGAGCAATCGCCTACATCATGAGGAACGTGTTCGAATGGTTTGCCACGACGGCCCTTCTCCCCAACGACAGCATGGGCGCCAGCCTCGAACAACTCAAAACTGAGGTTGGAGATGAACAGAATCTTCATAATCATTGGAAGTCTTTAGTTCGTCTGCGATTGGATCAACATGGCGATCAAGGTCCACAATGACGTTTTCATCAAAACGCTGTGTGGGGAGAGCGAAGAACCCGATGGAAGGCCTCACATTGAGCAGATCAAGGAAGGTCTTGGAAGGTATTGAGGATTTTTTGGACTTAATAAGGAAAAGCAGTTGTTAAAACGAAAAGAAAATTGCATATTCCCGTCAATGAAAAACTTTTGTATGACTTGTCTGCGCTCTCTTTTCCCTCGCCGGCGAGGTCAGTGAGAGAGTTACGGAGGGAGAGAGGGCGCAGAGAAATCAGACAAAAAACAATTTTGCTTCAATATTCAACTTTTTTCCAATATCTAAATTCCTACAAAGCTCATTTTTGAAGCAAGTTTAGACAGTCTGACCTGTCTGCGCTCTCTTTTCTCTAGGCGACGAGGTCTTTGAACAATGAGAGAGTTACTGGAGTAAAGAGGGCGCAGAGAAATCAGACAAAGAAACATTTTTTCTTCAAAAATCAACTTTTTCCCAATACCTAGTTACCTACAAAGCTCATTTTTGAATTGAAACCGTCTGTCCTGTCTGCGCCCTCTTCTCTCTAGTCAGTGAGGTCATTGAAAAATGAGAGAGATACTGAGGGAGAGAGGGCGCAGAGAAATCAGACAAAAAAACAACTTTGCTTCAACGATAAACTTTTTCCAATATCTAAATTCCTTCAAAGCTCTTTGTCACTATTTTGAACAGTCTGACCTGTCTGCGCTCTCTTTTCCCTCGGCGGCGAGGTTCTTGAGGAATGAGAGAGTTGCTGAGGAAAAGAGAGCACAGAGAAAACAGAAAACTTGCATATTTTCCTTTAATAAATAACTTTGAAGGAAAAATTTCATATAACACCTTGAAATTTCACATATAGTTCATCTATAGATCAATAGATCAAGTTCCATAGATCAAATCTATTTTCCTCGTTTTTTTTTTTCTGTTAAATACATTCCTTGACTTTAATTTTACGATTTTTGAGCTGTTTTTTCATGGCTCATTTTTTGATAGGGATATTATAAAATTATTAATTTAGATTGCTGGCCCTGATGCCCTACGACGTGGTCACTCTGGAGACTTGGGGAAAAGTCATGCCGATTTGGCTGCAGGTAATTTTGAATATGTACTTTTGAGAGATCAGCTTTTCACGGCGTTTTTTTTTACGAAGCCCCGCCCATATTTTTTTCCGTAAAGTGTAGTGTGTCGTGTGCATACACTGCCGCGCTCTCGCACATGCCGAAGTAGCTAATTTCCGCGAAATTCGGTAGAGTCTTTACTTTCTGTCGGCTAATTTGAATTTTGCAGTATTTTTTTGAACACAGAACGTGCTTTAAAAAAAAGAAACGAAAAATTGCGTTTTTTCGAATGTGAAATCGATTCGTCTTAAGACCCATTGAACATGCGCCTTTAATATTTTCTGTTTTGATGACGTCACATGGGAACGGCGGAGATTTTGACCACGCCCCCTTAATTTTTGGTTTTCCATTTTCTTCCATTAACAAAAACGCCGGGAAGTCTAAATTTTGGAAAAGCAAAGATAACAATCTAAAAAAACATTTTTGAATATTTTTTTAAACAATTTGAAAGCTGCTGAGTAGCTCAAGTTTCATTAGAAATAGAGCCCTTATTTGATTTTTTTTAGTCCTTCAAAATGGAACTGACACTTCGGAATAAAAGATGAAACGGAAATTATCATTCATTAACGTTTCTTAAGATATATATTTATAGAAAAACCGATTTTCAAAATTCTGCTTTCGTCGAAGAGTCATGTCTTGAAGTTTTAAAAAAAAAACGGGACAAATCCGGGCTTAAAAAAGAACAAAATTTCAGTCGATCGTGGAAAACTGCACGGAAGACCATCAGCCGGAGCTCAAAGTTCTCCTTTGCAAGATTTTTGAGCCCGATCTGTGCCCGCTGCCCTTCGAGACGACCAAAGTTTTCGATTTTATCAATTGTCGACTCGTTGGAGACGACTACAACGAGATGTTCAACGCCTTGCAGTGGCTTCATGTGATTTTATCAGGAAGAAATAGGGAAAAAGACGTTTTTCTAGCAATTGTCAAGACTGGACATTTCGATCATGCTGCAAATGATTCTGGATGATTTCACGCAGTGTTTGACCAAGTGAGTTTTGGAGAAATTGAACTATAAATCGAGAAAAATCCAAATGGCTTCAAAAAGAGTTTAAATTTTTTTTAGAGTTCAAAAAAGAAAAAATGGAAAAAAATAGTGTTTTAAAATTTTTGTAGTAATCAGTTTCCTTTCCTAAAGTTTTCCAAAAAAACAAAAAAATTTTTTTAATTTGATTGGAACTTCACTCAAAGCGTCCCAGGGCACCGTGATCATAAAAAAAAAAAGAAAAAAAGGTTTTTTTCTCGAATTTTAGTCGAGTTATAAAGCCTCAAAGTTTGAATTCTGTCTTCAAAGTGGAGAAAATAAAGATTTTTAGTTTTTTTGGCTCTATAATTTAGTTAAGAACTAATAGAATTAACATTTTTTGCTTCTTCTCGACTTTTAAGCTTGAAAGGAGAAGCTTGAAAGCTTTATAATTTTTTTTAACTTGCAATATTTTCGAGAAAAACCGGCAGCTCTTTTTTTCGTGTAAACTGAAAATTTTCCGAAAATGAAACCAAAATTATCTCTGACTCTCCAAATTTTAATTATCTTTCACACTTTCTGACGATTCTTAAGAACGTCAGAGTGGTCCCTAGAGGGCTTTAGGGTTATTTTTTGTTGTAGCTATTTAAGAAGAAGTATTTCCATGCGAAAAGCTGAAGAAAAGAACTTTTTTGTGAGCTATATTTTGTCCCCTTCAGGGACTGTTCTCTTAACCCTTCTAGGGACCACTCTGGCATTCCTAAGGTTGTTCTGAAATCAGATGAAAGCCAACTTTCAGACTGAAAACGATCTACATCCCGCCGCTGGCCGACAACGACCTGGAGGAAGAGGAAATGTCGGTCCACGTGGTTCTGATCGACGTCGTCGTGCTGCAGTTGCGGCTCAACGACGTCGAACGCAACATCTCGACGACGGTCATGGACAAGATCTTCGAGTGCATCCAACTCCTTCTGAGCGTCCCCATCCGAGCCTCGCCTCACCAATGTCACAACCCGGAACTCGACGGATTCGCCGATTGCTCACGTGAGAAGAGATTTTACTCAGGCAAATCTTGGGGAGGTGTTCGGACGCTTCTACTTTCGGTGCCTTCTCGGGCAAAGTCGGAGTGGTGGATAATGGCCTCTAAAAGGGAGAGGCGCAAAAAGGCAAAAAAGAGAGTCCCTTTATCGAGCCTTTCCACCTTTCTGGGATTTCAAAGGCTCCAGCGATGATGGAAAAAGGGAGAGGCAGCAAAATTGGTGCATAAGGACCGAGAAAATGGCGCAAAAAGGGAGCAAAAAGGAAGCTGTCACCCTAAAAGGAGCATTTCTATGGAGCCTTTTTCCACCCTTTGCCTATGTTGGATGGTATTTTGAAGCTTTTCAGCAAGTGGTCAAACACCTTTTAGTTACATGCCAGAAGCCTGCTGGAAGCCTGTTGGAAGCCTGCTGGCAGCTTGTTGGAAGCCTGCTGGAAGCCGGCTGGAAGCCTGTTGAAAGCCTGCTGAATGCCTGTTAGAAGTCTGCTGAAAGCCTGTTGGAAGCCTGCTTGAAACCTGCTGGAAGCTTGCTTGAAAGCTTCTGGCAGGCAGTCCAGAATTTTAAATTTCTTGTTTTTTAGTAACCTTCTAAATACTTTCTGAATGCATTCCGAAGGCTTTTTCGTGATCATCTAGCTTCTATTTACCTTCAAACGGACTTCCGATTACCTTCCCGACACCTTCCCAGCATTTTTCTGAATTTTAATTAGGATAATAATGGTTTCATTCACTGCACTGATGAAAAATAAGTCGAGATGTTGTATGAGCTCTTCTTTCCACCCGAAAAGTAAAATTATCGTCCTCGTGACAAAGAGAAGAAAGGAATAATGTTTTTTGCTGTGCAGCTTGTCAACAAGCGGCCTTCGTCCAACAGATGATCATGCAGGTCACGCAATCCTTGTGTCCGAAACGGGAAGTCGCAATTGTGGTGAGTAGAGAAATTTTGTCATTTGGGGGGACTTGTCTAGAATGAAAAAAAATTTCATTGAAAAAGGGTCCGAATAGTAATTTCGAAAGTTTACGTTGAAATTTGAAACAATAATTGAGCTAGGAATTGAAATATAGACAATCTTTCACGACTTTAAAGGCGAGAAATCGAGTTTCCCGCCAAAAAGCCGCGTCGCGTCCGCAACGCGTCACTCTTGCTAATCTACTTATCTTGCTTTTCAAATCGGGGAAATTTTTTTGTTGAAAAAATAAACCCAGTTTTTTTAGTCTGAAAACTTGAACCCAAAAAACGCAGAAAAATCGGTTGCTCTATATATCGTATCATTAAGGGGAAATTTCGAAGAATAAATAAATACTATAAGTAGCTCACTTGAAACGGTGTTGCGATATAGCCGGCTCACGGCTAACCTAAGGGGGCGGGGCCTGTCTGCGCACTCCACCAAACTGGCGCTGTCTCTTTTTTTTATCGCATCCATTTTTCGATGGCTCAAGCCAGCTGTGAATCAGCTGTAAGATTGTCTTCTATTTACGAAGGTTACTGTAGGTGAAACTCCGCATTCTGAGTTGTTAAGTGTATGCACTTGCTTTTTATTTTTCAATTTCTAAGGTGTGTTTTATTTGTTTCCCGTCGTTATAAGCCATTTCAAAAAAAATCAAAAATTCAAAAAAAAAAAAGTGCAAACACAGAAAGGCTCAGAATGCAGAATTTCACATACCGTACTCCGAGGAAATATAAAAATCGCTGTCGTAACCGAATTAAAACGCCAAGTTCAGACAACGGAAGAAGACGTCGTCTACGAGGACCACAGCACGCCGACCGAAAGAGCCAGCTCGATCCTGTCGCCCCTGACGGCGCCCGGCAGCAAAGGAGGAACTCCAGCAGCTCCCAACAAACATTTCACGCCCAACGACCTGCCCACCCAGATCTGCTTCGTTCAAACGGCCACCGTCGAAGAGGAACAGGACGACGAGTTCGTCGACATCCTGCCCACGGAACAGGTCTTGGAACGGAGAAGGATTGTTGGACAGAGAGGTGTTTTAGGTGGAGATCGCGATGGCTCAGGCCGTTACTCTGACCGATTCGGATGTCGGCATGGAGATGGGCAATGTCGTTACTAGTACTACGGTTCATGATGTCAAGGTAGAGTTCTCAAAGGGTTCCCTGGGCATCTACGGGGACATACGCGGGCAGGATCCTACCCCAGCTTTTTGACGAATTCGAAAATTTATACCGCGTTTTTCGGCTAGTAGGCATCCGCGCCGGGACACGGTATTCCTAATGGGATGAGGGTGAGCGTCAAAGTTTCTGAATTTACAAAAAAAAAAAGTAAGTGCGCGCTCCGGATAAAAAGAATGGGACGTCACAGCTACCTATTGCCATGTTCAATTTGATTTCGCGAAATTCATAATGATCTCTGACTCTCCAAAATCTAGTGATCTTTTCCTTTCTCTAACGGGTATTTTGCATTTCGCGGAATCAAATTGAACACGGCATATCATTTCAAATTAAACTTAGTATTCAACGGCAGGACGAATACATTTGGCTGCGTAATTGAGATTTCAAATTTCGCGCCAAATCTTTTTTGACGTTCACCGCAACTTTTGCAGTGTCTGCGTCTCTCTGTTCCCTCACCGGCGAGGTCAGAGAAACAAGAAAATAGCACGTTAAAATAAGAGGGTCGCTCAGAGACGAGGAGGGTGCAGAGAAATTTAATGGACCATGAAATCCATAGAATTTTTGAGAACAGTTTTTGTGAAGACCCTGTTGAAATTGCACAAAGAAGGCTAAAAAAATTATTATTCTAATTATTTTTCTAAATTTGTTGACTCTAGTTGCTCACTTTAAGATAGAATTGTGCTGAAAAATCAGTTTCCTAAAAAAATTTTCCAGTATTTTTTTGAATTTTAGTCACATGAAAATGAAGTTCAAAAAAATATTTTGCATAGTTTTTCTAGCCAAAGAAAAAAATTTTTGACTAGAAAAACTATGCGAAATATTTTTCTAGTCAGAGAAAATGATTTATTCTTGCTTGAAATCTCCTTTTTTCCCTAATATTGTGCATCGGCTGAAGAAAGAGGTGAATATTTGCTCCATGGAGAAGGATACGCAATCTGACGCGCCCCGGAACATTTCTGACCTTTTAGTGAGCACTTAAGAGTTTTTACGCCGCGAAAGGGATCTCTAGAAATGCTCGGAAACGTCCGCGGCGTTGATCCGAGATTTTTCAAAATATTAATTTTCCAGGGCCTCGGAACTCCTCAAACACCTCAACCGAAGACCAACACTCCGGATTTTTGGCAAACTTCTGTTGGCCGTTTCAGATTTTCTCTGGATCAGCTACCGGCTCAACTGAAAATGATCTATTCTCTGCTTGGGGTACCAAAATTGATTTTTAAAATCGAGTGAGTCTGTATTTTAAGAGTCTGGACAATGCCGAAGAGCCGGACGTCGAGTTTTTCTGCATGTCGACGCTGAAACTGTTGTGTCTTCATTGTGAAACGCTCAGCAATGCGAGGAGGGAGCATCGGGGATTTTTGATTTGGATCCAGGTCCGAAATCATTGCTGGACATGAAAAAGAGGAGAAAAAATCGAAAATTTGATCCATTCAAGACCCATTTTAACATCAAAAAGTCGATTTTTGAAGAGTTTTATACAATTTTTATGCACGTTTTGAATATTTCTAACGAAAGTTCACTTTACTTATTCGTCTTTCCACTGTGTTCTCGAGAAGGCGGCAGATTTGATCGGTGGGCGTGGCTTACTGCAAGTTGCGGCGCGGTATATTGCAATAGGGGCGCGGTTTATTGCAAGTTGCGGCGCGGTGATGAAAGCCGACTCTTGCGAATTTGGGAAACTAAGAAAACCTTTAGTGGTCACTTTGGGGCTTTGACGTTTTAGTGGATACTATAGTAGACAAATTTTTGGCCTCTTTAGTGGTTACAATTAAGTGACCACTTAAGATTTCTAGGCGGAGTTTGAGCGACGACTTGACATTCAAAATTTACTGTAAATCAACTCTATGGAGTTATACGACTTAGTGGGCACTATAGTGGTTTTTTATGGTCTAGCAGTACCACTTGGACTTCTAAAGAAGTCGCTAATTTTTAACCACTTGAGGGACCACTAATGCGACTACTAAAGCGGCAACTAAAACGTCATAACCCTCAAGTGGCCACTAAAAATCGACTACTATAGCGACCAATATTACGTCAAAACCCTCAAGTGGCCATTAAAAATCGACTACTATAGCGGCTACTAAAACGTCCAAACCCTAAAGTAGACACTCAAAATTTTTCGGACCGCACTCCCCTGTTTTAAAACACTGTGCCCTTTTCCATCCTAGTAATGAACTTGAAAAAAAAATCCCCTCAAACGAGGATTTCCAGGAAAACATGATGGTGCCAAAGCTATGGGCCCGTCTGAGATCAGACTACATACAAGTCGGTGAACTGGCCACTCATCTTTTGCTCCATTCGATCACCCTGCCCTGCGGCGAGGAAATGTTCTGGAAGGTCGTTCATCGCGATTTCACCAGCCAACAGTGGAACGTCCGATTTGATGCAGGTCTCGGAAAAAATGGCCTTATTTTACTTGGAAGTTAAAGCACCTACTAGTTAGGACATCAAAGTGCTCACTCTAGGGTTTTTTTTTTTGGAAAAACTCCTTTAATGGACTCCCTAGATAGCTTAAGTTTAGGCGGTCCCTATAGGAAGCTCCTGAAGCAAAAGTGGTTTACTATTTTCGCCTAGGAAATCCAGAGTGGTCCCTAGAGGGGCAGCTACCATGACTAGTTGGAATTTACAGAGTGGCCCCTATAGGGTTTCCCTCAGAAGACCGCCTTACGTTCCTTTATAAGGGCCACTTTTACAGCTTTATTCCCCCCTGCAGAGGTTTCAGTTAGTGTCCCCTGTAGGGGCTTCAGTTAGTGGTCTCTAGAGATATTTTTGTTCTGATAAATAATCGTTAGTTGAATGGTGAATATGAACAGTGAAAAAAAATTGACCCCTATAGGGGTCACTCAAATTTTAGGAGCTTAAAAGTCAGACCTTAAACCCTTGAAGGGGCCACTTGAACATTACTCCTGTAGGGACCCCTATTTCGTCTTTTATAAGGGCTGTTTTCACCACCCCTCCAGAGACCGCTCTGGCGTTATAGGAGTTTAGGCTCAAGCTTAAGTGGTCCCTATAGGGATCAGAATGCAGAAAAACTTGTAGGGACCACTAGCAACTCCCCTAAAGCGGCCACTGACTAGTACCCCTGGAGTGGTCACTTTTGCAAGTTTTAGTGGTCCCTATAGGGAAGGTAAGACGGTGGGGAACCTACAATGGCCCCTTTCTCATTCCTAAAGAAAAAGAATGATTCTAAATTTTTATTCCAGTTGGAAAAGCCTACGTGATGGCTCACATGATGAAGACAGCTCCAGTCAAGGCCAACAAAGTTTGATTTTTCCCCAAAATCCCAAAATCCCATTTTTACCGTCTCAGGTGGTTCAAACCTCCCTTGGCGCCCTATTTTATCATTTTGTCGCTTCTTTACACGATCCGAACCCGTCAGTTGCTCAGAGAGCCATTATTGCCCTCCGAGCGATGCCCAGCCACACCTTAAAGGTTTCCCGGACGCTTTTATAGTACGAACGTTTTTATTTTAGCTCATTTGCCTCTGTTTTGAGTCGCAATTCGATTCCTGTATCATTGATCGACCTCTTCTGATCGGCGCGATCAGTATGTTGGCCACGCTTTTGCCTGATCAAACTACACTCACTTTCGACTTCTTCATTCAGGTAGTCAAAGTGTAGAATTCGAAAAAGAAGGTTTTTCAGAGATTTGAAACTTTGGTCCTGGAGAGTCAACTGAGCAGCCAATCCGAAGAAACCACGTTTGTCCAGGGTGAGCTTTTTCCCTTTTAGGGACCACTTTATTAACCCCTATAGGGGCCACTCAAGCTCGCAAAAGTGGTCCCTGTAGGGGCTTTATAGTGGCCCTTATGGGGGAGATGCTAGATGAAGATAAATCGATGTTTTTCATTTTCAATCCTTTGTGAGGTACGCGCATTATCTAAATTACGCTAAATGACTTTTTTTTATTCTCTTGAAACGGTAAATTGTGTTTTCTTTCTCATTTTTGCTTTTCCCCAATTTTTGTGACCTTACATTCCAATAATTCAAAATTGTGTAGATTTACGGAGTTAATTTTTACGGAGGTAGATTTACGAATTCAAATCTAAACAGTTTGACACCGAAATCCTCAGATCTGATGCACACGGACCCGATGAGCGACCTCTACCAGCGGAAAGTGACAAAAGCGAGATCGGCCATCGAAAACGCGACCACGGCCAGGTCAATCGTCAAGCATCTCAGGCAGTTCGAAGGCCTCAAACATCAGCTCGTTCATTTACCGTCAGACCCAGGTTGGTCCCCTCCTCCGGATCGGTTTTTCTAACGAGGGAGCTTTTTTCGGCCCCCCGGTTGAACTTTTGATGAGCTTTAGGGCCTCTTTATCCCAGAACTTAAAAAGTTCCCATTCGAACTTTTTCAAATTAATACATGCGTTCAAAAGCATACATGCGCCAGACAACTCTTTAATAGCGACTTCATGGCGCGCGTTCCCCGAAAATTGGCGCACACTCCCCAAAAATTGGCGCACACCCCCCAAAAATTGGCGCAAACACCCCAAAAATTGGCGCACACCCCCTGAAAAATTGCGATCGTTTGCTTCTTTTTATCGATTTCATCTAGATGTTTTCAATGGTTAGAACATTTTCTAAAATTTTGCTTCCTGTTCGGGAATGAGGCTCACAAGTCGCATCAAAAGTCAAACCGGAGACTGGAAAAAGTTCTGAATTTTTCTTTTGGTTTTCGGAGTTTTATTTTTTGAGTTATCACACCAACTAACCCTTTTTATCGACCAACTAACCAGAAGCTTTGAAATTTTTCTCCTTTGTTTCAAAAGTTGAAGTAGTTTATTCGTATAAAAAAAGAATGGGAAAGCTTTTAAAAAAAACTGACAAATTGAGGAAAATCAGAAAATGAGAGGATTTAGCTTGAAAATCGATTATTCTTACTAGTTAGAACAAAAAAATTTGAAAAAAAGAGTGAAGCTCATTAGTTTCTCTTGGGAAAAACGTGCTCTATCGCGCTTTTTTTGACAGAATAATAAACTAATTAGGGGCGTGGCCAGCTAATCAGGAGACCTCGGTATTTTTGTTCGCCGGAGCATCTTTTTCCCGAGATTTTCGAGCTTCATTCTTTTAATTTTTGTTTTTCAGACTTTATAACTCAAATTGTTTTTTTGTTAAATGTGATTAGCCAAAATTATAAATTTCGAGCAATTTAACACGGATTTTTCAATACTAACGGTTTTTTTTTTGTTAAATATTTCAGCGACCCCAATATTCTACTTCTGGCAATGTCTTTCCACTAATTCTTCACTTTTCTTTCCTGTTTTTGAAATTTCAAAAAAAATCTTGAGATATTTGTAAATTTCCCAGGCAGTCTGTAGTTATTGCGTGGCTTCAAGTGTGTGTCTTTCCCGCAATTTCATGTCAAGGTTATTTTATTTTGTGGTTGGGAATTTTGGGAATTAGCCAGAATACTCCTGGATGTACCAAAAAGATATTCTGGATGTCCCAAGCTGCCCAACTTCCTAGTTTTCGATAAATGAGGGCTCAAAGCCCGAAAATGGCCCATTTTGAGGGATTTTCATGGTTTTTTCGACTTTAAAGTGTCCTTTTTCAATAACCTGGAGAAAATTTTTAGTGGCCACTATAGGGTTTCAACGTTTTAGTGGCCACTATGGTAGTCAAATTAATGACCACTTAAGGGGTTTAACATTGGTGGCCACTATAGAGGTCTGTGCTACTAGACCACTGAAAATTTTAGTGGCCACTTTAGGGGTCAATGGATCGACATAACTGGTCCAATCTGTTTGTTTTTAAATTATCAGAGTTACTGGATGAAAAACTACTGTAGTGGCTACTAAATAGAGAACCTCTATAGGGGCCACAAAAACGGAAAATAGTGGTCACTATAGAGGTGAATTTAGTGGCCACTTTAGCGTCCTCTCCAAGTAGTCTTTGGCGAGCCTCTATAGTGGCCACTAAAAATTTTTCAGGTTGAGACTTTCAGAATACAACTTTGGTACATCAGGAAGTGTCCCGGCGAATTTTCAAAAAATTCCCAACCATAAAATTTAAATGACCGTCCTTGTTGGAGAGGGAAAAATTCAGGAAAATGAAGATTTTAGTGACGTCGTTGTTGATTTTCCCCCTACAGTTATTTCACTTTGAAACCAAGATTTTTCCCCTTTGTGTTTCGTGTTAAAATAGATTTGCAGTGGAACTACCCAATTTTCCATTGTTTTTTCCCTTTTTGGAGGTTTTGAGGGTGATTTTTGAGTGTAGAAACGTCCCAAGATCTTTGTGAGAAGTTTTTTTCCCGAAAATTGGATCTAGAAACATTTTTCGCGTTTTTATAGACGCTTGGGCTGCAATTTGAGAGAAAAGAGAAAATGATCGACTTTTTCAAGAAAAAAATCGAGAAAAAAATTTTTTTGGAAGTTTTTTTGGAGATTTTTTTGAGCAGTTCTTCTTTTTTTGGGCTCTTAGATTATTTTTTTCTAAAAAAATATAGATTTAAAAATTTTTTTGAAGATTTATCCAGAAAAAAATTTTTTTCGATAGCTGATTATTACTACGCATAACTGCTCCACGGACAAAAAAATTTTGAATCCTAATTTTTTTAAAGGAATTCTTCTTTCATTTATACCGGGCTCGTGGGTTAGATGGGGCGGGCCAGCCCGGCTTGGGCCTGTGCGGGCTTGGGCCATTAATAACAGAGAAAAAAAAGCAAAAATCGTGATTTCGGTCGCGAAAAAAGTCTTCTCTAAGAACATTTTCACGCGTCTGGCCAGACCGGATGATTTTTTTTGAGGGCCGGGTCGGGTTAAGGAAGTGACCGGGAGACTGACGGGCTGGCCCTCTTACATCCCTGATATTTGCAATAATAACAAGCTCCGCCCACTTGTCACCCTCAAGAACCGTATCCAATCGAAAACCTCCCCCCTCGTTTCCCTCAGTGATAAGCCTGTCGCCGTCGCGACTTCCGCGTTGGCGACGTCGCGGACGACTTTCCGAAGCGGCCATCTCCTGTCGCGTCAAGATTCTGAAGGTCGTGACGATGGTTCGCGTCGTGAATCGGTGGCGCGAAATGGCGGCCGACGTGGCGCTCGGCGCCGCGTCTCTCGTCTCCCTGATGACGTCATCGACGGGCGTCGCGCTCCCATGTAGGCGTGCTCTGATTGAGAATGGCTCGGCCTTGTGCATGCCGTCTTTTTAGCGGTTTTTCGGCATGATTCTGGCTTTTTGGGTTGGTCTTTGGTTTTTGGAAGGACCGGGGAGTATGGCTTTGGGTTAGTACCAAAAAAAATTATGAAAGTCTTGGAAATTTGAAAAACTTGTCTGCTACAAGATGCTGATTTTTCAGAGGCTCTTCTAGATCCGAAAGATTTTGAAAAAAAAGTTCTAAGAGAAAAAAAAGTCGTCCAGAGGAAAAATTCTTGAAGTTAGGGCCGAACTTTTCTGCTATCAGGTCCGAAAAAAATGGTTATTTTTTTCCAACCTACAAGGTTTTTTCAAGCTATAATATCTCCCGAATGATTTTTTAGTGTTTTTTGAACACTTTGGCCAGAAATTTTGAGGAACACCTTTTTTTGAAAAGATATTTGGCCAAGAGGAAGTTTCTCCTTACAGGGGTGGTTATTGCTTATTTTCCGCTTGGAAATTTCACAAAAATTGGCCAGAGCACTTCTTGATGTACCAGAAAAAGATTCTGAAAGTCCCAACCTGCCCAACTTCCTAGTTTTCGAGAATAGACGCCTAAAAATAAAAAGAAACCTTCAAAATCCATGAAAATAGGCTATTTTAAGGCTTCAAGCCTTGATTTCTCGAAATCTAGGGAATTTTGCAGGTTGAGACTTTCAGAATCTTCATCTGGTACATTAAGGAGTGTTCTGGCCAATTTTCAGAAAAAACCCAAGCGGATAGAAAAATTACCTCCCCTGTTGGAAATCTCTTTAGCAACACTTTTTCATTTTCAAGTTGGTCTCACGATTCTTTCTGGAAATTGACTGAAGTACTCTGAAATGTATTGTAATCGACATTTCTGGAGTTTTTCAGGACGTTCTCAAGGAAATTTTTATATAAAAGGGCAAACTTTCAATTTTTTATAAACTGCTTTTGAATGATTCTTGAAAAAGTAATAATTTGGAATTTTCTAAAAATTTTGCAAGTAAAAAAAGTATATGTTTAAAGGCGCAGGGGTGGCCGAGAAGTATTCATTTTTAAACGCGATTTTTTTTTCGCTCATAAATATTCTTCCAATGTAAATTTACGCACAAAGCCATGCTCCCCTCTTTTTTTGTCATGTTTTTCATATTTTTAAACAATATCTTTCCCTATTTTCTTCCATTTTTACTACTAACTTCTACGCTTTTTTTTTTCCACCAATTTTCTTGAATTTACTTTTCTTGGAATGCAACCGACTCCTTCCTGCTTTTTTCTGACTCAAGTACGAATTACAGCGAGCGCGGCGACGGAAGGAGGCGACGCGGCGCCGACGACGTCAGCGGCCTACGGCGCCGGTAAACCGACTTTCTTCTTTCCTTTTTCCTTTTCTTCTGAATCCCTTCTTCTGCTTCTCAACTTCTGCATCTGCCTCCTTGCATGCAAATCCCCCGATCCCTCAAAAAAGAATTAATTTTTTAAGTGTGCAAATTAGGATCTACTTTTTGGTTGAATGGTGGTTGGATGGGACCGATTGGGAGAAAATCGCGTCAAGTTTCGTCTTTTCTGGTATCTTGAATTTTTCTAGGCTGTCGGGGCTTACCTGGTCTAGACTGTGGATTTATAAAAAAATGTTTTTTAATTTTTTTGGATGAGCTCGTCTTTTTTTGGCGTACTGTAGGTTGAAATTGTGCATACACCAAAAACACGGTTTTACTGACACGTGAGGAATTTTTTTTTCTTTTTGTTTATACAATGGATTGGCTCTAGAAAACAAGATTTATTTTTTTTAGATCAGATCTATTTGTTTGGCATACTGTAGGTTGAAATTGTGCATTCACCGAGAAACGGTTTTATACGGGCTTTTCTTGATTATACTGTGAATAAGCTGCAGAAAACACAATTTTTAATAATTTGTCGTACTGTAGGTGGAAGTTCTGCATACACCGAGCGCGGTTTTTGCAGAATATACAGAAGCCATGCCACAAAAAAAATTACGAAAAAATCAGAAATAGTCGAATTTCGATCAATTTGATCCCAATCGGAAACTTTTTACCACTGATTTTAAGTTCATTTTTTTTTTTCCAGATGAAGAAATTGAGGTTGATTTGATTTGACAGGAGGTTACGGTAGACTTCGGGAATTCACCGACGAAGAAAGCAACATGTGTTTGTTGTTCAACCGCGTCGTCGACATGGAAAATCCGGAAAGGCATACCGTGTACCTGATCGTCTCGTTGTTCGTCACCTTCTTGAGGTAGGTGGAGACGAAACGTGCGCCAGTCCTTCTTAAAATCTTAGGGGCAGTAAAAACGGGGTTTCAGGCAAAAGCAGTATCTTGTACAGTTTTTCTATGCGAAAAATTACAGATGTCCCATATTTTGAAGAAAAACGCGATTTTACTTTCCCGCCATTAATTTTGAAAAAAGCTTTGGATCGGCATACGGACAATTGATTACAGTAGCTGTGCACGCGATTTTGCGGACCTCTCATTAGACTCGCATTTTGTGAGAAATAACCGGTTATCTGCTTCAAATCAAGGGTTTCTTCTCTGAAAAAAACATTTAGTCAAACAAAAAACCCACACCGATAATAAAGAAAACACAAAATATCGCAATCCCAATTGAAACCTGTGTAAAGTCATCATTTTTTCCCCAAAGAAGCATTTTTGCGATCAAAGTTTGCAAATTATACATGAATAGAAAGCTTTCGTGACGAAAAGAACTTTGGTGACAACAGAAAAAATTGAAAATTGAAAGAAACAAAGAAAAAAGCGAAAATCCGGAAGATGGCGAAGCCTGTTGTCCATAGAGCAACTTTACTGCAAAGCGCCCTTTTCGCGGGAACTCAAGCTTTCCTCTCTCCGACTTTGAATTATTTTTTCTTCAAAAGTAGGAACTTCTGTACGTTGCCAAGTTCACCGTTCGATTGAAAAAACTTTACAAAGTACTGCTTTAAACTGAAACACCGTTTTTTACTGCCCCTATGCCTTTAAAGGGAACGTCATTTCGAAGTCTCAAAGGGAACGTCATTTCGAAGTCTCAACCTGCGAAACTCTCCAGTTTTCGAGAATCGACACCTCAAAGCCAGAACACTCCTTGACGTACTAGATAGGGACCGCAGACGAATTTTCAAAAAAATTTTTTCAGCATTGAGCTTTGTATGGTTTGATAGCTGTTTCGATTCAAAACTCAAAACCGTTTAGTTTTTCAAAAAAAATTGAGGATGAAAAAAGTTATGACAAAAAATGTGGCGCGCCGCGCACCATTTTTTTAGTACTGAAATTTTGGTATTATCCATTTTTGACATTTTTCTTCTAGAACAAGTTTTGATACTGGTCTATTATGATGTAACAAATCATAATAGAGTGCTAAAATGATGCTAATCAGCTAGTTTGCCGAAAAAGTCGGTATTTTCCAGAAAAAAAAAATACTGACGCTTGCGGGCATCGAACTCGCGCCCTCAAAATGAAAAATCGCAGCGCACGCGCTGCGCCAAGCTGTTAGGTTTAGCAAGAGAAGCTTCCATCCGATGTGTAGATGTGTATTCTGAAAGTTTCGAACTGAAAAACCCCCTAGTTTTCAAAAAAGGATACCTCAAAGTCGAAGAAAACCCTCAAAACCCGTTGAAAAAGGCCATTTTGGGGCTTTGCGCTCTGATTTTTCGGAAGCTAGATATTTGGGCATTTTGAGACTTTCGAGATTTATTTTTTTTGGTTCACAAGATTTTCCCCTGAATGTGTATGTACCCAATGAAGATTCTGAAAAGGGTCACCGGAAAAAAAACGTCTTTATTTTCTGAAAAATGGTTCAAAATTACCTATACCGTTTTGATGGACCTTCGATCTATCGTTATCTGATATCTGGGAAGCTTTGCAGACTTTCAGGATCTTCAGGTTGTACTCCAACGAGTATTCTTGAAACTTCTGCGTTTTTGATAAAGTTTAACAAATCAAAAAAAAACTGGAAAAATTTTTAAATTCTCCAGATTGTTATATGTTTCAAAAAAATGTATTAAAAACAAAAAGAAACCTCATTAATTGACTCGAAGACGTTTTTGAAATCAATTCTTATTTTTTTCCCAATTTTTTTGGTGCTTTCAAATTTGAAATAATATAAATTTCACATTTTTTAAAAACCTGTAGTTGATAGGGTTTCTTTTGGTTTGAAAATTGATTTTCATTTTTTTTTTTCACTTGCAGAAAATGAGTCAGCCTTTTCAATTAGTTGTTGACGATGGTTAAATTTTCTTAAAAACGGCAGAGTGGTCACTAAAGTGGCTCTTTTTAGAGGCTCTAGTAGGTTGTCCTCAAGGAACCTCCTCGGGGGTATCAAAGCTGGCAAAAGTGACCATTCTAGGGAGCATGATAGAAGTCTCTATACGTCTTTTCAACTTTTGAATGGGAAAAAAAATTTAAAGACCACTAAAGGGGTCACTTGAGCTTCAGGGGTCTCTAAATTTCTATAGGGACAATCTAAATTCTAGCCCTTTAGGGAGTACTATTCCGCCTACTGTAGGGGCTGTTTTTTCTTCTAACCACTATAGTGACCACTCTAGCGTTCCAAAGTGATGTCGGCTCAAAAAAATTTGTAACAGGAAAATTGATGAATTTGTGTCTCTGATGAAATCAAGTAATTTTCAAAATATAACATTTAAAAAAATCTTCCAGCAACAAGAACTCGACGCCGACCGACGAGAAGGCGAACGCCAAGAAACAATCTTTGTTATTCCGACATTTCAACACCCTATTAGGCTACAGTAACACGGAAAAATGCTTCACGATCCCTCCGGCACGGCTCAGGTTCACAGAAAACACCAAAAACCTCAAAATAAGTTCATTTTCCAGAAAATCCGCCGTTTGCAACGCCTTCCTGAGCGGTCTGCCGGAGATCCTCGACATGAACCTCGTGATCGGAAACCAGCTTCTGCCCACCGTCGTCCAGCTCCTGATCCATCTCCCCTCGCCCCAAACCCTCGCCTCGGACCAAAATGTCACGAACTACTCCCTGGCTCTCCTCACCCAACACTCTCGCCACATCTGGCTGCAGTCCTTCATCTTGATCCTCTACAAATATCGATTCGATCAGGTCCCGATCAGCGACGGCGTCCTTCGTCTCGTCAACATCGTCGTCAAAACTTTGCAGAGTCAGTTGGGATTTGATTTAAGTGAAGTCAAAACTTGCTTTCGCCTTCCTAACAAGAAAGGTCATTTTACCTTGAGTTTGAGATTTTCCTAAAAATCGGCCAGGACACTCCTTGACGTGCCAGAAGAAGATCCTGAAAGTCTCAACCTGCACAACTTCCTAGTTTTCAAAAAAGAACTCTTCAAAGTCGAAGAAAACCCTTGAAACTCGTTAAAATCGGCTATTTTGGGACTTTGAGCTCTTATTTTTCAAAAACTAATAATTTTTGCTGGTTGAGCCTTTCAGAATCTTCATCTGGTACATCTAGTAGTGTTTTGGTCAAGTTTCAGAAAGCCTAAAAGTAAAATTACCTTACTTGTAAACTTGAAAAAGCTCGTAAGAAGCTTGAAAACATTATTTGTGGATTTTGAAGCTTCCTTAGATCGTTTATGACGTCTCAAAACCTTCAATGAACCCTTTTTGTTCAAATTGCGGATTTTGAAGCTTCATAACTCGAAAAAAAAGATATATTGCGATAAATTTTTTGGCGCGTTTCTTTAGAGAGATTGGAGATGTTCAGACCAAGTGCACGAATGCTCCGAAGGAGAGCAACAGTCGACGGAGATCAGCACCTGGGAAGATCTGCCAGAAGATGAGGAAGTCCGGCCGGGATTGGTCCGTCCGGAGAGCTTGACCGTCACTACGATTCAGGTTGGGGAAGCGTAAAAATCCAAGGATTCAAGGAGGATTGTTCTGAATTGTCCATTAAAACTCTTGTTAGCCGACTTTTAAGCTTGTCTGTGAACTCTAATCAAGTTTGAAAGTGAAGAAAAGTCGAAAAATCAAGATTGAGATTGAAAATTTGCTTATTCTTGCAATGTTGAGAAATATAGTTATTTGGTTGGATTTTCATTAAAATTTCAATCTTTCATTTTTGCGATATTGAAGTTATGTAGTGATGTATAAAAACTTTAGCGCCCACTTAAGAGGTTCCTAAAAGATTGATTAGAGAAGACCCTAAAGTGACCACTAGAACCACCTTTATAGAAGCCACTATTTTGCGTCTTAGTGGCCACAAAAATGATCCTCTTTTAAGTCGATGTCAAGGACCATTTTTCGCGAGTTAACTCTGATATTTTCGAAATACAGTTGATTGAAACAGTTCACCTGGGTCACCTCTTAAGTGGCCACTTAGACTTCTTCGAATTTATCTGAAGTTTTGTCTTCCAGAATTTATACTTTTTTGAAATTTTCTACACCAAAGTTTTGCCGAGACCTCTTCCTAATCAAAAAAGCCTGTTTTTATAAAGTTTATCCCTGGAAATTTTTCTAGCTTCTTTCTCAAGCCTTCTCGAAAAACTTTAAATATTTAGGAACATGAAGGAGAATCGTCAATGAGGCCGATGATCATCGAGCCGCCCTCCTCCTCGAGACTTCGGAAGAAAAGTGAAACGGCCAAAAAAGGCCCGAAACCCGGGAAAAGGTGGTTCCTACAGTTGTTTCTACAAAACTTGATCTTTGAATTAGAATTTTCACGCAACAGAATAATCCTAGATCAAGTCAAATTCTATTAATTATTTCAAAAATTCGTCGATTTCTGTCTTCTTTCTGAATTATCATTAGGAAAAAAAAGAAAAAAGGCGTTTTTTTGGCTCTAACTGTTTCAGGACGAAAATTTTTTGAAAGACAAGAAAAACAAAATTTCCTAGTAGTATTCTGTATTTATTTCACGACAGAAATATGGCAGATCCAAAAAAATTCGTAAAAAAAAATTTTTCGCAAAAAAATTTACTCAGAAATAGCTGACTCCCTGGCTTGAGTTATGGAAAAAATGGTCCTGACACGAAAAAACAAGATACAGTACCTGGCTAATAGAGAGCGCAGGCAAGCCACGCCCCTTTGAGTCCCAAGCGAGCCTATAAATCTCCAAATTCAGTGTGGACCTACGGTGTGGACACTGTAACGAAGCGCTGGAAATGTTCGACGAGGAGAGCATCTCCCTGTGTCTGATCGCCCTGGAGACGTTCCTCCATCGGTTTTTCATTGAAGATTCCCAGAAAATCATGCTTTTTGTGTAGAGAGCCTTCCATGGCGGCGCCGATCCTATTCAAAGTCCTGAACACGGTGACGAGGCTGATCGACGAGCCCATGTATCCCTGGCACGACACGGAGATGTTCGTTCCCGGAAACTCGAGGAGTGTCGCCAAACAGATGCTCAGAGTCACCTTGCATCAGGTAACGCTGTGGCTACTGTCTTAGGAAGGTCTACAAGAGCCCTAGGAACCCCTATAGCTAGAGTTGAAGTGGTCACTGAAGGGCAACCCTAATGGCTCTTGTAGGGCCACTCAAGGGACCACCTCATCTCCTTTTGTAGAGGCACTGAAGCTTCCAAAAGTGAACACTTTAGGGGATTTGTTAAGGACGTCTACAAGACCCATGGGAAGCGTGACCGATTTCAAAAGCTTTAGTGGCCCCTATAGGGAGAGTTGAAGTGTTCACTAGAGGGCAACCTAATGACTCTTATAGGGACCCCTTAAGTGACCACCTCACCTCCTTCTGTAGGGGCACTGAAGCTTCCAAAAATGATCACTTTAGGGGAGCATGCTAGGGGTCACTGTACGTCAACTTTCCAAGACCACTGTAGGGACCACTCAAGGGATTAGAGATCTTTTTTTTTGACTTCAAGCTTTTTTTTCAGCTCTCCTCATCTGGGATCTTAGGGACTTCTGCAAGACCCATAGGAGCCCTTAGCGTGACCGATTTCGAAAGCTTTAGTGGTCCCTATAGGGAGAGTTGAAGTGGTCACTAGAGGGCAACTTTTATGACTCTTATAAGGACCAATCAAGGGACCATCTTAACTCCCCCTCTAGGGCAGTATTGATTGAAAAGTGAGCACTTAAGGGGAGCATTCCAGTGGTCCCCTAAAGTGGTCACTTTTGAGTCATACGTTTGTCCCCTAAAGTGGTTACAGCAGTCCCGTCAACTTTCAAGTCAGAAAAAAGTTGAAAGACCACTGTAGGGACCACTTAAGAGCTCAGAGGCCTTTTTTCGGACTTCAAGCTCTTTTTTTTCAGCTCTCCTCGTCTGGAATCTGCATCCAGCTCTTCGACACGAGAATCCCTCGAAGAGAGTCATTTTGGAGCGTCGTCGCCCTTTCTTTGGCCGATTTCGTCGAACTTTCGCCTGTTCATTTCGTCCAGCTACTGATTGAGGTTCTGCATGAGCGAATAAAGAGAGCTCTCTGAAAGAATCGCGAAACTCCCAAAAATGGATTATATTCAGACGACTGGAATCCAAGGTTGAGACAAAATTGTGAAAAGGACCAAAAAAACAAATTTAAGGTACTGTTAAAAGTTTTTTGTAGCCATTTGATCTATGGTTGATATAAAAAAAGATCGGGGGGTCTTAAAATTGAGAAAGGAGCAAAAAAGCTGCTCTTCGGACACCTTTTAGGAACATTTTTAAGACCATTTTTCTATGGTAGATCTGAAAAGGCTTTCCCTCATTTTTTTTCCGATCGTAATGATCAGGAGACTTTTTTGAAGGACATCGAAGAGAGTTGGCCGAGCCGATTGACGACAATCATGCGGAATCTGGCCTCCTACATCGTGGAAGTCCCTCTAGATACCTATATCAACCATTGGAGCAACGTCATCACTCATTTCGAAGGCTTCTTCAGGAGATATCATACTATTGTTAGTGAAGGGAACTGGAAAATCGGATTTCGAAGTTATAAATTGGAAGTTTTGCTCCTAAAGGAGGAGTTCGAAACGGTCTTTAGTTCTCAAAAAAGAGTTCAAAAAGGTGTTTCATCCCGGAAAATGACTGAGATTTAAGAAAAGCTCGCTGTTATTTGGTTTTCTGAGGTTTAGATGTGCAGGTTAGAGCCGAAACTTGGAATGACCGGAAAAACATAACTGATAGGCATTGATAGCTTTATCGATAATTTGAAGAATAAATAAAAATTTGGTTGAGCTTGAATGAGAAAATCAGCAAATCGATGCAAAAGCTGGAAAATAATCGAAAAACTAAATTAACTAGTGAAAATACGCTCTAAAAAAATGATTTGAAATTCAGTTTTTTTTAGCTGTTCGGATTTTCTGATTTTTTTAAAATGTTAGCCTCCAGAATTTCCTGCATACAGAATCTTTTATTTCCTTTTTATTGATTTATTGAATTTCTTTATTTCATGAGCTCGTATATTTCAACCTGATGCGACTATTTTTCTAAAGGTCTCATCACTGATAACGGATTTTTTCTAGATCTCTGCTGAAAGTTCTTCGAAACCGAGCCAAATCGAGCTGGAAAGCACGGTGACGGTGATGAGCCACGTCCTGAAAGTCCAGAATTTCAGCTCTTTCAAGGTAAAATTTTAGAAGAAGTCAAAAAGTTTTGATTTTTTGTAGGTTTGATAAAACGTTCCTTGGTAAGTTTATACCAAAAAGGAATAGAACCCTATCACAAAATATCATAAAATCAGAGAAACTTTGAGTTTCAAGAAAAAATTTTTCCTGGATTTGATTCCAAAAAATTTCAGAGCGCGGTTCCTCTGGTCGAATCGTTCGCCAAATGGGTCTCCGAGGCCCTTCATTCCTGCAAAATTTCGCTCGAAGGGCTTCTCACCGTGTGTACGGCGTGTAATCGGGCGCTTATCCGGGTCCGTCTTTTCCCGAATTGAAGGATTTTCGGGCACATTTCTGCCGAAAATTAATTTTCTCATTTCTTAATGGTTTTTGAATTGCTGGAACTGAAATTTTTATTTTTTTGGCGGCGGGTTCCTCACTTTTGAACCTCCTGATTCCGTAGAAAAAATAAGAAAACCCCTTTCTTCAATATTTAGAAACGTCAGAGTGTTCCCTATAGGGGTTAGGGCGCAAAAACAGCCCCTAGAGGCGATAAAAAGGTCCCCTATAGGGGTAAAGTTAAGGTGGTCCCTAAAGGGATTTAGAACCTAAAGCTTAAGTGGTCCCTTTCGCAAAAATTTAGTGACTCCTCTAGGGAACTGCAAGATAGGAGGCCCCTCTAGGGACCACTTTTACGTTCCTAAGGAAATTAGAAAAGGATATTGTAGGAATAGTATTCAAACAGCTTTTTGGAAAATAAGAAACGCTGAGTGAAACATTTATGTGACTTAATTTTTTTAACAATAGGAATATTATTTATTAAAAAAATTTCCTACATTTCTCATTCACCAAAAGATATCCTTTTTTTATAATTTTATTAAATGAGGAAAAAAATGTTGTTTCAGGAACGCGACAAGCAATGTGTGACGCGTGCCGTTGTCGCTGAACTGATGCAGGCGATCAAGTTCAAAACCCAGATGTCTGAGGACAACTACATCACGATCGCTCATATGATCTTGCAGGATGCCGGGGAAGGTTTGGAATTTGTGAAAAAGTCGAAAAATTGGTTGAAAGAACGGAAAAATTCATAGGAAAGTCTTTGAAAGGTCCTTTTTTATGAGTTAAAAACTTCTATCATCTTTTCAACTTTTTTGCAAAATCTCTCCAAAAATAACGGAAAAAGAAGCTTTATATTGATTTTGATAGATACAAGATGACACAGAACAAAACGAAGTTTTTGATTTACTAGAAAAAAAAACTCTGGTGGCCACTCAAGAGGCCCCTTAAGGACTACTTGGAGAAGACACTAAAGTGGCCACTAAAGCAACTTCTATTGAAGCCACTATTTTGCGTCTTAGTGGCCACTATAGTAGCTTTTAGCGGTCTTGTATTACCACTCAGACTTCTAAAGAGGCCACTATATTTCATTCACTTAAGTGGCCAATCAATCGGCTACTATAGTGACCACTAAAAAGTCAAAATCCTTAAGTGGTCACTACGATTTTTTTCAGTTAACGAAGTATATCAAGGTTCAAAAGCCCAAACTTCAATAATTTGAGAAAGTTTTTGATCACAACCTGGGGTTTTTTCCATTTAGGAGCCACTATAGTAGTCGAGTTAGTGGTCTCTTAAGTGGCTAGGAGCCCAAGCGGTACTAATTGACCATTAAAAACTACTATAGTGGCCACTAAGAAGCAAAATAGTGGCTTCTATAGAGGTGGCTTTAGTGGCCACTTTAGTGTCCTCTCCAAGAAGTCCTTGAGGAATCTCTTAAGTGGTCAGTAGAGTTTTTCAAGCTTCAGAAAACTAATTTTTCAGACATCGAAGTACCCCTCCTCGACGATCAGTTCAATACAGCCGCGTCTGAAGCCGTGCGACCTTTCCTTTTCGAAGTTTTGGACTTTATTGCTGACCTGCATGTTTTAGCCAAACTCAAGGTTTTTTTTGAATCGAAATCAGAAGATGAATCTGGAAAAATGACTCAGAAAGAGACGAATTCGGACGCCCTGGGAGGTGACCTCAAGGTGAAGCTCGCCGAGGCGATCGGTAAGGAATTTTTGGAAAATTTGAATGGAAAAGGATATTTTTCAGCCGTGGAAATGTCGAGATCCAATGCGAGGGACTGTAGGACGGTTATCAGATTCATTCCGTGGCTTATGAGTCCCCCGTCGGTGACCCAGGTAACACTTAGAAAGAAAAAAAATCCTTGAAATTCGGCAGTTTTTGCTCTTTTCTAAACGTTCTTATCAATAAGTGGGGTCAAAGCGGTGTTTTTTGAAACGCGCCCGACCAAAAACGGTTTGCGCGTGGAGGCAGCGAAAAGCATCAGAGCGATCCTTCAAAGCCTTATGAAAAACATGGAAAATGTGAAAATGAGAAAAAGAACCTTAAAAGTCATTCATCCATTTTTGAAAACGTCTGACCTGTCTGCGCTCTCTTTTCTCTCATCGAGTGAGTCCTAGAAACAAGAAAATAGAAGCTGGAGGGTGCAGAAAAACAGGCTTTTTTCCAAAATTTAGCGAGTGACTTATAAAATGAAGTTTTTTTTCGAGACTATGAGGCAAAAGTGCTGAAAATTCTACCGCAACCTCACTTGGAAGGGGCTTTTTTTAACGCGTCTGACCTGAAACGGTTTGCGCACGCGGAAAGTATAAAAGCGTGAACATCGCTACGAGACAACAAATAAACGCGACCGCGACGTTCTGATCCATTCCACGTGCGGTCAAGATTTTTTTAATTCGATAGTCTGTTTGCTGGGACTTGAGAGTTTTTGAGTGTCTGCGTCTCTTTGTTCCATCAAAGGCGAGGTCAGAGAAAAATGGCAAAAGTACTTAAGAATGAGAGGGTGGCCGAGAGATAGGAGGGAGCAGAAAACAGCAGTTTCAATTTTTTTTTTTCTCGGCACTCTCTCTTGTTGACGTGCTGTTTCCATGTTTCTCTGACCTCCTCGGTGAGGGAACAGAGAGACGCAGACACTCGAAAATTTTCAATTCACGGCGAACGAACCATACTGGGAAAATTTTTAGTGGCCACTATAGAGGCTCGCCAAGGACTACTTGGAGAGGACACTGAAGTGGTCACTAAACCCACTTCTATAGTGGCCACTATTTTTCGTTTTAGTGGCCACTACAGAGGTTCTCTATTTAGTTAAATTGAATTGAAATTGAATCAGTAGTTTTTCATCCAGTAACTATGATATTTTTTAAACAAACAGATTGGACCAGTTATGTTGATCCATTGACAGCTAGAAAGAAAAAAAAAATCCTTGAAATTGCTTCTTTTTCTAAATTTTCTAGGAAAATATCAAAAAGTGGGGTCGAAGCGGTTTTTTTGGAACGCGCCCGACCAAAAACGGTTTGCGCGACAGAGAGGACATTAAAGTGGACACTTAACCCACCTTTATAGTGGCCACTATTTTCCGTTTTAGTGCCCACTTCAGTAGTTTTTCATCCAGTATTCCTTCCAGTAACTCTGATATTTTTTAAACAAACAAATGGGCCAGTTATGTTGATCCATTGACCCCTGAAGTGGCCGCTCAAATTTTTAGTGGTCTAGTAGTAGCACTTCGACCTCTATAGTGGCCACTAATTTTTAACCCCTTAAGTGGCCACTACTTTGACTACTATAATGGCCACTAAAACGTCAAAACCCTATAATGACCACTAAAAGTTTTCGCAGTAGTGTCGAGAACAGTGAATAAAATATGTTTTAAGGCGGCCCCGGGAGCGTTCGCCGATTCGGTGACCAATGTTCGAGTCCTGTCCTGGCTTTTGCTGGGAGCTCTCCACGCGAATCATTCCTGTCTTCCGGTACCCATCGAATGTTCTCAGCACATGGCTGACTATATTCATTTCGTCTTGGCTGGCTTTGCCGATCAGTCTAAGGTTGTTTTTTGAAAAAGCTTCTCTCAAATTTGGATTGAAGTGCTGAAAAGCTATGCAAAAAAGTAGTTACCTAGCTATGCAAAAAAGTAGTTATCAGCATAATTTGAACGATAACTTATCACTAATTTCAGTTAATTTGTTGATTGTGCGATTTTTGAAGAGAAGATTTGAAAAAAATTCAGAAAAATGTCGAAAAAAAGCGTATTTATGTATTTTTGTAGAAATAAGAAAAAAAGGATTTTTTTCAGGAATTATTGAAATTTTTTTAATCAAGAGTTACGGAAAAAAATTCTATATATTTTGATTGATCCTACAAGTCCTGATGTAGAAATGATTAAAGAGAGTAATTTTTTTCAAAAGGGATGCGTTGCGTATGCGACGCGGTTTTTTTGGCGCGAAATTCGAATTCAAATCTTGGAAAAAAATTTTTTTATCGATTTTATGCATTAATCCGTTTCAACTGAGTTTTTTTCAAAGCTATAAAAAAATTTAAAAATCATTGAAAAAAACTGTCAAAAAAGGAGAATAACATGAGAAATGATGGATCACGTTTGAAATGGAAATTCCCGCCAAAAGCCGCGTCGCGTACGCAACGCGTCACCCTTGCCAATTTGACCATATCGCCTTTCAATTTGGGAAAGATCGACTATAGAGAAAACAAGGGTTTTTTCCGTAATGGAATAACATTGAGGAATTCTGTTTTAGCTATTTTCGGTAATCTGTTGAAAATTCAGATTTATTCAAAACGCGAAATTATTTCTGACTCTCCTGAGGTTTTTTGATTTTTGTAGGAATCTTTAAACATGGCATGAATATTTAGAATCGTTTCGGGGGGTCATTTCTATCATTTTTCTCGATTCAGCAATCGGTCGTCCACATGTCGGCCCTGTTCCACGCCTTCCATTTATGTCAACTTTGGACCGTCTACTGCGAAAGAGCCGCCATGTTCAGCTCGACGACAGCTTTTCCGCATCTCATCGATTTCTGGGCCCGCGTCACCCCGGCCATCCTCCAGTTGCTCAGCCATTCCAAAGTGGTCCGTTGAAACTTTTACATAGGCAAAGTTGGAAAGGATGGAATGTCTCCATAAAAATGTTCCTTTTTTGCTGCCTTTTTGCGCCATTTCATCGGCTATTATGCACCATTTTTGCTGCCTCTTCATTTTCCCACCATTTGTTGACCCTTTTTGCCGCTTTTTTGCTGCCTTTTTGATGCCTTTCTCCGGCCTTTTTGCAAGCTTATTGCAGCCTTTTCGCAGCCTTTTTACCGCCTTTTTGCAGCCTTTTTGCTGCCTTTCTGAGACCTTTTCGCAGCCTTTCTGCGACCTTTTCGCAGCCTTTTTTGAGCCTCTCCTTTTTAGCGGCCATTTTCTACCATTCCCTTTTTGCCCGAGAAAAAGATTAAGAAATATGCGCTTCAATATTAGTATTTTTTTAATTATTATTATAATTGTGAAACGAACTCGAACAACTTTTCATATTTTTTTCAGCTCGCCGACATGGTCAATCTGCACTTTCTGAACACGATTCAAGCCCTTCAACAGGTTGGTTTTCCTTTGAAAAAGTTTTTTCTTAAATTATTATTATTTTCCAGGTCAATTCGGCACTCCTCTGTCAACTTTATTCAATGTGGGCGCCGATCCTGACCGCCTACCATAGCCAAATTCCCAACCAACTTAGGTATTTAACCAATTTTTCAGTAGGAAATGTGTTAACTTTAAAAATTTAATTTTCTGTGAAATTTTTTAGTTTCAAAGGAATCTTAGGTACGTCATAGTGACCCCTATAGGGGTTAGGGAAAAAACAGCCTTTACTGAGGAAAAAAAATTGAGCCGCTTTTGCAAGCTTCAGTGGCCTCGGGGAGGTGAAGTGGTCCCTAGAGGAGAGTCTTTAAAGACCCCTAAATTTGCCCCTATAGGGATTACTCCGGCGCTCCTAAGAATATTTCAAACTGTTACTTTTTATTTCATAACTTATTTTGGAAAACTAGACACGATTTGAGCTGATGCGCAGTGAAATCTATCATTATCGATTTTTTGAAAGGTTCTCTCGAAGAATGGTTTTTGGAAAATATAGTCCCCACTGCGATCTCTTTTTGTACGAAATGGCCTAAAATGAAAATAAATTTTCGCTTCGAGACCTTTTTGAACTTTGACTATGCTCCTTTAAATTTCAGCTAGCTTTCTCGGGGAACATTCCATTGTCCTATAAGTTATTATTCAAACTTTTTGACTTAATTTAGTTTTTTTTTTTTCGATTCACACTAAATAATGTATATGAGCACAGAATGTACTATAACAACAACCGAGGTTTTTCGCTCCGAGACCTTTTTGAACTTTGGCTATGCTCCTTTAAATTCCAGCTAGTCTTTTCCGGGAAAGATTCGTTTTTCCTATAAATTATCCTCCAAACTTTTGACTAATTTTCGATTCACACTTAATTATGACAATAGCAAACGAGGTTTTTCGCTCCGAGACCTATATAAAATTGGACTATGCTCCTTTAATTTTCAGCTTTCCGAAAAAGATTCCATTGCCTGTTGAACTATCCTCAAACCTTTTTGTATGATTTTTTTAAAAAAATACTGTCCTCCTAAATAAAGATAAAGTTTTTGTTCAGAATGAAGCTGGATTCGTGCCAAAATCAGCCATCACTTGACCCGCCCCTCGTCACGGAATGGCTGAAGAAAGTCCGGTACAAGATTTCCCAAGTGGAGCTCCAGACGTCGGCCGCGTCACCCTACTACAATGTCTAAAAACTGAGAAACAAAATGCAACTTTTGGAAAAAAAAAAGAAGAAAGAATGAAGCAAATGTCATATTCGTACAGCGGGGAACCAGATTTTCAATAAATTTATTGGATAATTATGAGAAAAGACGCGAAAGTTCATTTATTAAAGCTTCCTGTGGTTTTTAAAGGAGCATGGGTAAATTTGGTATTAAGGTCTCGGAGCGAAGAGCCTTTTTTTGTTATATTAGGACGCCTGCGCCTTTAAATAACTCAGAAAGCTGCTATTGAAAAGTTTTGAAAGGAAGAAACTCAATTTGAGCCCATAGCAATAAATGATCATGGCCAGGAAGAATTATAGACTTTTTAACTGTTTTTAGAGGATTTGGGTCCAGAAATCTTCGAACATTTCTTCCGATTCAAAATTTTCTGTTGGTATCATAAAGTTGACGCTTACAAAAAAATTAGTTTTAATTTCTTCGAGAATTGGTCACGAAAAGTCGCCCTCGTGATAATTGATGAGTTTTTTCAAAATTAACCTCGAACAAAAAATATTTCTTGCTGTTTTGTCAGCATCGGTTTGCGTGTTTATTGAACTGGAGTTGTTTTAAAAGTGGAAACTATGGGTTTTTTTTATTCAATCAGCGTGAAAAACTAAAGTACTGGCCATAAAGTTATTTCAAAGTGGTTATTCGAGCATAGCTTCTCTCAAATTGGCTCAAATGACTTGAAACTTTGCACAGATTTCAAATAACTATGCAGTAACTCATTTGCTTGAGTCAGACCGGATTTCAGAGCAAAAAATCGAAAATCGTGAATATGGAAATTTTTCTGAGTTCTGCTCCCGGGAATGAGTTACTGCATAGCTATTTGAAATCTGTGCGAAGTTTCAAGTCATTTGAGCCATTTTCAGAGAGTTTATGCTCGGATAACCATTTTGAAATACCTTTATGGCCAGTACTGTATATCTAGTAAACCTAGGTCCCATTTAGAAGTCCCACAGTAAGCTCAGACCATTACCCCGTCAAAAAAACCTACTATTTCTTGGAACGATTCCGAGAAATTTCCAGCACACAGTCACCGTCGGAGGAACATATGTTTAATAAATATATTGAATCGGAGAGGCAAAGATGGACCGACGAACAGGTGCGAGAAGAAGGGACTCCCCTCCTCGCATCGCCTTTTTGTTTGCACTACGGACGCGAATCACAAACTGAAGAAACGAAAAATGATGAAGGCCCCCCTCTTCCAACTGAAACGAACCTCCACACCAACTATCACTCCCTATCAACACTTGCGCGCACGTCTCTCCTCTTATCGGCTACTTTTTTCTTATTTTTTGCTTACTATTCGATTCGATTCATGTTTTCAATGTCTTCTGTTCAGATTTCACTACGCTCCGAAAGATTTTCACGTCGAAAAGCTGCCCCTGCGCCTTTAAAAACCAAAATACCGTCAAAAAAGGAAAAAGATAACCAAGTTTTGGAGTCACAGATAATTTGGAGTTTCGCCGGAATTATTTTGAACATATGGCGTTTTTAAGGTACCCCTGCGCCTTTAAAATGCATTTTTGTTATAGCAGTATATTTTCTTTAAAGTAGGAATTTTTTGCTTACTATTTGATTTGATAGTTTTAATAATCTGTTTACTACGCTTCGAAACATTTTGGCGTAAAATAGCCATGCGCCTTTAAATCCTAAAGGCATTTTTTTTTTTTGTTATAACAGTATCTTTTTCTTCAAAGTAGGGTTTTTTTGAAGTTAAGTAGAAGTTTTTTGCTATCCTTTTGATTTTTTTGAATTAGTTTTGTTTTTCAAATCCCAATACGCCCCTGAAAGCTACCCCTGCGCCTTTAAAGGGCATTTTTTTTTGTTATAGCCCGTTAAACGCCAGTTTGTCACGTTTTTCTCTTGCCAAGAAGGTAGTATACCAAATTTGACCCCACTTCGCTTCAAGACCTGTTTTTGCAGTTTTGTAGAGCAAAAATGCAAAAAAGGCTGTTTTGAAGGTAGATTTTTTCTGTTGTTAATTCAAAACGTGACCGCGAAATGTACTCTAACAGTAAATTTCCTTCAAACTTGAGTATTTTCAAGCTTTGCAGGGCTTTAAATAAAAAACGGCTCTTCGCCTCGAGACCTTCATCTTATTTTTCCATTCTGCGATCAAAAAAAAACAAGAATTTTTTAAATAAGAATTTTTTATTTTAGTTTTATTCACTCTTATTTTTGAACAATGATGAGCGTTTTGCAGACTTGAAAGTCTTTTTTTTATTTTATAAAAAGTTGCTTCTCTAAAAAGTTAATAAACTTTTTTTCGACGCTAGAAAAAAATTCTATTTTTTTAGTCTTAAACATTGATAATTTGTAGAATTATGACTCATAAATAAAGGCGCAACTTTTTTTTGACCATTTTTTTCCCTTTGCAAACGATGAAAGATCAAAAAAAGCTTTTTTCTCGGAAACAAACAAGGCAGCTATCAAAGTTTTTTTAAGATTTTTTTCTATGTTGTTGCAACTTTTTGACGTTATAATCATATTGTTTATTACTTTTGACGTTATAATCATATTGTTTATGGGATATTCCATTATATTTTTGAACACGTTGAATGTTTGCTTTCCAAACTTCCAATGCGACACGTTACGTTACACTATTTCAAAAGAAATTTCTCGTTTCGCATCGACATCGTTTTTTTTTTCGTTCCTTTCTTTTTTGTCGTGTTTCATCTTCTCGCAATCGATGGGCAAACGTTCTTTTCCTTTTTCGAATCGTGTTGTTTTTCAGTGAAGAAGGGCGATTTCTTGATAAACAGCACTTTTTCGGGACTTCCTTAAGCGTACTTAAATCGAGAATTTTCTGGAATCGAATGCGTTGAAAAAAACAAAAATTTAGAAAGAAAAAAATTTTTTTATTTTGTTATCTTCAAGAGGCGTTGAAAAAGAATTGTTTCAATTTTTAATTAAATTCTCAACGTTTTTTTCAATGCCACAATGAATTCAATACGGTTTTTTTACCTAATTTTACATCGTCTGGAACAAAATATCAAATTGTCAGTAAAAGATCATTCGCAGGCGGTTTGCTCTTTTCCTATTTTTTTTTAGAAAATGTAAAATAAACGACTTTTGATCGTGTATCAACAATGAACACCCGATTTTTAGTTTCAAATCCAGGTCGTTTAGATTACAGGAAGCCGATCAAGTGCAGTTATACGAAATAATTAGTTAATTTTCCAAAAAAAAAAAATGATTTCGTTTGAAAACCGATTTCACGGGAGTTAAAGTAATTACCGCACAGCACTTGTGACTTTTAAACACGTGGATCAATCCGGTTTATCACCGCGATCGACAAGAACTAATTTGAACCACGGAGCGAGGCGAAAAAGGTGATAAAAAACAAGAAAAAGAGACATTTTCGAAAAGAGACGAGGGGGCGAGGCGATTTTTGAATTTGGCGGCAGCCGCGGCGCGCGGGAAAGCGACGCGGCCGGCCTTTTGCATGCGTGACTGATGAAACCAGCGAATCGCTTTCGTTATTTTCTCTCGTATTCTGCTATTATTATCGATTTCGGCACGTTTTCGTTATCAAATATGGAAAAGCGACCTCCGGAATACGAAATAAGCTCAGAAAATCGCCCAAATCAATCTTTCAACAAGCCAAAACCATGCTCAAAAATTTCGCAAATCTCTATTGATTCCGCTTTTTCTCATTTCTAATCACCGTCATCTCTGTTTCAAAAAGAATAATGTCATTTTTTGGAACTTCTTGTCATAATAGTACACGTGGTCGTGATTGAAACGTGGTTTCATCTCTAATTTTGTAATCCGATCGATCTGTTTACGCCCGTTTGTATCGTCCTTTTTCTCCGTTATTTCCGATTTTCGTCGTGTTCGTTGTGCGTTCTCGCTTCTGTTCTTGAAGCCCGTTATTTTCATCTTGTTCATTTCGTCTTTTTACATGATCATTTTGTTTTAGGAGAGCCTCGACTTGACTCCATCTGGTGCCCGAGCGCACTAGCATTGGTGAACTTTTAATAGAGAAGGTACGCGTTTACTTTCAACTTCTTCTATTTTTCTCCTATCGAAGGATGTTGATCTTTGTTGTAGTAGAGAATTTTCCAGGAAAGATCCAAGAATGGCAAACGTTGCATCGGGAAAAGATTTCATCGTTGCGACCAAGTATAAATTGATCAGGAAGATCGGCTCAGGATCTTTCGGTGACATTTATGTTTCCATCAACGTCACAAACGGCGAGGAGGTCGCGATAAAATTGGAAAGCAATCGGGTACGTGATTTTTAACGATTTTATGGAAGGATTTATGTTGAACATTTTTCTGAAAATAATTTTCTTCCAGGCGCGTCATCCGCAATTATTATACGAGTCAAAAGTCTACAGAATTCTTCAAGGCGGCGTGGGTATCCCGCATATTCGTTGGTCAGTGAATTTCTCAACTTTTATAATAGTTTTTATTCAGAAATTGTTTTCAATAACATATTTTCAGGTACGGAACTGAGCGCGAGTACAATGTGTTGGTTATGGACCTTCTCGGCCCTTCTTTGGAAGATTTGTTCAACTTTTGCTCCAGGAGATTCACAATGAAGGTTTTCCCGTATTTTCAATCATCATTTCATCCGCAATCTTCCAGACGGTTCTTATGTTGGCCGACCAGATGATCGGCCGTATCGAGTACGTTCACGTGAAGAATTTCATCCACAGAGACATCAAGCCCGACAATTTCTTGATGGGCATCGGCCGCCACTGCAACAAGCTCTTCCTCATCGATTTCGGATTGGCGAAAAAGTGAGGGTTTCAGAGAATCGAGCTGTTTCAGACTGTTGATGCGCTTGTAAATCTTGAGTTTAAGTGAGAAATCGCGCAAAAGCCAGGCCGTTTTTGGCCAAGGGTTCCTTTAGACACAGGTAGAGTTAACGAGACGTGTCGCGCAGCCATTTAGGGATCCCTTAAGAGTATTGAACAATAAATAAATGGCTGAGAAACGCCTACGCATTTAATTGATCACTGAATGACTGAGAAATGCCCGATTTGCGTACACGCCTACGCATTTACGTGATAACTTAATAATGACTGAAAAATGTCTCTTTCTCGTTCGCGCCTACACACTCAAGTGATCACTAAAGGATTGAGAAACGCCTACGAGTTCAAGTGATCACTTAATGGCTCAGAAAAGACTGATTTTCATACACGTATACGCTTTCAAGTGATTACTAAATAACTTAGAAAAATTGCGTATGGTTGGCGAAGAAGTGTTTTAGTGACTACTGCGCATTTGAACGATTACTATATGGCTAAAAATCGCCCGGTTCACGTAAAAATGTGTATTGATTAATTGAGCGGCGTCGACGCTTTTGATTAATCCCTGAATGAATCAGAAAAGCTCGGTTTGCGTTCACTTCAAAATTTAGTGTTTACTTTAGAGTCATTAAAGCGCTTAAGTGATCCCTTGGCTCAAAAACGCCGCGTTCGCATTCACGTTAGTGATTACTTCAGCTTCGACTCACTTCAGGGATCACTGAAGGGCTCAGAAACACCCGTATTGCGTGCCAGTTTAGTGATTACTTCAGAATCGTCGACGCATTTAAGTGATCTTTGAAAGCCTCAGAAACTCACGTTTCGCGAATGATTTTTAATCTAGTGATTACTTTGGAAGCGACTGCGCACTCTAGGGATCACTCAAAACGTCCCGTTTCCGATAACAGTTTCTGAGCATGGTCAGCCTATGAAAGATGTCCCGACGCGTTAATTAGCGCGTGCTTTTTTTTTACTTCCATAGCTCCAAAACACGTAAAATAGGACAGTCGAGTCTTTTCTAAACCGAATATTTGTATCGTCTCGTTTCGAATTTCTAGAAGTTTTAAAATATATTCTTGAATTCAACGAAACTTTCCAGTTTCTCTATGTTTGAGAGACTTGTAAAAACTCTAATAACAAGGAAGTTCCCATGGCTTGTTTCAAGAAACTATCTTGCTCCATTTTTCAACTTTTTTTTGATAAATTCCATTCCGGCTACACTAATCATATAGTGCTGATGCGGAGAATAACAAAGGAAAAAAAATTTCAAAGGGAAAAAGGATATTTTCCCATAAAGTGCAGTATTTAATGACCACCCTGCCGTAGTTGCGCATTAAGAAAATTCATGAAAATATTCGATTCGAAATTTTCCCAATGTAAAGATTTACATTTTTAGGATATATCTCACTTTCAAAGCAAAGCAATCGATTTCTCGTGTGCCTTCATCGAATTCAACTTTCCAAAATTTGTTTTTGGCTTTTTTTTTCTAGGATCAGATGCTACGAGAGTACAAAGATCACTAAAATAAACAAATTTCGGTCGTTTGTCGAAAAAAAAGGCACTTCTCACAAATTGTACGGGAAAGCGCCGCGCGTTCTATTTTTTTATAAGGGTTATCAGAAATTGGAACTGAAGAAGCCTAGTGAAGTTTTTATTCTGTCACATTTCCAAAAATTTTGAACGAAAAAAAAAAAGAATAGCATTGTTGAACTTTTTTCTAACTTCTGTGAAAAGTTTTCTTGATTGTGTTTATTTTTCGGCAGATTGGTTTTTCATTGAATAGATCGATTTAACTTTAATCAACTGAAAAGAAAATCCATAGTTTTCACGACGAGGAGAGAAAATCATATGGTGTTTTCCTCTCGGAAACGTGTTTTTTTGTCTTTTGATGAAAAATGTCGGCATCGAAAATCGCGACGACCTGTGTACTTTGTTGTTTTGTTCATTGAAGTCTTTTCACCTATTTTCGAGACGTATTAATTAATTAATGGTGAATAATTAGTTGAAGCTGTCGCGACGATGACTCTTGTGATATCCCTTGAGAGTTTTTGAAAAAAATGAAGCGTCATTAAAGTTTTTACCTGAAAGTCAGGAGATTGATAAATTTAGTTTTATTAGTGAAGTGCTGGAAAACTTTTCTCGGAGTTCAATGAAGGTTGTGCAATTGAAACGAAAGTGCATAATTTTGTTTTTTTATTCATTTAAAAGGACAATGTATTGAATGATAAGGCTATGAACAAAGAACAAAAAAATATTTATAGCCTTTTGTGGAAATTTTTCAACGTGATACGTTCAAGCTTTGAGAAACGGATGAAGATGATATTTATTTATTTATTTATCTCACTCTTTATCTCACAAAAAAAACGAATGAAAAAATCATAATTTTAATCAAATTCACGAGCTTCAATCAACTTCGATAACTTTTAAAGAATCGAAAGATTTCAAAGAGTTATTTTCAAAGAAAATCATGCATTTTTCACGAATATTTAAGTATAAAAAGCTTTTGGAAACACTTTTCGAATTTTAGAGGTTTTGCGAGAATTTCTAGCAGCCACTTCAGGGTATTGACGTTCAAGTGGCCACTACAGAACTCCAATTACAGCCACTAAAAAGAGAACTACTATAGTGGTTTCCATAGATGTGTTTTAAGGACAATCTTAGTGTCCTCTTCAAGAACTCTTTGTGGAACCTCTTAAGTGGCCAATAGAGTTTTTCCAAGTAGCGAAAATTAGAATTAGAAGTGTCAAACATTAACATATACTAGTTTGATAAGAATTCATGAAACGTGTTGTTTAATAATGTGAAAGCTCGTTTCAACTTGGTTCATTACAAAACTGAGAAATCGGGGCAAATTTTCCATGAGTATAATAATCGTAGTAGCTCGTATCTTAACGTTAAAAATACATCAATTTTTCATTAATTTTTTTGTTAAAGGAAAAAAATAGTAAAATTATTTTTTTGTTCAGGTTCCGCGACTCGCGCACTCGTACGCACATTCCATACCGAGAAGACAAAAATCTGACTGGTACCGCCCGTTATGCTTCAATCAACGCTCATCTCGGTATTGAGCAGTCGCGAAGGTTTGTCTGAAAGGGAAAAATGATGATAATTGATAAGAATCGATTTATTTTAAAAATATGTTTTTAGGTTTTGTTTGTGAAAATGACGCGTTCAAAAAGGAAATAATTAGTGATATTTTTTATAAATCTCCTTCAAAATTTGAATTTATCTCTTCTATGTTTCCGTCAGTAGATACACCAAATTTTTCTGACACAGCGCGATCAAATTTTGCATGTTTTTGCGTTAAAAAATTCAGAGAATTTTTCGAAATGACGCTTCGTAAAAAAAAAGTTTCTATTAGTTGGATACATTTTTCTAGTGCCAACCGAACTGATTTGATTTTAGGAAGTTTTCCTGGTTACCCTTGTGATTGAAAAGTTGAATTTTTTTTTCAAGAATGAAAATTGCACCTGAAACAGTATAGTACTAAATTTTCAAGGATAGGGGATCGATTTGAAAAAATTATTGAAAAATGGCACTGAAAGGGGGTACTTGAATGCTGAGGGGGTAACCCAGCCGTGCTAACACGGGGTCTCAGCAGGGTGCCCCCCGTATTGAACCCGTGCTGGTAGAACTTTTGGCAATTTTTAGCCCAGCTGGGTTAAATATTTTTCTTACACTCGTTGTTTCCCCGTTTTAGCCCAACTGGGACTGAAATAACCTCAGAAATACGGGTTCAATACGGGTACACACGTTGAGAAACCTGACCACTATGAGAGTAGTTTTTGACCTGATTTCCTGAATTTTGAAATACTCAGATGGAAAAAAAAATGTGAAAATGGTCTGTCCAGACATGATTAACATGCTATTTTCCAGAGATGACATGGAATCGCTGGGCTACGTTCTGATGTACTTCAACCGCGGAACCTTGCCGTGGCAAGGGCTGAAGGCGGCGACCAAGAAGCAGAAGTATGAGAAGATTTCGGAGAAGGTACAGAAGAAAAGTGGATTTTTCGTCATTCAATCAATGTTCCTTCAGAAAATGACGACGTCTGTTGAGCACTTGTGCAAAGGATTCCCGGCCGAGTTCCCCATGTACCTGAGTTACACGCGCGGCCTGCGCTTCGACGAGGCGCCAGACTACATGTACCTCCGGCAGCTCTTCAGAATCCTCTTCCGCACGCTAAACCACCAGGTATTACTTTTTTCGCAAAAAAACAGTTTTATTGGGTTACGCTTTTAATGGTTCTTGACTTTTGGAGCTCTCTTTGGTTTATTATATACTGTAAGAATGATCTGGGTTTTAATTAAAATTGAGGAGTTTGGTGAGAATTTTTGTCGTTGAACTGAAAAAGGACATTTATCAGAACTATGCAGTTTGTTGAAAATTTTCAGTTTTCGAAAGATTTTTATCGCTTCTCTGGAACTTTTAAGCTGAAAGGATGTATAAAAGTTTTTTCTGGAAATTTAAAAAGTTTGCATTTTTTTCAGCATCTTTTAATTGAGATTTCTTGGATTTTAGAAGGTTTTTGTTTTTTCCGAATAAGTTTCCTTGACAGGATATTTCATTAGTTTCAAAAATGGCCATTTCTCGGAATTAAATGAAAATACGCTTCTCTGAGGGCTTTCAATAGCAAATAAGTGAAAATTAAAAAGAAGAAATTCTTTAAAAAGACTTTTTAGTTATCTGAAGATTTTTGTAAAGAGATTACATACTTTAAGGTAGGAAACGTCTCTAAATTTTTTATGAACTTTGATTTCCTTTTATAATTGATCTCTAGCACTGAATAACTCGGATTTGGCGAAAAAAAAGAGGGTAAAAAATTCAAAGCTTCTGCTCGTGGGTAAAATTTTTGTTTACAAGAATTTGTTATCTTGGAAGAAGGCCACAGAAAATTTAAACCAAAAAATGAACAGATTCGAAAAAATTCCGAGATTCTAGGAGCTCGGAGTTCTCAGCACGGACCAGTTTTTTTGAAAAGCCTCGGTATTTTAAAGGCTTATCTCGAGTTTAAAAAAAAAGCCATGAAAAACCTGTTCAAAACGTGTTTGTTGCTATCATATTTGCTTTTCTACCCGGAGTCCAAACGGTTCAGTACGACTACACGTTCGACTGGACGATGCTGAAGCAGAAGGCGTCGCAGGCGCAGTCGAATGTGCTGACGGGCACCCCCGGGGCCTCTGGGGCCGCCGTGGCGGGAGGATCGCAGGCGACGCCGGGCACTGGAGCTCCGCCGACCGTCAACCCACCGCAATAATCGAGAGAGCAAGAGAAAAGAGACGCTTCTTCTTTTTCTTTTCCTTTTTTTCTTCTCTCTCAGCAACTCTTCTGTTCAACCGTGTTACCATTTGAGAATTTCGCGATTCAGTGCACATTGCTGCTATTATAAAATCGAAAAAAGTTTTTTTTTGTGTGTGTTGGTTTTATTTTTATCTTCTTTTTTCTTTTGTGTAATTGCAAATTTGTTCTGTTTTCCACACATTTATTATTTTTTTGTCTTCCTAGTTTTTTTCCTCGTTTGGGTATTTCTCCCCCAGTTTTTTCTTCTTCGTCCTTCTTTGAAAGCAATTTTATCGCCGTTTCCCTTCAATGTGACGCTCGCTGGATGGCTTCCTCCACGTTCTTGTTCTACTTGGCACTTGTAAATGTTTCGGAACAGTTTTCTTCTTCTTCTTCATTATTTTATCATAATTTTACTCTATTGAATTGGCTCCGTCGATGATCTGTGGAGCCCCTGAGCTCGGAAGGAGTCTTAGAAGCTCCACGGATCAGAAGCAATCGAGTTTTACCGTCCTTCCTCTTCCATCCGTCCGTCGTTGGTTTTTCGATTCTTCCTGCATTGTATTCATAAACGTTTAGGAAAAACGCACTGCTTTCCTCGTACCCTTTGTTCACAAATTCGATTCAGTGCGGTTTCTATACAGCGTCGGAAAATGTTCCATTTCATTCGTCTTGAGGATACGTGGCTTTAAGGCTCGTGGGTTCGCTCTTATCGTCCACTTCTTCAAGTTTCCCATCTTAGTTCTTATAAATCAATAGGACCACCATAGAAAGACAGACGCAGTCTGAAATTCGAGAAAAGTGACGGTTTTTGTTGGATAATGTAGACTTTGTGTGTGTGCGTACCCTTTTCCCTTCTGTTCAATTTACATTTCTTTGAAAAGCCGTTCACGATGTGAAATGATTGGAATAAATCGATCGGAATAGCTTGTGGAGGCTGATTTTTCACGAGGATTTGTACTCCTTGCGCTTGTGGATCGCCAGAATTGCTGTTGATCCGAGCAAAATCGAGATGTTCTTGTTTTTCTTCCCTCGTCCAATTCTTCGACTCTTTTCCGATGCCTTCAACCATCATCTTCAACCCCAATTTTCTATTGAACGATTATTTCTTTTTTCTTTGTCCCACCCTTGTTTTGTTCGTTCAATTGTAATTCGCCGCCCTCGGCTCATTTCATCCCAATTATATTCGTAGCAAAGTGATGTTTTAAAATAATGAAGAATTCCGTTGTGAAATCAGACGTTTTTTATTACCATGTAATCGTAGAGAGAAGTTTTTTAAGTGATATCAGATGTAGCACCACGCGGAATTAAGGAAGATTCGAGTACAAAATATGGAAATATATTAAGCAAAGTGGAAAAATCACAGAATCCGAGGCGAGGCCTCTTTTGAATGGTTTCTTCGACACGTAACAAGAAAAAAAGAATAATAAATAACCAGAAGAAAAATGAAAGAGCTAGTAAATTTGCATAATCGCCAGACTATACGATATTTGCACTACGGGGCTGGTTATTTTCACCTTCGGAGATGACTTGGTCGTTCAGCGGATTGGAAAACGATTGGAACCTGGAAACGTGTTATTAAAGGCGCAGGATTTATTTTTGAAACAATTTTATAACAATAATAAGTAAAATCAACGCATTCACAGCCCTTAAATGCAGTTAAATGAACTGAAAAAGCAATAATCATTCAATATAATTAAAATACATCAGAAATACGTATAAATTCTTATCAACCTATAATTTCAGAGTATTTTCAGAGCAGCGAAATTTCAAAATTTTCAAAAAAGGTTTCAAAGTTCAAACTCCAGTTATTTTTGCCCTGAAGTTCGGTAGAGAAATAATACCCTACTTGGCCCTTTAGTGACCACTTGAATCCCACTGATAGCTATTCACTAACCAAAATCGGTCAAAAAGGTCGTTTTTTTTCCAAAGATGATAATTTTTTCTGAATTTCAAGCTTTGAAGGTTGAAAAATCTATTCAAAACGAACCTAGGGCCCGCCGAGAGTTGATTCACTCTTTAGTGACCCCTTGAACTATCAGTAAAATCACTAACCTCTTAATAAAATCAATATTCTCACTAAATGCTGCGTTTTGAAGATTACGATAGCCAAAACCGTTTTTTTTCTTTAAATATTAAAAATAACCTTATTAAGAACACTTTTTTTAAATTTCAAGTTTAAAGGCATTCAAAACGAACCTAGAATCGCCGCGAAACTGGAGAACCCAGTCGCGAGCGTTGTCGATGGCTTGCAACGCTCGGACGGCCCTACTCGAGTCGTTGCCAGCCCCTGGAAATGAACCCAAACATTTCGTGCCAAAACACAAATAATCCCATCGGACGTGCATGGGACTGTAGCCAAATATGAAATATAAACTAATACAGAATGCAACAAACAAAATATGCATAGATATCGTCAAATGCTGGAGATTTGTTATTAAAGGCGCAGAGTGATGCCCTGTGCCTTTAAAATTTTGAAAAACTCGGGATTTTAATTAGTTAAAGTCAGTTTTGAGGAAGCCATGACCGCATTGGGGAATTGTTATTTTGATTTTTGAACTATGGGAAAGTTCAAAAAAGCTATGAAGAAAAAAATGATAATTTTTTTAAATTTTTTTAAAAATACTTTGAAAAAAACTCCAAAAAAATTTTTTTCAGATTTCAACTTTTTATTTTTCATGACGGATTTTTTTCAAGCTGAGCTTTTTTTGATAATTCGACATTGTCTTACATCAAAAAAAGATGAGTCAAAAAAATGTTCGATTTGGCTTCAAAAAGTGTTCTAAAAAAAGCGATTTTAAGACTTGATAAAATTCAGAAATCTAGATTTCTGTCTAGTAATAAAAAAATATTCATTCCACATGACGTCATGGCTTTTTAGAAAAAAATAGGTCAGGATAAAAAAAGCATTTGCTTTTTTTAGGGAAACCATGAAAGCCCTTATTACGAAAAAAATAACGTCTGGAATTTTTTTAAATTCAAAAATTTTTTTGGAATAGGTGCCTTTTTCGCGCGAAATCCGAAATCCGAATTTCGAATTACTTCAACATTTTTCAACGAAAATTAAAATTCTGGCGTCAAAGTCACTCTTTTAAAACAAACGGCTCCCGGAATTCTAATTTCGCGTATTTTCGTAATCATTTGAAACGAAAAACGAATCAATTTTAAAATGGCCTAAATTACTTTGAATACGACATGAAATAGCTTGACATTTCCAACACACTTTGCAACTATAAATATTTCCCGAGTTTGACGAAGAAAGAAAAGAACAGAACGTTTCGACGGGAAGAGCTGTTAGACCAGAAACCACCACCACCATCACGACCGTCGGTTCCGAATCGAGCAGTAAAAATTATTGGAAAAGAAACGGAAGAGATGCATTCATCGTGCTTAAGCGTGGGCATTAAGGGACAGCGCAAGCCACGCACCGACCCAGGTTCAGGAGATTCGCGGGCGCGTATTGCGCCTGCGTCGTCGGCGACGAGAGCTCCCGCGGCTGCGGACACGTCGCCACGAAGTCGTGCAGGGCGCTCCGTTCCACGTGCAGCCCTTCGTTGTAGCGGTCCTGTAAAATGCGGACTATTTCGGGAAACAGCATAGAAAGAGTGGCGAACTTAGGATTCGGCTTCTCTTTTTTCAAGCAAGAAAAAAAAGTTGAAGGTATAGTCTACTAGGGAACTACTCGGACTGGGGTACGCGTTTCGAGTTGAAACTTTGGTGGCTTATAGACCCGGGTAAGAGTAATTGGAAACAAGAGAGATTATCTGCCAAACCCCACAGGCTTCTGAGAAAAAGCTTTTCGAAAATGAACAGTTTAGGCTTGAAATTATCAAATTTCTGTTTCCTTCTTCTTTTGGCTGGAAAAAAGTTTTTTAGAGTGTATCATAGCCGGATCATTCAAGGCGATTGTATTAAAATATAAAAAAAGGAAAAAAACAGTATTCTGAAAATTTCCAGGACTAATTTTCACATTTTCTACTATTTTTTTCTCAGTTCTCTATTGGGTTTAGCAGATATTCTAACTTGGGTCTATAAAACACTGAAGTTTCAACTCGAACCCCGAATCCGAGTAGTTTCCTATAGTCTGTTCAGATTTCAAATGTCAAGTCCTCGCTGAAGCTCCGCCCTCTAATGGCGTGATAAACCAATCAGAGAGCGAGCCACCCACAGAGCGTTTTCGAATGACGTCATTTTACTTGACATTCAAAATCTGAACAGACTATAGTAAGAATCGAAATAAAAGTTTCCATTGGAGGCGAAAATATAAGATCACAAAAACGGGTCATAGGTCACTGTCGATCTTTTGGCACGAAAAGGGGTCGAAAATTGGATTTTTTTTTCTTTCTCTTGGTCGGATTTTCTTCTCTGCCGTCCGATCTTCTTCGCAACTTCCCGCCTTATCAGGTACCTTTTTAATTTATTTTAAAATAAAATGGTTTTAAGAATGCGGTACCGAATAATTTTTTCCCAAAACTTCCTCGTATGGAGATAAATCTTTTTGAAACTTTCTGGAGTTGCGTTTTTTTTTTCTTGGAACTGGGATCGCACCAGAGTCTTACAAATAACAGTCGTCACAACTCCAAAAAGTTTCGGAATGATTAAGTTCCATACAAGAAAGTTTTGGTCAAAAGAGTGGTTTTTCGTATATTTTCTGAAGGAACTGTAGTTACAAATTGCGTTGACATTTTCGTCTTGAATCAATTTTGAGGTTTTTTCTAATGACCCCTTGTTAAATTTACCCCTAAAAATTGAAAAAAGGTTATAAATCTTGATCTTACTATTAAAAGTACATTTCAACTTTATCTTTTGAAAATAATCTTCGAAATTTCAGTTTTGGACAATTTTGAGCAAAAATAGAATATTGAGTTATTTTTAGCCGTGTCAAAAATTCCATTTTCCGTTCTTCTCAAATTCACCTTTACAACTTCATAGGCGTCCATGATAATCGCAATGAAAAGCGACAGGACGACGTAGATGAACAACGAGACGAACACGTAAATGTAGATTGTCCCGAAAATCTGAGGAAACATTTTTTGGTGTCAAAATGGAAAAAACCACCTTGATAATTCCATTGGAATCATTGATCGTGTAGAAAGTGGCGAACATGTCGTCGCCATTGAGTAAGGAAAATAGGGCTTCTGATGACTCTTCCAGGGTTCGGAACTGAAGAAAAGAGAGGTGATTAGGATCGCTAGAGTGGTCACTTTAGGAGGTCTTGTAGGTCCCCCTCAAGGGACCAATTTACCTTTTTACATATTGGGTTACTAAAGCTCAAAAAAGTGGCCACTCTAGGGGAGCATTCCAATTTCTTCTATACGTGTTTTATGCTGTATTCTAGGTAATTTCGACGATTTAAAAATTCAAAATTGACGGGTACAAAAATCAGGTCCTACAACGATGCGACTTTTGGGCGTTAATTTGCAATTTTCGGTTTAAATGGCGAAATAATTTCAAGGGAATTTGGGCCCTACAACGATATATCGCATTTTGTGATGTCTTACGGTGGCTTTTACGCGCGAAATTCAACAAAGTGTGCATTTTGAAATGAAATAAAATGTTTTATTTCGCTCAAAGACAGATCTGTGGCGTGGAGGAAGAGAACCATGAAAGTTATATTTGCATTTTCCCCACGGAAATTTGAAATACGCTCGTAAACTTTGCTATTTCGTTGTAAGACCCTTTTTTTCTAACGGCTCCCGGAATTCCAAGTTTTGCTCATTGCGCGAAATAACTCAAACCAGTGTCAATTTTGAAGTCGCCTAAATAATTATACTTTGAAAACAGCCTTAAATGAAAAGTTCTAAAAACCCAACTTAGCTTTTGGGGGTCTAGAAGTAAGCTCATAAACTTCTATAGGGACCACTTAAAAATTAGTCCTCTAGGGAGCACTGTTCCGTACACTATAAAACTTTTTTCTTTGTTCCCTTAAGAGGCCACTCTGGCATTCCTAAGAAAAGAAAGTAGGAATCCTCACCTTCATACTGTAGGGTCCAATGATAACCCATCCGGCGATCAGAAATCCGGCATAAAGAACAATGGCGCAGGTCATGAATCGGCCAATATTTGGAAGCGATTTTTTCAAGGTCAAAATCAGGATCTGAAAGGTTTCGATCCGTGTATTATTTTTTTTTTTTTGATTTTAGAATATAAATTTTTTATTGTTCTTAGTAGGGCTGAGCCAATTTTCACGAAAAGCCCGAAAATCCTCACATTATATTGACTGAAAAACCCGAAATAACGTAAAACGCCGACGTAAACCAAAAGAGCGCCCATTCCAAGGAAAATACTGGTCAAAGTGAATAGAGAATTGTCGAAATCCTGAAGAAATGAGTGTATTTCGGAAGAAAAAGCTTGAAAATGACCCGAAATTCGATCGAGATTTTGGCGACCGTTCCGATAATGATCAAGAGGTCGTTGGCGACAATCATGAGGTACCTGAAAATGTTTTTGAAAAAAATTTTCGAGGGTTTTTGAAAAACCACAATGATTTGACTGTACTTTTGTGGTGCACAATTTTCAGTGATTTATGTGAAATTTTTTTCATAAAAAAACTCGAAAAAAATGTCATTTATTTGAACCTTATCAAGATTCAATTTTTTTCTGTATTTTTTTGATTTTTAAAAGCAAATTACAGTCGCATTCCCTGTCTCTTCAAGGAATTCAAGCAAAAAAAGAAAAAAACATTAAATTTTTTTAAGATTTTTTTAGACTCCAATTTGGCGTCCGTCTTTTGAAAAATCGATAAATTTTCAAAGAGAATTTTCGCCTAATGCTCGAATTTCACTTTCGAAGATTTTCAATCATTATTGAAACAGTAAACTCCTCGATAAACCCGCCTTAAAAATCAAAGAATTAAAAGTTAATTTTTTTCGAGACTTTCTGGAAACTTTTGAGGATTTTAATGTAGTTTTTGCAAGAAATCTACAAGGATTTTTTTCGAATTTCTCATAAAAAAACACGGAAAAAAATATCCTTTTTGGACCCGTATTACGATGATTTCTAAGGAGATTTTTTTCTTCTAAATTTGGAAAAAAATATTTCTGCCGCACAAATTTGAAAGATTCTGAAGGCCAATTACAATTTTTTTACTGTTTCTTTAAAAATACTCAAAATTTAACTTGAGCGCCAGTCTTTAAATAAAAATCAATAAATCAATAAACCTATACAACAGGAACTGAGAATCTCCCAATTTCAATCTCAAAGATTTTGGGTCAATATTGAAACGGGAAAGTGCTTTGCTAACACAAACAAATCTCAAAAATTTAGATTTTTTTTTTCAATACTTACTGAAAAACAATGATTTAGTGATTTTTGAGGTCAAGTACAGTCAAAGTGAATATTTCTTTGAGAATTAGAAGGCTGAAGCAAGAAAAAAATGCGAATTTATATATTATTAAAATATTCGAAATCAAAAATTCGGTACTTTTTTTCTTGAAAAAAATCGATAAATTTTGGTACAAATTATTTTGTCAAATTCTTTAATTTTAATTTCGAACCTTTTGAATCTGTAGTGAAACAGTAAACTCTTCGATGAACCCACCGTAAATTAAAAATATAATCAAGGTAATTATTTTTTTAAAAACTTAAGGACAAGAAAAAAATGCGAATTTATTTCATTTTCAAATATTCAAAAAAATAAAATTTGGCGCAATTTTTTTGAAAAAAATCGATAAAATCAATAAAAATATTTTAAATTATCAGTGAAACAGGAAACTTCTCGATAGACCCACCACAAGTTCAAAAAATCGAGCCGATCGCTGACCCTCAACGGCGTCTTCAGCACGTTTTCAAAGTAGTCGTCGGCTTTCTAAATGATGAATTTCTTCTGAAAACTCTTGAACAGCTCGAACATGTTGAAGGAGATGAGCCTTGATCAATGCGCGACAGCACAAAATCAGGGACAAAATGCAGAAGATGAGGACGACGACGTCGGTGATTCCGATGAGCAGCGTGTCGAACGACCAGCCGACCCCTTCAGCATTTTTTTTTGAGGTTTTTTTTTAAATTCATGACGGAATAGCTAAGAAATTTCAACCGTCGAAAAAAGAGCCGCCAAAAAAACATACGCCAAAGTAAGTTCGCTCCACTGATAATAGAACGGTTTTTCAAAAAATTAATTCTTTCATTTTTCTTTCAAAAAAAAGCTAAGAAATTCGAGCCGTGGAAAAAAGAGCCGCGAAAAAAAAAGCCGAAGAAAAAAATTAGAAGAGATAGAGGCTCATGTGCCGGAGCAAGTGCGCTCCATATATAATGGAGAATTTTTTTTCAAATCTGCTCAATTTTCTCTCAATGAATAGCCAAAGCATTTGCGCAGTGGAAAAAATTGCCACCAAAAAAAATTTCTCAAAAAAAAGTAAATGCGCTCCACGGCTAACTGAGAGATTTTTCGATTTTTTTTTATCCTTAAATTTTCTTATCACACGATAACCAACGCATATGAGCTGTGGGAAAACGTAATTTCCAAAAAAAAAAATCAAAAAAATTCGCCGCTCCATAGATAATTGAAAACCGTTTTTTGGATTTTTTTTTTAGAAATACTTTTGAGAATAAGAAGAAGAGCCTGAAACTTAGAAATAGAACGGTTGAAAAACTGAGAAATTTCACTTCCACGCCGGATTATCATTGGAGCGCACTTACTCCTCTCCAGGCCATTTTTCGTGGCCGTTTCTTCCAGGGCCATTTTTTTCGGGCTATTTTTTCCTTTATGTTTTTTTTCAAACTGTACCTTGAATAATTCGTCCATTGCAAACATTGACATAGGAAACTAAGGTTGATAGAGTTACGTGGACTTGACCGGTGTGCCGCGAATTGTCAAACTTTATGGCGACCTGGAAAATTGGGATGAAAAATCTGTTATAATTGTACGATTATACTGCGAGATTATGAATAACGCGTCATTTTTAAGAAATCGCCAAAATTAAATTTGAACCCGAAATAAGTCAGAAAAGCTTGGAAAAGAGCGAATTTTTTTTCTAAATAACTTTACTGTTTTCAATTTTTTTAAACTTTTCAATGAATTCGAATAAAGAGCTGATACATCTTTTTTTGCTTCCTGACGTTATAATTTATTTCCAAAAAAAAAAATGGAAAAAAAATTGCCGAAACGGAAAACGCGCGCTGGTTGTAGTACAAGATGTCTATTAGAAAAATCGCGGAAATTAACTTTTTCAAAAAAGTTTTGAAACCGGAAGATCATGTGAATTTACCGCAATTTTGTAGCACTCGGGCTTCTGATCGCCGGCCGTCGGACTGTAATGAATCGTCCTCAGTTTGAAATTGAAAACCACTGTAGAAATCTTCAGAGCGTCTTCCGCCATGAATGTGACGCCTGAAATAGGAAAATTCATCGAATTCTGTTCAAAAATTAGGGGTTTTTAAAGGCGCAAGTACTAAGAAAGTTCATTTTTTGAATTTTGTTATGCGCCTTTAAAAATGATCAAATTTTGGATCGTCAGAGATAATTTTGATTTTCGCGTTTTTTCTAGTGATCCCTTTAGGGTTTTGGTCTTTTAGTGACCACTCCAGTAGTCGAATTAGTGGCCACTTCAGTGGCTAAAAATTAGTGGCTTCTTTAGAAGTGTAAGTGCTACTACTAGAACGCTTAAAACTACTATAGTGGCCACTAGGGCGCAACAGGGGCTCATAGTGGCCGCTTCAGGGTCCTTGAGGAACCTCTTAAGTGGCCACTAGACATTTCCCCAGTAAAAAAACCTACCTCTCAAGGCTAAAATCTTGACGACGGCTTCATCATTCGCTTGAATTTCCTCGACTTCTGATCTCGTCAAATTCAAATCCATGCATTCTTAAAACAGGATTAGTTATGAAAAGTCGATATTTTTTACCGTGAACTTCTCGAACATCAAAATCGTACGTATTATTGTTGACGGTAACGTTGGCGATTCGGTCTACGCAGACCTTCAAAAAATAAACTTTTTGTAGAGAAAAATATTTTTGTAACGCCAGAGTGGCCCCTATAGGGGTTAGAAGTAAAAAAGAGCTCCCATAGAGGGCAAAACAGTGCTTCCTAGAGTGGTGAAATTTAGGTGGCCCCTATAGGAGTTTAGAATTTCCTGCAGCCTAAGTAGCCCCTCTAGGGATTTCATTTATTCCTTTTTGTCTTGATTTGAAGGTAGAAAGACGACGATTAAAGCTCCCTAGAGTGAACTGTAACTAAACCCCTATAGAGGCCACTTTTTCAAGCTTTAGTGGCCCCTATGAGAGGAGGTGAGGTGCTCCCTTGAGGGGACCTATAATTGCCTTTAGGGACCCCTCTGGCGTTCCCAAGGAGGTCGATTTATCAAGAAAATACGGATTTTTCAATGTTAAACGTAAGAAATTGAATAGTTTTGAAGCTTCTTACAGTTTTTTGAACTCAAAAAAAAATCAATTTACTGCCATAAAAGTTAGTTTTTGTGCTTTTCAAACACCTCACGGACAATTTTTCAACCTGGAAACTCTCAAAAACGAACCCGAATATGAGGAATGTGGTCGAAAATGACTCCGGCCATGAGGGAGGCGTCGTGTTCGAAGCCTTTCTTATGGAAACGTTGATAGTCATAACTGAACGAGGCGAACGAGTCGTTTTGGATCCCGTAGTACTGGAAAAAACGATCATTTTGTGAGGAAATTTGATGGAAATTATTAAAATACAATGAATTTTCCGATAGCGTGACGTTGAAAAAAACGATTCCAATAAATTTTTCCAATTTTTCTTTCTATACCTTTTTGAACGTTCTTATAAGGGGTAATATGGTGGAATCGTGAGAAACACGCTAAAATTTGGACGAAAAATCGTTTGAAACAGAAAAGTCATCTAGCGAACTGAAAAAAGGTTTGAAAATTCGCGATTGTTTTATTCTTTTCCAACTTTTTCTGGTTTTTTTTTATAAATTCCTTTTTTGCAATATTTTCGTGAGATAATACTGATATAATCGTTACAAAAAAACCAGAAGATTCATAAAAAGTCATGTAAAAAAACAGGAAAGTCACCTAGCAGACTGAAAATTTTGTTGGAAAAATTTTTCCATTTTCCATATTTTCTTTTTAACTGTTTTGAATAATCCTTGGAAGAAATTATAGTGAAATCTTGAAGGAAAAAAACAAAAAAATTTGCATGAGAAATCGCTTGAAAAAAAGAGAAAAAAATTCAAAAAAAGAAAGAAAAAAATTTTTTTTTCCAAATCGATTCATTTTCGTTTTGAATGTCCTTATAAGGCAAAAAAATAGTGTGATTGTAGAGAAAAATAAAAAAATAAAAAAAGTCTTAGCGGAAACTATCAGGTAATCATTTTAAAAACCGGAAGATATAAAAAAATTACCTAGCAAGAAGAAAATGTTTCAACGTTTTTTTCGAATCGTTTCTTCAAAAAAATTTCCCACGTTTTCAAAATGTCTTGTTAAGGTTAAATAAGAGAAAACAAGAAAAAACTGCGAAAAAAACGTTTAAAACAGAAAAAATGTCGGAAAATCGCTAATTTAACTATTCGGTCAAAAAAAAAATGACTTAAAACAAGAAAGTTAGTTGAAAAAATCACTAAATTTTTAATTCGAAACATCTGGAATTTCTAAATTTTCAAACCGAGCTGATAATGTAGGCCAAATGTTCATGGAGGCCCTTGTCATCATAGACAGAATATCGACCCTCGGCCGGGGGATACTGTAGCGCGTCACGGTCGTCGTTCCACTCCTACAGTACTCTTCCATTATTACAGTATCCCTGGGTTATGGTATCTGACTTTTAAGAACCGATGACGCATGACTGTCGTCGTGTCTTCCAGGAAATCGACGTGAGACATTCTCATTTCGGCGAATAATATCAGTTGCATTGTTATAAAGACTATTTTCAGCACCTAGAAAGTGTTTTTAAAGTATAAAATATTGATTTGAAACAGTGAATTGATGAAAAAAGTATGATTTTTGATATTTTTTTTTGGTTATTTTTCGCTCATTTCTGTAAATAATATCAATTGCATCGTTATGAAGAGGACCTGGAAGGTTTTTATAAAAATGTTATTAAAAAAATTATAAAGTGTTTAAAAAAAGAACTTTAAGTTGATAAGAAAGGCGAAAAAAACTCTGATTTTCTAACTTTTAAAAAAACAGAATATATATTTAAAGCTATTTTTTTGTCTCATTATATCAAATATTATTCGTTGTATAATAACAAAAAAATTACTTACAGAACTTTTTAAAAACTTTCAAAAAGAGAAGAAAAAAATTGGATATTTTGATGAAAGGTAATTTCGTTCAAAAATTAAACTTTTCATCAATTTTTTTATGATGAAAATATATTTATTAACTTTTTTTTTCCTTTTAGCTGATAATATCAGTTTCATTTTGACCAAGATCACCTCCAGATGTTTTAGAATTTGATAAAAAAAGAAATATTTCAAAGATAATTTTTTTGAAAAAAATATTACACTTTCGTGAGCTTTTTTTGACGAACATATTTTATTTAGCATTTTTTTCCTTTGTATTCTGACAAATAATGTCAGTTTTATAGTGCTATTCAAGGCCTAGGAAGTTTTGAAACCCATTCAAAAAGAAGAAAAAAACTGATTCAAGGCTAATTTTTTTCAAGATTAATATTTTTCTGATGAAAGTTGATTTTCGGGGACAAAAATTTTTTTTTTTCTAAACTTCTTTCTCATAAAAATCATTTCAATCCAATAACAAACAAAATTTTAGTTATATGTGAGGAAATTATAGTTTTTTTCAGAAACTGAGGAATAACTCAAACAATGGAAAGAGGTAAAATTCTCAATCAATCGTTTATTTACCTTTTTTTCTATTGAAAATACTCATTTATTTGAAGTTTGAGAATTTTCGCAAAAAAATTGAGATCTTTTTAAAAAATATCATTGATAAATTGAACCAAAAAAAGTTAACAAAAAAAGTCCGAAAAATTTTCGTTCTATTTTACAGAACAGCTTCACAAATTAAAGTGAAAAAGGTTGGCAAAAAAATGAATTTTTTTCATAATTTTTTTGAAGAAAAAAATCCTGATCTAAAAAAATGATAGATTTGGATTGGAAAAAATTTATAGGTAAGCAAAAATTTAGAAAAAAATATGTAAAAACAATTTTTTTAAAGTTTCTAAAATGAATTATGGAAGATTCTGATCGAAAAGAAGAATTTTAAGGTATCAAATCGAACATTTTTGGCTTTTTTTCTAGAAATTGAAAAAAAAAAGGCAAACCTGTAGAACCAGTTTGTAGGGCAGCTGCTTTCGAACCTCAAAAAATTTTCCTTATCACCAAAAATTCAAAAACAAAAAAATAATTACCTTCCATTTCTCGAGAGGATTCATGAAAAAGAATTGAAGATGTCGCCGTAATCTTTCGCCGGTTTCCCTTTCATGTTCACTGAGTTCATTCAGAACTTCTTGGAAATTCAAAGTCGGCCTCCGCGAATCGGATTGCTGGCTCCCGCGGTCGAGTCTTAAAATTTATATAGAAAATAAAATAATTATAAACTGTTTCTACCCTTGCCCATTACTAAAATCTTCGTCTAAACGGTTTAGAAGTGCGTGAAACGACATTGTGAGTCATGGAAGGCAGAAAAAACATGAAAAGCTCGAAAAGAGCAAACGCGCTCGGACGAAAATATGCGAATTTTAGTACTGGAAAATTTTTTGTGGTAACTTTAGTGTGTTGAGCTTTATGTGGACATTATAGTAGTTGAATTAGTGACCCCTTAAGTGGTTAAAAGTTAGAGACCTCTTTAGAAGTCTAGTGTTACTACTAGATCACTAAAAACTATTATAGTGACCGCTAAAACGCAAAATAGTGGATTCTAAAGGGGTGGTTTTAGTGGCCACTTTAGTGATCCCTTAATGAAGCCTTAAGGAACCTCTTAAGTGGCCACTAGAGTTTTTCCAAGTAATTGTAGAAAAGGAAAATGTTTCAAAACGCAAAATTTGCTATAAACAATGCTAATTTTTGTTTTAGAGCGATTTTGTTCCTTTTCGGAGCGTTTTTCATGTTTCACAACACGAAATAACAAAAAAAAGGTTTTTTTTAAACTTACGAAGCATCTGATCTTGACCGTGTGTCACTCGATTGCCGTCGCGACATCTTAATTTAATCCATCATTTTTTTTTAAACATATTTTTAGTTTACGGGAAACTTAAAACAATAAAAAAAAAAGTTGAAAGTTCATGGAGCGCGAGAATTTTTCGGCGAATACAACAAACACATCTTTAGGTCACCAAGAAATGAGAGTGAGAGTAGTTGAGAGGGTCCCAGAGAAACAGAAAAAGGTGACTGCCGGAGAACCAGCTTTTCGGCCAATTTCGAGGCCTCTTTTGACCGTTATCGTAAAACCTCATATCAACAGACGTCAAACAAAAATACACGCTTATCACTGATTAGCCGAATTCGTATCAAAATTATATTTTTAGAAAAAATTGAAAAAAACGCAACCAAAAAAAGTAAGAGTAATTTTCAGACAACTTCCTGTGAAATTTATCACCTATCGAGGTTCAAAATTAAAAACTTTCCCAGTCTACAAAAAAAGTAAAACATGTAAATTCACACAAGTTATTTGATCCTAGACCTAATGCCGTGTTCAAAAATATTTCCGCAAAATGCAAAATTATCTTTGACTCTTTAAAATCCAGTCGTCTTATTTTCAATTTCTGACGGCTATTTTGAATCTTGCGGCATCAATTCAAACACTGCATAAAAAAAGCTTTAAACTATAAATTTAAAGAAAAAAAAGCGACTTTTGCGCGTAAATCAATTTTGCGCTATATTCGTGACAGTGCACTGCAGAAAGGTTACTGTGTTTTACAATTTTTTCAAAATTTCCTGGATTTGAAATTTTCTAACTTTCCATTGTTATTTATTCTCGAACTTATTCTACTGAAGTTTCTACTATCACAACACGAACCCAGCGAACAGTAACCAAGTGAGTTTTAAATCTAATATCAGTGTTGATAGAATTCCGAAAAAGTTAATATTTTTTCTCATTACTTACTCGATTCAGTCGAATATCCTCTTTCCTGGACGGATCCATAGACGAACGTCGCGTTCTGCAAGCAAACATTGGGACGAAATAATGTCAATCATTATGTGGTTCTAGCGGGCGATAAAATTGTGTGGCTTGGAGCTGACAAAAGGGAAGCCGGAGCACCTTTTGGCTCGCTTGAATGCTTCCGAAGCCTCATTAAAGCTTTTTCAAAGCATAGGGAGTGTTGGAAAAAGGCTTTCACGGGTTTAGGATCCAAAATTAAAGAGAAAAGAGCAAAAATGAAGTTGACTCACTTTATAACAATTCCAAATATCGTGTTGGTGCGTCATTTGCGAGGAATTTGCATGGATTACGTCGAATTTTGAAACGTCACCAGTTTTATTTTCCATTTTTGTCGTCGATTTTGCCACGAGGGGTATGAGGACTGTTTAAACCAAGTTTCTTCATTTCTCATTTCCCTTTCGTCAAAGTTTTGCGACCTTGGTCGACTTTTCACTTATTGGTAGTAATTTTTTGAGACTTGAGGTCTTTTTTTGCTTTGATGGGAAAAATTGATTATTCAGAATTACTTAATGGGAAGTTTCTACTGCTTGTTTTTGAACGGGATTTTTCCAATTTTCGGAAAAGTAGAAAATTATTTTGGGCCATTTTGCAAGTTAAAAAGACTTGAAACTCGCTATTAATCCAATTATTTTGGCTTTTTTCTGTTTTAGTGAGGTTTTATGTGAAAAAAATTTTGATTGTGAAGAACACATTTCATTGTAAAAATAATCTTTGAATTGATTTTTGAGTTTCAGAAAAATCAAAAAAAATTTTCCACTATGTTGCATGTTGCTTTTGGACTTAAAAACGATAAAATTCGAATATTTTTTGATTTCTTATTGGTTATAGCCGATCCAAGGCTAGCTTGGGGTCTGCGCTCTACAAAAACCGAGCGCTGTTTTTAAATCGTGTCAGGACCCACTTTTCGACGGCTCAAGTCAGCCTTTAACCGGACACACTTATATTCTTTTTCGATTTTTTTTTTCAGTTGTTCTTTTCCAGGTAAGCAATGGAATGGATGAAAATGGCAGTTGAGGAGGCCTGTAAAGGGGTCGGCTGTGGAGATGGCGGTCCTTTCGGCGCCGTCGTCGTCAAGGACGGCAAAGTCGTCGCCACTGGCCATAATATGGTAATTTTTCGGAGATTTTTGAGCTTTCTGGATAGTTTAATAACTGTTGAACCAGCTCATGATATCAGAGAATGAGATTATCATTGAAAAAGTGACCAATTAATTAATTTTTTTGACTCAGGACTAATTTTTTTCAAGCCCCCCCATCCCTCCATGAACCTCCATTGGAACTTTGCTGAAGTGTACTTGAGGACCTTCTCAATTAAGAAAAAAGAAAAAAATTGTCGTAATAGAGTTGATTTTCGACTTGAGACGCACCAAAAGCTTCAAATATCGCTTTTTTGTCGTATCTTGCGTATTTTTCAAACTTTAAATCCTCATTAATCGAAAAAAGATCAATAAGGGGTGGCTTCCAACCGTTCGCAGAGGATTTGGAAATATTTTTCTTGTTCTGGAATCAGGAGGCCCTAAAAAAAACCTCAGAAAAGTTTTTTTTTTTTTCATTGTTTCATGAGGCTAAATTCCTATTGACTAAAGACTTCCATGAAAAAATAAATATCTTTTTTTCAAATTCTAGGTTCTGATAACCAACGACCCGACGGCTCACGCCGAAGTAACCGCGATTCGAAACGCGTGCAAGGTTTTGGGCAAGTTCGAACTCGTCGGATGTCAGCTCTACACTTCGTGTTACCCTTGTCCGATGTGCATGGGAGCCAGTTTGTGGGCAAGACTCGACGCGATTTATTACGCCGCCACGGCTCAACAGGTTCACATATTCCATTTTTCTCGTTTCGAATCTTCTGAATGCTTTATTTCAAATTGACTGCCAAGCGGCTGCGAACGGTTAGAAGCCATCCCTTATTTTTACGCGCCCGACACGCTCCGGTTTGCGCGAGCTGATGTATAGTCACTCCTTCTCGACTTGAAATTGAGATTCTCGGCGTTTTTTTGACTACGCTTTGCCCACTTCCGTAAAGTGTAGTGTGTTGTGTGCATGCACTGCGGCGCTCTCGCACATGCCGTGTTCAAAGTTAATTCTCGCGAAATTCACTTATATTTTTCACTTCCTGGCTGCTATTTTGGATTTCTATAGTCTGTTCAGATTTCAAATGTCAAGTACTCGCTCAAGCTCCGCCCCTAATGGCACGATGAACCAATCAGAGAGCGAGCCATCCACAGAGCGTTTTCGAATGACGTCATTCTACTTGACATGAAAAGTCTGAACTGACTATAGGGTTTTTTCTGCTTTTTTTTTTCGTCCCAAAACAATCTTTCAATTTCCAAATTCTCTTCTGAAAGCTGAAAATCACGATTTCAGGCCGCTGAAGTTGGCTTTGACGACGCCGCGTTCCATCAATTTTTAAAGGACCCCAAGTCGGACAATTTGAGGTTTTTTACCGCTCAAAACTCGGAAACTTCCGTTTTTCAGGAAACTCGAGCACTTACCTGTTGATAACTACTTGGAACCTTTCCAACAATGGGATAAAAAAGCCGACAAAATTCCATATTAACACAGTTTTAGTAGGAGAAAGTTTATTGCCAATCGCCTTCCGAATATAAAAAAATTGAATTTTTTTGATGTTAAAATTGTCCGCCGCCTACGCTCTCGATCCGGTAGTTGGAGAACTTTGATTCGGCTCTTTTCCTGAAAAAAATTAATAAAGTGTTTCGAATTTTTCATGGAAGGATGTTACCGATTGCGGATGAAATCCTGAATTTTCGAACTCCGATTCGGTTTTTTTTTGGTTTTTTTTGCGCCCATAATCTCTCCAGATTTTGGATGGCAAGTCATCGCTCAAGCTCCGCCCCTAATTGCGTTATAAACCAATAAGAGAGCGAGCCATTTACAGAGCGTTTTCGAATGACGTCATTCTACTTGAAACTCAGAATGTGAACAGAAAATTTATAAAAAATGCATCAAAAGCCGCATTTTACACAATAAAGTTTCGCATTCGTAAACTTTGTAAATTCAAAAAATATCCGAGAAACCTGATTTCGATAAAGAAACACTTCTTCATGTTCTCAAAAACGTCGTAGCAGGGCAGGTAGGAAGCGTCGATCGGTGTAAATCGGTTGGGTCGTTGATCACAAAAAGCCAAGCATTTGTCGCCCGCGGATGTGTCCGCAACTCCTTCTGCGATGCAACACTGAAATTTCTGGGTTACGGTAGGTCGGAAATGTGCGTGCGGTGTGGGCAACTCGAAGCGTTTTATCTGACGCGCATTTCTCACGTTTTTATTTTTCACGTTTTTGTTTTTATTTTTTCGAAGTTTTTTGTTTTCTTTCTCTCAATTCTTTAAGGCGTTTGGTTGAGAAAGGAGATTTTCTAAATTTAAGTGTTTTTACAGTTTGGCTTTTCGGAAATTTTGAAATCATGCTCTTTTTTCTGTTATTTTTTTTTCACTTTTTCCGAATTTTTCCTGAAAATTTACAGGTATGACCTTACTTACGAGTTATTGGCCAGTGAAGTTAGTTGTGCGTAGATTCAATTCAAAATTCACAGTTCATTTTATTTTTTGAAATTTAGTTCAGGAATTTTATAGTTTCTAATGTTTTTTTTTTCTTACAATAATATTTGGAAAACAAGTTGAATCGCTTGAAGTTTTTTTCTTGACTGACCGGCCTATGATCGAGACCCTGAGCAGCACAGTAGTGAATTTCGTTGATAGTGTCAAGGGGACAGGAATCTTCCTTGTGGAACATTGCTTCGAGCTGAAAATATCGGTTTTCTTTATTTATTTTTTTATTTTTTTGTTTTTTTGGAACGGAGCTTTATTGATGGTAGTTCATTTTACTAAACAATATTATAAAAGTATTTATTTAAAAAACATTTTCCTCTTCTCAATTTTTTATAATCACCTTATCAGCAGTGTAAGTATTGTAATGGCAGTGAGCAACACAAGCGTCAGGAAGTCCTCGAGCTTCGCAGCAAGAGTGAAAGATGAAGTTGGGGTTCTAGAATATTTTAATTTTTTTTGCCGATCAAGTTGTCTTTGAACTCACTGTGAGCCTTTGGACTGTCAAATTGCCCTGCTCGTTTTCCGCTTTCAAGGCGATCGCTGTAGGGCTCAGCCAGGCTTGATCTCCCTCCTCCTCGTCGATAATTACTCCGTCCTGAGATGAAAGAATATTTTAGAAGTTATTCAAAAAATACAATTCGCTTTGTGAGTCCCCCGAAAGCTCGCCGTTTCGCACAGCCGTACTGACCACACCCGTAGCCTGGCTGGCAGCCGGCCTGGCCCCCACAAGAGACCTGAAAAATGAAAAAAATTCACTTATAGTCACAGAAAACCCCTCCAAATACGTTGAAATTGGCTATTTTTGGGCTTTGAGCAACTAAATTTGAGCAGTTTCACACAATTTCAAGAGCTTCTTCTGGTTTTATTGGCCAATTTTCAAGCAGTTACAACTTGTGAGAAGAGTTAAAAGTAAAAAATAAGATTAAAAAGCGGGAGAGACCTTTTTTCGTTGTAATAAATAATAAATGAAACCCACTTGGACAATATTTGGCTGATTACGTACGCAACAGCCGGATGAACCTCCGGAGCACTGAAAAAATGATCGGATCAATTTTTTTTTTTCTATATTCAATTTTGTATATTTTCATAGAGAGTTTCGTTAAGGCTTTGAAAAACAAAAATTATTTTTTTATCCTAAGGATTTTTTTTTGAAACTGGAAACATAGAGGCAGATTTTAGCAAAATTTTCAACTTTCTTTTGACTTCGAACCTGTAAAACAACTCACAGAAAACGTGCTCGAAACAAATATAAAGAGTAGAACTACAGGGACCCACAGCATCACGAAAAAAATCGAGCCAAAACGACAAAAAGCTGTTTTTTCTTCGCTATAAATAGGTTAGCCCTCGAGTGGTCCTCTCGAGACGGCTAATTGGCCGAAAGGTGTCGCTATCGAAGTTTTCTAATTACCCAGGTGTGAAGATCTCGAAAACATCCTGGACGGCAGGTATAAGTAGACGATGAGTCGAGAATCCGCATTGGTCCCCCGTCGAAATGCTGACACGGCTTTTCTTGGTACTTCTACTCATTTCTGCGGCCTTGGCTGTGAGTTTTTAGGTTCAATTTCTAGATTTTTGTTAGAACAAACTATTTTTTCTAATTGATAAAAGATTGCCCGCGAGTCATAAAATTGCAAAATGAGGTGAAATTTTGAGTGAATGAATTATCTTTTTTTTTTGGCATAAGCAGTCACTAAAGTGGATAGGTTATCGTCGACGAAACCAACGATACTTTCGTCTTCTGAATATTTTTTTTTGGATTCATTCGGATTTGATGAACGGCCAAAATCAAAAATTTAGTCAGGAATGCATCCATTCGCTCAATCATAGTTAGTGTGTTACTCCGAGAAGTTTTTTTTTTCTTTCGACTTAATAGATTATTAAAGATTGTTAATTTGATAAATAAATTGGAAATTAAAAAAATATTTTTTTGCTATACGAAATCGACCTGATAAGACTGTTTTCTGTATTTCTCGTGGAAGCTCAATTTCTGTTCTCAATTTGTGAGATTTACAAGAAATCGAATTGAAGGTGATCAGACACGGCTTGTAAGCGAAATCTAAAGAAATTACAGGAATAGACGAAATGTTGTTCTGCGTTCATTTTGAACAATGGACGCTGATAATTCTTGTGAAACTTGAAAAAATAGCTATTTTCGTTATAAAACGAACTTGAAATTTTTAATTTTGTATTTTTGAACTTTCATGGACTCTATTTAAATAAAGAAATGTTCGCATTTTATCATGAGATTCAATCTTCAAATAGAAATATTTTTTTTTTCTTTCAGTGCAAATCGAACGGAGCCTGCGGCTGTTGCGGCTGTCGAGCCAAGGCAAAAGCTCGAGCGGCTTCGACAAATCATGTGGTGGGTCAACGATTCATCAAAACTCATCAAGAAGTTGCGAAATTACCAGAAAATCTTTGTAAAAGCCGTAAAGTTGGTTTTTTTAAAGCTTATAAAGCTCAAAATTTATGAGAGTTTCAATTGAAAAATTTATTGGAGCCACTTTTCAAGCTTAATTGATCCAAATATGAGGAAGATATATTTTAGAACGGTGACGACTTTGTTGAAACGGACGACGGCAACATTTTCGGCCTCGCGATTTGGAACAAGACCGACATCAAGGTCAACGACGACAATGTTCAGCGACTGACGGTTTCGGAAAAATGATTTTGATTTTTAAAAGATGCGAATTTAGAACCCGAACCATTTGTTCCACTTGTGCTGCGAGGAAAGACGTCTTCCGCCGGGATGTATTCAGAAATGCCATTTCAATATTTACAACAAGGAAGTGGTAAATATCTTAAATATTATATGAAGGATGTATCCCGACATTCCTAATGGGGTTAGGGAAGGTCAGCGAGGCGTCTAATTTCCTGAATTTTTTACAAAAAAAACAAGTGCGCGCTCCGGATAAAATGACGTCATAATTACACTGAGTATTCAACGTTAATAACTTGTTTGTTCGATAACCTTTGGCTGCGTACTTGAGATGGCTAGCTTGGGGCGCAAAAAGGCGTGTCCTGTCTGCACTCTCCACCCACCAGGGCACTGTCTCGTCTCTTTTCGTGGCAGGACCCTTTTCTCGATGGTTCAAGCCAGCCGTGAATCAGCTATATGAACTTTCGCGCCAAAATTTTTTTTGACGTTTTCCCATCCCGTTTGGGAACGCCGTGGTATGTATAATTTCGCGACATTAAGGAAAACATATTCAAACGAATCAAGTTATTAGATTTTTTTTACAATTTTTTTTAAGAATATGATCATCATGCCGTGTTCAAAGCATTCTCCACGAAATTCCAAAATTATCTCTGATTCTCCAAAAATCAATTATCTTTTTCACTCTCTGAAGGCTATTTCGAATTTCACGGCAGTGTGGATAATATTCTTGAACGAATCAAGTTATTTGATTTTTTTTTTCATTAGTTATCTCATTGAAAAAGTAAAGTGCGTTAAATTATCCTAAATAATTGTATAAACATTAAGGCGGTAATTGAAGAAATGACTATATTAGGAAAAAAATATATATGTTTTTACTTTATCTCACTTTTTTTTGCAAGTTTGACTCAATCACAAACGCAATTTTCAAGTTTTTTTACTGACATATTGTGCGAAAAATTTCAATTTTTCAAGGGAAAAAATGGAAGAAACTTATTTTAAAAAAATCAAAGGTCCATTTTGAGTGCGAGATAGTTTCGCGCAAATATAATTTTTTTATCCATTTTATAACTCTTCTAGAAAAATCTATGTGGAATATGCAACATTGAAAAGGCCGTTTAATTGGATAATTTTCTGAATTTCTTCCTTTAAATACCGTTAAATATATAAGACAGAAAATTCCTACAAATGTTCCTTTTAAGGTGGAAAAAAGTTCCTTTATTCTGTCTTTTTGGAACTATTTTTTCAAAAAATGTGTCATTTTTACATTTCTGAGCAATTTATTACTAGCAAAAACGAAAAAAAAGGCCGTTTTGCGACCTTTTACAGGCATTTCTTCATTAGAGCTGATTCACGGCTTGCTTGAGCCATCAAAAAATGGGTCCTGACTCGATAATAATATAGATATGCTTGGCCGGTGGAGAGCGCAGACAGGCCAAGCCCCCTTAGCGTCCCAAGCTAGCCGTGAATCGGCTATATCTACCGGCCTTTCAGACTTTGCCCGAGCTGAATCAATAATTAATTTTTCACCTCGGACTTCCAGCTCGAGGCCATGTTCGTGGGAAGCGACGAGTGCCCGCTAGACTACCTGCCCGAGATGCAGTTCTGCGCGGCCCAAGGCAAGGACCACCGCAAGTGCTGCGCAGGACGAGGCGTCGCCGAAACGGCCGCCGGCCAGAAATGCCTGACCTTCTGCGATCAGACGCCCGACGTCTACACTCCCATTGACTACAGCTACGCTCCTTGCCTCGATCGGTTCATTTTATATTTCTACTCCAGCCTTTTTCCGCTCTGTCATTTTTTTTCTGGCCAAAGAGACGTTAAAAAATCGAGTAATACTTAGGAACGCCATAGTGGTCCCTATAGGAATTAGAAGGAAAAAATTCCCTATTGGGGCCACTAATTAAAACCCCTCTAGTGACCCCTTTGAAAACTTTAGGGAGAGGTGAATTGGTCTTTAAAAGAGCCTTCAAAAACCCCTTGGTTGGCCCCTATAGGGACCACTTTAGCGCTCCTAAGTATACCTTCAGACCACAGGTCTAAAGCGAGGTCTCGAAGCGAAACGCGCGAAAAAAGCTCTGCATACTGTGGTTTTTCCTACTTTTTTTTCTAACCGTGACATGTTTATTATATAATGTAATCTACGCGGGATTTTTACGATGGTAAAAACACTGGAAAAAAGCTACCGTAATACAAAGTTTTTTTTCGCGCTTTCGCTTCGAGACGCTGCAAGTCTGAAGTCGAAAAGCCCAAAAAGTATGTCTCCTACTGTTTTCTTTTCAAGCAAAACAAGACAGTCTGAAATTTCCTACTGAATTTTTTTTCCAGATTCGAAGACATGAAACGATGCTTCTACGACGACATCCGGTCATCTGCTCGCCAGCATTTCCTCAAATTACTCAATATTTAAATATTGACGAATCTCCCAACTCCAATTGAAAAATTAAATTATTTGAGAAAAATAAATACTTTAACTGTTGTCCTTTCTGATTTGATCTTGACAGCTGTGCGGTCGTCCTCGAGTGCTTGCACTCTACTTGAACTCCTGATTTTTCCCTTTCTTTTCATATTCCAGGAAAACATTTGAAGAAAAAGATCATCGCAAATCAAAATTGAGAAAAAATTGACTCACCAAGTGCGCTCTGATCTACATGATCACCGGAATTTGGAGCACCGGAAATTTATTTTCTCCATCTCTTTATTTGTCATCTCTTCATTTTTCTATCGTTATTCAATGTATTATTGCTTTCTGCTAGAAGTTTCTTTAAAAGGTATCACATAATTCAATTAATTTGTGTGTCGTTGAAGCGCTATTCTTTTCGTGGTGTTTTCCAATTTTATAACTTTTTAATTCTTGATGAAGTTTAAAATTTTATTGGAAAAGCACAAAAAGTTTTCAATCATTTCGTTTTCTCAATATTTACACATAACTAGTTTTAGATTACTAACCAAAATGCGTTCGAGTTTTCCGAAGGCGCGTTCGAAAAAGATTAAAAGGATCTTGTTAAAGTTTTGCTTCCGGAAGAAAAAGTTATTTTTTCTGTAATCTTTTCCGTTGTTTCTGTGTTCGTTTTCTCTCTGCTACTTAAGAAGAAAAATTCGTTTTTCTTTTTTTTTTCTTTTTAACGTCACCAATAAGTCCCCGAAAAGCGAAAAATGAGTCAGCGATTGAAAAAAATCAACATTATTTCGAAACATGTTTATTTTCTGTCTGTATTTCGTGAAAATCAAGCAAAAAAAGAACGTTTACACGAGAAATTTTTTTCTCTTATAAAGTGTAGACAGCTTATTTTCCAACTTCCACCCGTTTGAGTAAGATAAAATTTTTTGAAACAAGTTTTTTTCTTCAACAAAAATAGGCAAAGACGAAATTTATAACCTACATTAAAGGAAAATTTTTCCCGAAAATCGTAAATGAGTCAGCGGCGATGTCCATCCTAGGCTGCTGGTAAATTTTCTCAGAAAATTTAAAAATCAACTTTAATTTGAAACATATTTCATTTCGTGAAAGACGAGTAAAAAGAGACCTCACGGCCTACTAAATTTGGGAATTTCAGTTTTTCAAAGCAATATCACGCATGTTTGAGACAGTGTTCCGGTGGCCGGTCAATATTGCGCAGTTTCGGAGCCAGGAAATTTTTTTTTCGCAGTTTGTTAAGGACCTATTTCTTGAGGTTACAAGACAAGTTACGTCACAAAAAGTACACAAGTTTTCATTTTATCACCCAAAAATCTTGCTTGATTACCATAATATGACCGGCCGCCTTGAACATGCTTGATATTCATCTTATTTCCAACTTTAGCCCTTTAAAGTATCCCCGAAAAGCGAAAATGAGTCAGCCGGCGATGTCCAGCCTAGGCTGCTGGTAGATTTTCCCGAGAGAAGGGGGGAAAGAAACGGAATGAAAGGGGGCGCGCGCGGTCGAGCGCCGCGGTCGGATGACGAATGCAGTCGTGTGGTGGAGGATCCGTCGGTCAGCGGCCCTCTGCTCTTTCCCCGTTCTCTAATTTTTCGCCCGGTTAATACGAACTCCTTGCACCTGACCTCTCAGGATCCAACCTTGTGCTTCGTGTCAGCTGGTTGGCTGCAGTACTATCCGAAAAAAGATGCTTTTTCTGACCCGAAAAAGTGCCAACTCACACGTTATCGTCACGTTTCATTCTTTGCTCGACGTGTTTTTAATCTTCTTCGCTTTTTTCTTACTTCCAGCAGTTTTTCATGCTTTAAAGCGATGAATAAAATAAAAAAAAAGTTTTTTCCAAGTGGATTTTGGTTCATTTTTTCGGTTTTTCTTGCTTCATAGCGATGAAAAAAACTGAAAAATTTTTTTTTTGGTTCTAAAAAAATGACAACTTTCACGTTTTATAACACTTCAAACTCACTGTTCTACGCGTTTTTAACTTGTTTGGTTCATTTTTTCAATTTTCAAAAGCTTTTCTTGCTGTTTAACAAGAAAACTGGTTAGGAGCGTTTTCAACCGTTCCGTTTTCCTTCTGGGAACCGGTTCATTTGAAAGTTGGCGTTGAATTTTAATTTTCAAGTTAGAATTTGTGTTGGCAATGCTTATTTTGGGATATTCATGGTTGTCGGTTGGAACTTGTATCTCTCATCACGGCGTTCTTGTCAGTGAAAGAAAATGCAGAAAAAAAATACCAGGGGCGGGCGCCGTAAATCGTACGGCAGCAGTAGTTTTGATCTGTTCAGGACCCGTTTTTGGATTACAATACCCACCCTTTAAAGCTCTCGCAAGATTTACGGATAGAGTTAGTTGAAAAAAAGCATTTTTTTTGCTTTTTTCTTTATTAATACCTCTTTTAACGTTTTTTCTATAAGTACAAGTTATTATCCAGTTCCTTTGGCGTAGTTTGAAACCAGTTTCGTGTAAATTAGAGCCAAATTGAATTTACTGATGCAGTTTGAAGATTTTGTTATATGAATCATCTAAATTATACTTTTTTTTTCCAGTTGTTTCATGGTTTTTCGGATTTAAACAAACATTTCGCCATACGAGGTTTTTTTCTGAAAATTTCTGCTTCCTATTCATTATTTGTTTTTCTGAAGCTAGGTTTTCAAGGTATATAAAATGTTTCTTTTTTTCATTTGCTCCTCGAATTTTCCTCATTTCAATATTTTTCGTATTTACAATTGCTTATTCAATGAGAGCTGATTCACCTTCCTAATATTTTTTGTTTTCATTTTGTAATCAGTAATTTAGAGTTTTCCCCTTCCGAAATCGTTCCTAAATTTTTTTAAACGCAAATGAATGTTTTTTTTTCACATCATAATCTTCAAACTGACAAGATTTCGAACATTTCAGAAGTTATTATCCTAAAATTGCAAATTCTAAAATTGAAAAAAACAATTTTGAGTATGCGATAGTGCGTCTCGGTGTGCTTACACCCTAAACATCATAATTTACGAGAAGTCTTGACCTTGCGTAATAAAAAAAACGCCGTGTCATAAAGAGTAAGAATTCGAAAAAAAGGAGTAAATAATAATTTAATAAGTTTTTTTCTAAGAAGCGTCATTTTTTTGAGCGTTTTAAGCTTATTTAGAACCATCTTATGAGGTTTCAGAGAAGAAAAAGGTTGATTTTACAAAGTCTTTACGGAAAAAAGTTTCCGAGTTAAGCCAACACCGTCTTTTTGTGCACTTTAAAAACCCGAGAAAAACTGTCTTTATTCGAAACTTCTTTCAATTTAGCAGAAAATAGGTTAATTTTCAACAGGAAAAATAATTTAATACCGTTTTTCCCGACATCGAAACTATATTTTTTGAAAAAGAACTTGATTTTCTATGCCAATAATTCCAATTTTTGCCAAAAAAGCGTCTTTCAACCACGTATTTTCATTCAAATTTTCAGTAGAATTTCTTTTTTTTCGACAACTTTTAGGCATCGTGGATTTTTCTTGTTTCTTAACGCTCTTCGCGCTGAAAATTCCTCCATTTTGCTCATTTCTCGAACATTCTCCGTTTTGAAACGTTGCACCCACGTTTTCATCATTATTTATATTTTTTTTGCAGGGGCGTCAATAATTCTCTAACCCTGCATTAACGTGGTAACCAGCGCTTCTCTCTAGTAACTTATATAGTCGATTTTAACTTTGAAAAAGGAAAATGGCCGGACCTCTGCCGATCAAGTTCCACGAGCATCTTCAGGTGATTTTGTTGGATTTTTCGGGAAAAAACGGTATTTTTTAGCTCACCAATGTGGGAATCCGGGCGCCGAACATCTCCTTCGCCTCGGTGACCATGGAATCGGACAAGTTTATCGTTGTCCGTGAGATGGTTTGTATCAGAAAAAGGTCGAAATCCCAAAAATGATCGTTTTTTAAAGATTGCCGACCAGCAACAGGTGGTCATCGTCGACCTGGCCGACGCTCCCAACCCGACCCGACGTCCCATCTCGGCCGATTCCGTCATTATGCATCCCACCGCCAAGATTCTCGCCTTGAAATGTAGAATATTCCACGAAATCCCCCGAAAATCGACCATTTTCCAGCCAACAAGACTCTCCAAATATTCAATATCGAACTGAAAGCCAAGGTCAAGTCGCATCAGAACGCAGAGGAGATCGTCTTCTGGAAGTGGATCAACGAGAAACTCATCGCCCTCGTTTCTGAGACCGCCGTTTATCATTGGTCCATCGAGGGTTCGTTTCGAAACGTCTTTTTTCCTGAATTTTTCGTAAATCGTAAAACAGAAAGTCATTTTTGTCGATTTTTGATTATTTTCGCTCAGTTTTTGGGAGATTATATTAAAAGTTAGGTTTCGGAACTTTTTCTTTTTGATTTTGGTCGATTGAAGGTTCGTTCCCAATCGCGTTTTATTATAGAATATTTGTGATTCCTAGGTTTTTTACGTGTAATTCTTGAAAAATATCAATCTTGCTTAGTTTTCTGTATCATATTGTTTCTTGGAAGTTTGATCCGATCCGCTTTTTGTAATTTATTATTCTTAAATTGAAGATTTCAGCGCGTAAATCTTGAAAAAAAAGGATTTTGACAATTTTGACCATATTTTTGCTCATTTTAGGATATTTCTATTCACAATTTGTTCATTAATGAGTCGATCCGAATCGCGTTTTAATAGAAAATTTTCTCGAATTTGAGTTTATTCAACGCTTATTTCACGAAAAACAGAGCAATTTGTCGATTTTTGCTTATTTTGAGAAGATTTCTATGTTCATTGAGGGTTGGTCCTGGAAACGAATCAATTAATTCGAAATTTTTCAAGAAAAATCATCTTTCATCGATTTTGAATCATTTTCTGTTTTTTAATCGCGATCAAAAACTTTCTTGTTGTATTTTTTTAATTTGAAGTATTTTCGCATTTTTTTTATATTGAATTTTCTGAATTTTTGAACCCCTTATGAAACTTGTAAAGTACTTTGAAAAATAGTATATCCGTTTTTTTCTATGATGAAACTTGAGGAAATCGATTTGAGAACGATTATTTTTTTGTTCTTTTTTCAAGTTTTGAGCGTTTTCATCTTGATTTTAACACATTTTACTTTACTTATTCCATAAAAACTTTATGAACTCAATTAAAAAAAAATTATTTTAAGGTGATTCGACGCCTGTGAAGGTTTTCGACCGTCATCCATCCCTGGCTCAATCTCAAATCATCAATTACCGAGCCGATGCCGATTGCAAATGGCTTTGTCTCGTCGGAATTTCAGCCAAGGTGAATAAATGGCGAATTAATGATGAAATTGAAGCGGAAAAAGAGCTGGAAATCTTTTTTTTATTTTTATTTTTTTGGCTAATGAGCTCCAAAAAGCTCCAAAACATGCTTAGTTTTTCGATTTTTGCCTCATGACCTCTTGATATTGCTCATGCTCATGCTCATGACCTTGCTTTCAAAAATATGCACAATCAGCACAAGGAAGTATTCAATTTTTTGAAAATCCTGCCGAATTTTCTATTTTTTTTTTTTGCAGGGATATGGTCATGTGAGTTTTATGAAAGCTTTCGTAAAAGTAATTTTAGAAAAAGCCGTTTTATTTTATTTTTTGTGGCTTGAAAATATCGTTTAATGAGTTGGACTGGACTGGTTTAATTAGGCTTCATTTAAAAAAAAAATGGGGACTTTTTTTTTGGCGGGTTGGGTCCCCCCGTCGGCATCTCTAATTTCAAAAACTGAATCCGGAATTTTTCAGGACAGCCGCGTCGTCGGAAACATGCAGTTGTACAGCGTGGAACGCAAGGTTTCGCAGCCGATCGAAGGACATGCGGCGTGTTTCGTCCGCTTCAAGGTTACTCCTTTTTTGCGGTCGTTCTAAATGACTCATGGTCATTTTTGCAGGCCGAAGGAAACGCTCATCCTTCCAACTTGTTCTGCTTCTCCGTGAAGAATGATGCCGGAGGAAAGGTAATGGAGAAGAAATTGAAGATTTTGGAGCTGGTAAAGGGTTCCTTGAAGTGTTCAAAAATTTTTTCAAAAAAAAGAGGTTTTAGAGCTTGATGACGCCTTTTTGTCGTGTTTTAGGAGTTTTTAGGCGTTTTAGAGCTCAAAAAAACGCTTTTTTGCATGTTTTTTGAACGTTTTCGAAGATTTTAAAGTACAAAACGCTTTTTTTTCCATTTTTTTAGAAGTTGTCAGAGGTTTTCGAGCTCGAAAAAAAACGTTGTTTTGCGTGTTTTTTCGACGTTTACAGAGGTTTTCAAGTACAGAACGCCTTTTTTTTTTCGTTTTTTAGAACTTGAAGAGGTTTTGAAACTACAAAAACCTGTTTTCGCCTTGTTTTTAAACTTTTTAGAGATTTCAAAGTAGAAATTTAGCTCTTTGTGATGATAAATTATGATAAAAAAGCAAAAGCTGATTTTTCCAAACGATTTGAAGCGGTTTCTGGCAAAAAAAATTTTTTGGACGGTTTTTTTGGTTTTCAAAAAGTTTGAATCTTGCGATTTTGGCATTATTTTTTGTCGAAACTTTTGTGTTTTTTACTTCAAAAGTGGAAAAAAATGCCGATATTCACAAAAAATAGTTGAGCTGAAAATTTTAATCTGAAACTCATAATTTCCTTTAAAATTGGCTTCGAAAAACCTGCGTGAAAACGTTTTTCGATGAATTTTAGCCTATGGAATCGAAGAAAGGATTGAATGAAGCAAAAATAGCCTATTAGAAGAAGAAAAAAAAGTTATCAGGTTCTGTAAATATTCAACTTTGAAAGGGAGAATGATATGAAGGAAATTACATGGTTTTTTTCTTTTGAATCAAGGAAATTTTCAAGAATTTTTAGGCCAAAAAAATATATATAATTGTAATTTTTCAGCTGCACATCATTGAAGTTGGACAGCCGCCGGCGGGAAATCAGCCGTTCTCGAAGAAGAACGTCGAAGTGCCGTATACGGCTGAAACGGCCGCCGATTTCCCCGTCTCCATGCAGGTATAAAAGAGAGATTCCTTCTAAGAATCAACCGGTTTTTCTTTCGAAGAATGGTCACTCTCTTTCTCGTTGAATTAAAGAAAGACCTTTGATCACGATCCATTTTTGGGTGTCTTGTTGTCAGTTTGCATTAGAAATGAACTGGAGAAAGTTTTGAGATTTCTTTTTTAGGAGAAATCTAGGAATTTATTGGAAAAGGAAGGTCAAGGATAGATTTTCAGAGAAGGATTGTATCATAATTGTTATAATCAGAAAAAGCTAAACTGGTTTTTTTCAATTTTTTTTAACCTTTCCAAGCAAAAAAATCTAGAAAAAAATCGAGTGGCCACTTGAGGGATTTTTTTGTCCTGAAATATTGATGATTTTCTAAAGATTCTGATAATCAGATTCAATCAGTACTGCGTTCAAAGCTAATTTGGAAAATGTTGGGAAACAATGGGAATACTTCTAGTGGTCACTTAATGGATCCCTCAAGGTCTACTTGGACAGGGCACTAAAGTGGTCACTAAAGCCGCCTCTATAGAAGCCACTATTTCCCGTTTTAGTGGCCATTATAGTAGTTTTTAGGGGTCTAGTAGTATCGCTTAGACTTTAATGAGACCGTTTATTTTTAATCACTTAAGTGGCCACTAAAAATACCTCTTTAAAAGCCACTATCTTTCGTTTTAGTGGCCGTTATAGTAGTTTTTAGGAGTCTGTAAGTATTACTTAGACTTTAAGGAAACAACTAAATTTTAGCCTCATAAGTGTCCACTAATTCGACAACTATGTTAACCACTAAAACGTCAAAACCCTAAAGTGGCCACTCAAAATTCTGTAAGTAAAATGATTGAGATTGAGCTTCGGAAAGTGACACCCAGAATAACCCTGATTTTATACGTTTCTGTGGAGTTTTATAAGGATTTTTTGCTGGGTAAAAGTAGTTAGTTTATCTTTCCGAGAGTTAGTCTATCTAATTAAAAGTTTTTTAAACCACAACGACGGAATTTATATCTTTTTGTTTCGATTGAAGGTTTTTAAAAAGGACTTTTCAGAAGATTTGTCAGTTTCGGTAGAGATTTAGAGCTTTTCTTCGCATTTCCAGATCTATTTTTCAAGATCGAAAAAAATGAGAATGTGTACAGGAAATCTAAAAAAAACGTGCAATCTAGGAAAATATTTCACAATGACAGTAGTAGAATTATAATCCGCGAAAGTAATTTCTCCTTTTCTTGATTTTTTTTTTGTCAAAATTACACTATAAACCCACGCGGACAGGTGTTATTTGTTTACCTAAAGCCAATTTCGCCTCGTTCGATTGGGACCCAACGAAATTTGATCTACCTTGAATAAACATAACATCCTTGGCCAATTGTTGTAAACTTTATAATATGTCGATTTTAGAGGTTTTAGTGATTATTAAGGGAATTTTTGGGTTGAAATGAAGATTTTATGTTTTATTTCGAGTCTTCAAAAAATCAGACTGGAAATGTTCCAGGCCCGGAAGGAATGAAGCTCTGAAATGAATCAACTTTTTTTCGGGTTTTACGAAAAGTTGGAATAAAAAAAGTTTGTAAAATTTAATTTTCCATATTAAGGAAATTGGGTTTTTTTTTGTAATAAAAGGAATTTTCAAGTGAAAATGAAGTTATAACTCTTTTTCCCGTTCAAATTCTGAAGGCGGGACATTTTCCAGGCCTCTTCCAAACAAGGAATCATCTACCTGGTGACGAAACATGGCTTCGTCCACCTCTACGACGTCGAGTCGGGTGCCAGGATTTATTCCAACCGAATCTCGATGGACACTATTTTCGTCACCACCGAGTATACCACGACCGGTGGTATCATGGGCATCAACAGAAAGGGACAGGTAAAATGAAGGGAAAAAGGGATTTTTAGATATTCCATGTGGTGTAGCAAAGATTGGCGGATGATGGTTGTTTTTCGAAGTTTTCTAGGTTTTTACTGTTTCAAGCTACAAACTCGGTGAATAAAATCAATTTTTAGTGGTAAAATTTGAAAAAAAAAACAAATCTTGTAGTTTCAATTGTTTCAATATTTTTTGTCATTTGAGCAAGAATGCGATTTTCGTTTAATTGATAAAGTTTCCAAATTTAATGGTCGCACTTTAAAAGCGTACGTGTTCTTTCGAGCCATTCCAAGTGTGACCACGTTCGAATTTGATGGATTTAAAGGATAAGAACTCAATTTTCAGGTCCTTTCCGTCTCGATCGATGAAGCCAATCTGGTGCCTTTTGTCACTCAAACCTTGGGAAATCACGACTTGGCCTTGAGATTGGCCATTCGATGCAATTTGACTGGTAATATTGGTTCACAAAAACAAAGAAATTGGCGATTTTCAGGCGCCGAGGAACTTTTTGTCCGAAAGTTCAACTTGATGTTCAGCAACGCTCAGTATAGCGAGGCCGCGAAGATCGCTGCCACGGCGCCGAAGGTGAAAAATGGAAAACAAATAGAAAAAATTGAGATTTTTAAGCTAAAAACGAGTGTAAATTGAGAAAAAAAAATTTTTTGAAGATTTTTTTGAGATCTGATTTTTTTAATGGGAATTTTCGACTGGAAAAACTAGTTAAAATCGCAAAAAAATCAGGCTAAAGACTTGGTGCCGAAAAGATTTATGTTAGAATAACTATTGAATATCCGTGATTTTTTTGGGTTATAGAATAGTAAAAAAATCACAGAAAAATGGTTCTGAAGAGTTTTTTTGAGATCTGACTTTCAGAAAAATCCAAGAAAAAAAGTGATAGAATAATTATCAGGCTTTTAGATATGATTTTTTTGAGTTGAAACAAGGAAAAAAATAAAGGAAATTAGGGTAACTACTTGATTCTCAAGACTTTTTTTGAGATATTTCAGATAATTATTTAAAAAAAAGGATAAAGTAGTTATTGAGGTTTTTGAAGTAGAGGGAATGATACGGCTTTTTTTCGGAACAAGTAGAGAAAAAAAAGGGATTTTTAGGTGAAATTTAGTGAAAATTAAAGGAAATTGGAAAATGACTTGGTTCTGAAAAGCTTTGAGACGAATTTTTAAACTTTTTCAGAGTTTGCCACTTTTTCAGGAAATTCTCCGCACCCCGGCCACCATCCAAAAGTTCCAACAGTGCCCGAGTGCCGCTGGCGGAGCTTCTCCCCTCCTCCAATATTTCGGAATTCTGCTCGACCAGGGACAGCTCAACAAATACGAGACCCTGGAACTTTGCCGACCCGTCCTGGCTCAAGGCCGGAAAGAGCTCATCAACAAATGGTAGCTTTTTAAAAAAAAAACATGAGAAAATGGTTTCTAACGAGGGCAGAGCTGCCCGCAAGCGTCCCTAGGGCCGTATTTAGTTTCAGTTTTTGAGTTTGCTTCCAAATTCAAGGTTGAATGAGAATAGTAATGATATGAAAAAACCTTAAAAATCGTTTCTCTCAAGGGCCGAGCTGCCCGGAGGTGTCCCCAGGGCTTTAGCTTATTTTTTTGTTGGGTCTTGTCATAATTATGACCTTTTGATCAACGAATCGAGAATTAAAAAAAACATTTCGAGAGAGAAAAGTGCATTTATTTATTAAATCTAATTTTTGAGAAAAATTGAGGCTTTTTTGTCGCCCAGAGATCAGAAGTTTATGATTTTCTTAAATTTGACAGAAGTTTTCTGGAAAAATAAGAGGTTTTTGCCCCTGTCCCCGATCCAAAGGGTACATTTTCGAAAGTTTGAGAGCATTTTTCTCAGAAAATTTGAGTAAATGTAAAATTTCAATCAGATTTGTGGAATATTTACGGTGAATATTACCCTTAAAAATTATTTTTGAACAAAAAATGATCATTCATCAAATAAAAAGGCAAATTCAAGGCTCGGAGACAACAAGTTGGAGTGCTGCGAAGAACTCGGAGATCTGATCCGACCCACGGATCCGAACTTGGCCCTGTCCGTCTATTTGAGAGGAAATGTGCCACACAAGGTCGTCCAGTGCTTCGCCGAGACGGGACAATTCGAGAAGATCATCATCTACGCGAAACGAGTCAACTTCCAGCCGGATTATCTCTTCCAGCTTCGACAGGTTTTCATTGGAGGGGGGAAATGAGACAATTTTTTCAAGAATATAATTTTCCTTCAATTTCTTCAGCCGAATAATAGAAAAAAAAGTTCTGATCAGGTTTCAATAAGGAAAAAAAGTTTAGTCATGATTTCAAAAAAAAAAAGGTCCAAAGGGTCTCAAAAAGGTATCAAAAAGAAGAATCCAGAGCTCCTTTTGGAGTTCCTGAAAAGTGTCAAAAGTTTCTCGGAATCTATTTTTTTAAATTTCCCCTAAAGAAAAGTTGAGAAAAAAAGATCTTTTGAAAGGTTCCAAGGGTCCTTTTTAGGTCCTTCTGGACTTTGCCCGTGAAGGGACTTTTTTTCCAAGATTCTGAAGAAAATTCTTGTTTCTACGAATCCCATAGATAACAAATATATCCTTTCTGACCTTTAAGGTGCGTTTTTAGATCCTTCGCTCTGGAAACCAGGACGCTGGAGCCAAATTCGCCCAAATGTTGGTCTCTGAAGCCGATGGAAATGAGCCCCTTGCCGACCTCACCCAGGTCGGAATGAGCCTCAACTTCTGAACGTTGAAAGTTTGCAGATCATCGACTGTTTCATGGAGGTGCAGGCCGTCCAACCGTGCACGTCATTCCTCTTGGAAGTCTTGAAGGGCAACCGACCTGAGGATGGTCATCTCCAGACGAGACTCCTCGAGATGAACCTTCTTGCTGCCCCAGCGGTCCGCATTTGAATATTCTTGGGGGTGGAAATGAAGGGAACATCAAGTTTTGTGTGTTAGATATCAATGTAGCCGATTCGTAGCTAGCTTTGAACGTAAAGGGGCGTGGTCTGTCGAGGCTCTCCACCACCCAGGCACTGTCTATTTTTTCATCGTGTCAGGACCCATTTTTCTATGGTTCAAGCCGTGACCTTTTTACACAGTTGCTTCTACAAATCTTAACTGAAATTGATAAAATTCGGCGGAAAGTCTCTCTGTTTTCCCTATCTAGAGAGTTTCATAACTGCTGGAGTAATTCTTTTTTTTCCAGGTCGCCGACGCGATTCTGGCCAACAAGATGTTCACGCACTACGACCGCGCCGCTATCGGACAACTCTGCGAGAAGGCCGGCCTTCTGCAGCGGGCCCTCGAGCACTTCACCGACCTCTACGACATCAAGAGGACCGTCGTCCACACTCATTTGCTCAAACCCGATGTGGGATATTTGATTATTAGCATTTTCTGAAGTATTCGGGTGGTTAACAAGAAAAGCTCTGTATTGATGACAGCTCTTTGAATTATACGAACCAAAAAAAGATAGATCTGAAATTCATTTCCTGATAGAGGTACACAATAATGTTTCAATTCACAAGGAAGGTCATTTTTCTCGGATTTTCTTGATAATTGCCCAGAGCACTTTTTGATGTCCTAAAAAGAATTCTGAAAGTCCCAAGCTCTACAATTTCGAGAAACGAAAGCTCTAAGTTACACAATGGCCTTTTTCAACTAATTTTTACTCTTTTTTCAAAAAATAAGAAATGGATAAGGTTGAGACTTCGTGGGTCTTTTTCTGGTACTTCAAGCACTCTTCCAGCCAATTTTCAAGCGCATTTTAAAATCAGCTTCCTTGAAAAAATTCAAAACAATTACGGAACATGTTTTGTTAAAACTCAAGGTTTCATCAGAACAAATTCACGAATTTTAGCCTATTTTCTGAACTTCTATTTTTTGTTTTGTTGAAGAAGGAAGGTTTTTGACCCATCAAATTCAGTGGCTCGTCAACTACTTTGGAAGCCTGTCTGTGGAGGACTCGATCGAGTGCCTGAAAGCCATGCTCACGCAGAATATTCGCCAGAATCTGCAGGTTTGTTGGAGAAAAAAAGTGTCAAAAAAATTCGTAATATTCTCTTTCTACCATGTTTCCATGTACGTTTCTCATATTATTCAGATTTTTTTAATTAATTTTTTTATTCGGATCAGTGGATATTTTATCGCGAAATGAAAGTCTTGAAGCGAAAAATCAGTATGAGCTTGATTGTAACTTTGAAAATGATCGTAAAGGTAAAAAATAAACTTCGAAAATAATGTAAGATCACCATTACAACAAAAATATGCTTCAGAAATGAGTGATTTTTTGAAAGTGCGCAAAAAAGTTTATCATTTTACTTAATTTTACTGTTTCCTAGCTCAATAACGGGGTTCGGATGTGTCGCAGCATTTCTAGTGACCACTTTAGTAGCCTCAGAACTCTTAAGTGCACCCTGGGATTGCTCAAAAACGTCAGATTTTCGTTATCAAGGTCTTAGAATTTGATATAAAATTCGATCGTTCTTCTTCACCTCAAGATGAAATTTCTAAAGGTTGTGGTCCAAATCGCGTCGAAATACCACGAACAACTGGGAACCGAGAAGCTCATCGAAATGTTCGAGAACCACAAGAGCTACGAGGGACTTTTCTATTTCCTCGGCTCGATCGTCAACTTCAGTCAGGACTCGGAAGTCCATTTCAAGTACATCCAGGTCCTTTAGGAAATCTTTAGAAGTCTCAAAAAATAACAAAAACTGATCCAGGCCGCCACCCGCACTGGCCAAATCAAGGAAGTCGAGCGAATCTGCCGCGAATCGAGCTGCTACGACGCGGAACTCGTCAAGAACTTCCTCAAGGAGGCCAAACTCGCCGATCAGGTTGGCTCATATCCAGATTGAAAGAAAGAGTAATGTGATCTTCTTCAGCTCCCTCTGATCATCGTCTGCGATCGCCATAATATGGTCCACGATCTGGTGCTCTATTTGTACCGGAATCAGCTCCAGAAGTACATCGAAGTCTTCGTCCAGAAGGTGGGAACAGTTGGGAAAGCGGATTTTAGGAGAAAAGACAAGTTGAGCAAACCTTGAAGCGGGAAATCCAGCTTTAAAAGGCGCTTGAAGACTTTGAATTGAGGGGAAGGCAAGAAAAAGCCTGAAAAATCAAAAAGTAAAATCTAACTTTGACGCGGAAAATTCAGCGGAGTTCAGCTTCTAAAAGCCATTGAAGAATTTAATTTGAGGGGGAAAAGAGCCTGAAAAATTAATGAAAACAAACTTTGGTGCCGATAAATGAGCTAAATTCAGCTTTTGAAAAGGCACTCAAAGATTTTATTTTGAATGTAAAAGCAGTAAAAAACCTGAAAAAGTGAGAAACGCGAGCTTTGAAGCAGAAAATTTTGCGAAATCAAGCTTTTTAAGGCCATCGAAGACTCAATTTTGACGGTAAAAACAGGAAGGAACCTGAAAAACCAAAAAGAATAATTCCAACTTTTAAAGTCAATTGAAGGCTTCAATTTTAAGTGTGAAACAGAAATGAACCTGAAAAGTTGAGAAAAAATAGCTTTGAAACGTGAATCATTGATAAAGATTCAAGGAGAAGTTTAATAAGGACCTCATTTTAATAAATTTGAGACGAATTAAATTTCAAGATAAAAATAGGTTTCCTGAAAGAACAGAATTCGTATAGGTGAAAAAAAAGAGAATTTAAAAGATCACGAAGAATGATCTGAATTTGTCTGCTGGATTCATAGGTATATTTTCAAAGACTTGAGAAAAAAGGAATTTGATAGTTCATTCCGCGATTTTTGGTTGGACCGAAAATTTTGTGCAAACGGAGGGATGCTCAATTTTGTAGATGAGATTTTTGTCCTCTACGTTGGAATCAGATTTAGTTCGAATCGCTGTTTCCATAATTTATTATAAGGTTTCGAAAAAAATTCAACATAGTTGATTTGTTAAATTAGCGACTGACGAAAACAAAGAAATAAGCGTGTTTTGAGGGATATATGAAAAATGAGCCGTCAAATAGTCCGTTTTTAAAAAAAGATTACTCTTTCTATGATAAAATAAATAAAAACTGTTTCCAAGTTCAGAGATCCTTCCATGAACGATGAGAATAATATTTGAAAACATCCTTTTACGAAAAAATAGCTTTTTTTGAGTGGCGGCTAGTTTTTCGCAGCTCTTTTGTCAGTCACCCACTTTGAGGCGATGATTTCGGAAATTTTGATAGGTTTTTCATAGCTCAAAATTGTTCCAGGTCAACTCGACCCGGCTTCCAATCGTTGTCGGAGCTCTTCTGGACGTTGACTGTAGCGAAGACGCGATCAAGCAGTTGATCGTCAACACCCGAGGAAAGTTCGACATCGACGAGCTCGTCGAGGAGGTCGAGAAGAGAAATCGGTGAGGAAGAGGCGGAAGTTAGAGCTTTCGAATGAGATCTCAGAGAATCTAGAGCTTCGGAGGCTTCTAAAGTTTTGATTTTGGAAGTTTTCAGGGTTCCTTGTAAAACAGAGATTGAAATGTTTTTCCATGGTGATAGAACTGTAGAATTTTCTGATGGTCGAAACGAAAAAAACGAGTTTTAAGCTTTCAGAATTTGAATCCTGATAATCTAAAGCTTCGAACATTTCGAAAAAGTTTTGAAAAATTGGTTTTATTTTGAAAATATCCCGGGTTTCCTTGTAGAAAAAAGGTTTCAGAAAGTTTCGGGATAAAACTGTGGAATTTCTAAAGATCTTCAGGAAAAAAATAAGTTTAGAGCTTTTAGAATGAGGATCTAGAGAATCTAAAGCTTTTGAGGTGTCAAAAAAATTCATTAAATACGTTTTTATTCTAGGAATAATCAGGTTTTTCTTGTAAGACAGGGTTTTCAAGATGTTTTTCAAGATGAGATGAACCTGAATGGTTTTTTGAAAAAACAGCAATTTTCGAGGTTTCAGACAGTTAGGAATTTTGAGATTTTCCAGAACCTGGACCTGAGAATTTTGTTTTTGAAGTGAAAAATCAGAAATTTTCGTACATTTTGGATACAAATTTAGCTTTTTTGAATATTGATTTTTTCAATTTGTGCTCTGAAGTTTATCAAAAAATGCGAAAATCTAGGGTTTTGCTACATTTTTGAAGGTACTAGGAACCTTTAAGAGAAATTTGATGAATCGGAAGCTTCTGAAGCATTTTTGCTCATTTTGAAGCCCTCAATTGAAACTTTAATGAATTCCTATAATCCTTATTGTTTCAATTTTGAAGTCTTTTCCTATTAATATAAGCATTTATTGATTCATTTTGAGTTGAAATAGAAGGCGTGAAGTTTAAATCAATAAATGGGTTCAGATTGAAGTTGCTGGCCCACTGGCTGGAGTCCCGCGTCCAGGAAGGCGCCACGGACGCCGCCACCCACAACGCGATGGCCAAGATCTACATCGACTCGAACAACAATCCGGACCGATTTCTCCGCGAGAACCCCTACTATGACAGCACTGTCGTTGGAAAGTACAGCAGATCCCGTCGTTCTGTCGATTATTTGAGCATTGTTCAAGGTACTGCGAGAAGCGCGACCCCCACTTCGCCTTCCTGGCCTACGAGAGAGGCCAGTGCGACCAGGAGCTCATCCATGTCTGCAACGAGAACTCGCTCTTCAAGAACCTCGCGAGGTCCTTTTTTTTTATCTCGTTACAAGATGTTTCTTGGTACTTTTGACCTCCTCCATGATAGTAATATTCTAGGAAAAAAAGAAAAAAATACGGTTAGGATATTGTTAAGGGCGCTGTCTAAAGCATACGTCGGCTGGATCCCACCCCGGGGTGCGGTCTACTCCCTTCAAACTGCGGCCTACCCCCCAAAAAGTGCGGCCTACCCCCAGAAAAATGCGGCCTACCCCCCGAAAAATGCGGCCTACTGCAGTACATTTTTAAATCTTTTTTTCGCTTGCAAAAGGCTGGAGTGGGATCCAGCCGACGTATGGTCTAAAGTCCACAGGGTCACAAGTTCGATCCCCGCCTCGACCCAACCAAGGGGTTTAAGAAATTTTGATAGTGGGAAATCACGGCTTCATAATCCCCAGCCATCATACACAAGGACGGATAGAAGAAGAATCTTTTTTCTTACGATCTAAATAATTGTACCCTCCAGAAATTTCCACTCCCGTGCAACTCTGCAACATTAAGATCAATTAGAAAGAAATGCTCATAAAAATATTGCTAAGAACTGTCCTAATTTTTTAGAAGTGTCTTATAGAACCAAAAATCGTTTTTTATATCGATGAGAAAAAGAGTTAGAGGAAAACATTTTTTTTCGAGCTTTAAAAGTGAAAAAATCGCCTCTTTTTCTGATCTAATCACTTTGATCAACCGTCTTTTGTTTCTGAACAAGTTAGGTAACTTTGCAGTTCCTAAGGGGAAATTATTGAATGGATGGAAGGGGCCGGAAGTTGATAAGTTTTATTTCGTCAATATCGATTTCCTAACCAAAAAGTTCAGATACCTCGTTAAAAGACGCGATTTCGCTCTGTGGGAGCAGGTTTTGAACCAGGAGAACGCCTACCGTCGACAACTCATCGATCAAGTTGGAATTTTCACCAAAAACCCTAAGTGCCCAATTTTTAGGTCGTCCAAACGGCCCTTTCCGAGACCCAAGATCCGGAAGACATTTCCGTGACCGTCAAGGCCTTCATGGCCGCCGATTTGCCCAACGAGCTGATCGAACTGCTCGAGAAGATCGTCCTGGACAACTCGGCCTTCTCCGAACACAGGAACCTTCAGAACTTGCTCATTCTCACGGCCATGAGGGTGAATAGTTGGAAAAAAGTTTGAAAATGATTCGAGAGTTTTCAAAAGATTAAATTTTGAAAAAAAGTCTTTGAAAGCCGGTTTTTTTGTTGTGTTTCCAAAAAAATTCACAAATTTTAAATTTTAAAAAGTTGAGATTTATTGAAGTGAAGAGTTTTTTTGTAGATTTCTTGAGCTTTCAAATTGGTTAGGTTTTTTTTATGAACCACCACTTATTTTTGAAAAAAACGGAACAGAAGTGCAGTTTCCTCGGGAAAAATACAAAAAAACAATAATTTTCGGATAATTTTTTTCATTCTGGAACTTTCTGAAGTTGTGATGACTAATATTTGCCACATACTGGTGAAATTTAAGATTCTTAAGAATACCAGGAAGTTTCAGAAAGATTTGAGGAACTTGATACAGGAACACTTTGGTCAAAAAAAATGTTTTTGACTCGAAAAATTAGGCAAAAAATCTTGACAATTCTTCAGAAATATGTTTCAGATTCAAATAGTATTAATCTTTTGCAGGCTGACCGCACCCGCGTGATGGAATACATCCAGAAACTGGACAACTACGACGCTCCGGACATTGCCAACATCGCGATCACCTCGGAACTCTACGAAGAAGCCTTCGCCATCTTCAAGAAGTTCGACGTCAACTCGAGCGCCATCAACGTCCTCATCGAGAACGTCAACAACCTCGACCGCGCCTACGAGTTTCGCCGAAAAGTGCAACCAGTCGGAAGTCTGGGCCTCGCTGGCCAAGGCCCAACTTAAGCAGGATCTCGTCAAAGAGGCCGTCGACTCCTTCATCAAGGCCGACGATCCCGGAGCCTACATGGAGGTCGTCAACAAGTGCGCTCAGACTGGTGAATATATCATTCTTTTTGGTGGAGACATGACGGATTTTTGTGAAAATAATGGTTTTTTAAAACTATGTGAGGAGGTTCTTTAGAGGGGAAATCATTTTCAACCATTCGAGGCATTTTTTCGAGATACGCTAATATTTCAAACTAGTTAGCACGTCATTTTCGAATACATTATCCTTTTTTAAATATTTGAGGCATTATTATTATTAGATACAGTATATATTTCCAATGATAGTTAGCACGACGTTTTTTTAAATAAAGTAACCTTTTTTTGAAATATTTGAAAGCGTTATTTCTAGAAACAGAACCATTTTCTTTAAACTAATAAAAGCATTATTTTAGATGAAAAATTAATTTTTTTATCCTTTCAAGGTATTATTTCAAGATAAAAACCATTTTTCAACTCATTAAGACTGAGGTTAGCTTCATAATTCTAGAAAAAAAACGCGCTTTCATAGAACTTGTTTCGGATCGAAAGATGTGAAAAAAATTTTTTTTCTTGTTTGGGGCGTTTTTTTCGAGATAAGAATCTTTTCTCTGAGATTCATATCATTGAAAGAAGAATCTGAGAAAAAAACACACAAAAAAATAATTAGAACTATCTGATTACGAAAAAAATATATGACAAACTCTGCTTACTGATGCATTATCAATTTTTAGCCTTTTTTTAGTTTTTTTCGGTGTGAAACACTCATGAAGGGAGAGAACAAAAAAAAATGATTTTGAAGTGTATTTTACTCAGTTTGGAAAATCTTCCAGAGCACTGGGAGGACCTCGTTCGGTACCTTCAGATGGCGCGCAAGAAGTCTCGCGAATCGTACATCGAGACGGAACTCGTCTTCGCCTTGGCCAAAACTGGTCGCCTGACTGAGCTGGAGGAGTTCATCGGAAGCCCCAACCACGCTCAGATCGGACAGGTTTCCGGCTCCTGCAAGAGAGCAAAGGATTACGAGAAAGTTATGCTCAGATCGGAGACCGATGCTTCGACAACGGCATGTTCGACGCGGCCAAGATCTTGTTCACCAACGTCTCCAACTTTGCCAAGCTGTCGGTGACCCTCGTCCGTCTGGGAGAGTATCAAGGCGCCGTCGACGCGGCCAGGAAGGCCAACAGCACGAAAACTTGGAAGCAGGTTCGGCGGGGGAAAAAGAGGAAAAACATTTCTTTCAATTTTAATTTTAAAATTTCATGGAGCTCAAAAAGTAGCTTCATCTTGAAATTCAATGTCTTGAAAGCATATTTGACTGATAAAAATAAAATAAAAGAGAAAAATAGTTATTCAATTTTTAGCTTTAGAGTTTCTTGAAACTCTGGAAGAAGGTTCATTTCAAAATTAAGTTTCTGAAAGCATATTTGACTGATGAAAATCAAATAATATGAGAAAAATGGCTATTCAAGTTTTTTGAAAAGCTTTTTTGGGACTCCGACACAAGCTTCTTGTTAAAATGTAGTACTACGAGGTATTTTTTTGACTCAGGAAATTGAAATATAAAGTGGAAAAAAACAATTAAAAAAACAAGTTTTTTTATCGATATTTTTTTTGAAAAAGACAGAGTTTTTCTGATGAAATATGATTCACTAGGAGAAAGCTTGATACGAGAAAGGTAATGAAAAAAAGGTGAAAAAATATAATTTCTTTGATAAGCTTTTCCATAGCAAAATATGATATTTTGGATAAATCATAGCTTTTTCTATTTTTCTGAAAGCAAAGAAGTGCAAAAGAATGGAAAATTAGCTTTAAATTACAAGTTCTTGAAAGTTTTTTTTGGTTTGTTCTCAGATTAATTAACATAGTCGGTTCACCTCTGGCTTGAACGACGAAAAAAAAAACTGTATAAACTTCTGAGCCTCTCTTATTCTCACGATCTTTCATTCATGTCTCATTTCTTTAGTTTTGTAATTTTGGGAGTAGCTAGCGGTGAATAGAGTATGGTCAAGGACTTTTCGAATTTAAAAATCTAGCAAAAATGCCGAATTTCTTAGGTTTGCTTCGCATGCGTGGAAAACGGCGAATTCCGTCTTGCCCAAATGTGCGGACTTCACATCGTCGTCCACGCTGATGAGCTGGAGGAGCTCATCAACTTCTACCAGGACCGCGGTCACTTTGAAGAGCTCATTGGTACTGAAATCACCTTTGAAAACCCCCGTCCATTTCGCTCTTTTCAGCCCTTCTGGAAGCGGCTCTCGGCCTGGAACGAGCCCACATGGGAATGTTCACCGAGTTGGCGATTCTCTACAGCAAATTCAAGCCGGAGAAGATGCGCGAACATCTGGAGCTGTTCTGGAGCCGCGTCAACATCCCGAAGGTCCTGAGGGCCGCCGAACAGGCCCATCTCTGGGCCGAACTCGTCTTCCTCTACGACAAGTACGAGGAGTACGACAACGCCGCCCAGACGATGATGCAGCACCCGACCGAGTCGTGGCGCGAGCAACACTTCAAGGAGGTCATCGCCAAGGTAAATCCATCTTTTTTTTCATGGGAAAAACGTTCAGTCGGTCTTTTGTTTCAAAAATAACAAGGATAAGACTTTGTAAAGCTCGATGGCATTTCAAAAATATCAAAGTTTCATCGGAAAAAAACGGTTTTTCAGTCACAAATTTTTTGTATGGAGTTTGATCTTCCTGAAACCTTTTGGTGTAGTGTTGACTGTTATTTGTAACTATCTGGCGGGATAGAAGTTTGTAGAAAAAAAAGGCAGCTTCGTGGAGTTTAACACAGTCGAATTGAGATGGTACCATAATGTGTCCACAAAAATACCTCTCAAAATAGATTGTGAAGACCCCATATAGTGTCCATCGTGAAACCTCCGGCATACCTTTTAGCTACATCTGAGCCATCTCGGAAGTACCTCCGAGTCTTTCTCAAGTCTATCTAATTTTGCTCAAAATCCTCAAAGGTATCCTTGAGGTACCATCGTGAGACTTCAGAGCCTGCGATATACCTCAGAGGGTCTCGCGATACCCTTTCTCGATTTGCCTATAAACAAAGATTGAGCTTTGAACTAGGAAATTGCTAGCAAAAAAATTTTCGTATCGTTTCTTGCTGTTCTCTACTTGAAATATGGAGAATAAGGCGTTTTTCAGAGCATTTGCAAAGCTTCATAATTTGAAAATAAGAATTATAGGAACAAATTTTTTGTTTTGACTGGAAACAAGAGATCTTGAAGTACGCTTCAGCAAATTTTTATGAAAAGCTGAATAAAAAACGAGCAGGGCATGGTCAGAAAGAAGTATTTGATGCAATTTACTTTTCGTTATTGAATTTTTGACTTTTTCATGTAGGAAAGTTCTGCTGTCCCCTTCTGATGTCTGTTTTTCATAATATTTTCTCGATCATCATAAAAAAAAATTGGCTGTTTCAGGTGGCCAACGTGGAGCTGTACTACAAGGCGATGCAGTTCTACCTGGACTACAAGCCGTTGTTGCTCAACGACCTGCTGGCCGTCCTCTCCTCGCGTCTCGACCACTCTCGCACCGTCCATTTCTTCACCAAGTGCAACCACATCCCTCTGGTCAAGCCCTACCTCCGTCAAGTTCAAACCCTGAACAACAAGTCGATCAACGAGGCCCTCAACCAGCTGCTCATCAAGGAGGAAGACCACGCCGCCCTCCGCGCCTCCATCGAAGCCTACGACAACTTTGACAACATCGCCCTGGCCAACCAGCTCGAGTCGCACGAACTCGTCGAGTTCCGCCGCATCTCCGCCTTCCTCTTCAAGGGCAACAACCGCTGGAAACAGTCGATCGAGCTCTGCAAGAAGGACAAGCTCTACAAGGACGCGATGGAGTACGCGGCCGAGTCGAGGAACGCCGAACTCGCCGAGGAGTTGATCTCCTTCTTCCTCCAGGTTTGAGCAGGAGCCAAAAAAAAGCTTAAAGGTCTTGCTTACCGGAAAAGGTATTGCGACCTTTTTGAAAGGGTTTTCCCTGGATTTTTGGAATAATTTGGGCAAAGTTGCCTTTTTTTTTCCTTGTCTTGTACTTGACTTTAAACGTTGGAAGATTTTTTGTAGATTTTTCTAAAATTTGAAGTAACTTAGGAACGCCGGAGTGGTCCCTTGAGGGGTGAGAAGGAAAAATATTCTAAACAGTGAACAAAATAACGCCTTAGAGGACGAAAAATATAAGTGATCCTTGTAGGGGATAAAGGCAGATCCCTGAAGCTTCAGGGATCACTATAGGGGTCTTTTAGTTTATTTTTTTTGTGGTTTGAACGCAAAAAAGAAGTTGAGACCAAAAAAGGCTCCCCTATAGTGGCCACTAACTAGAACCCTAGAGTGGTCACTTTTGAACGCTTCAGTCGTCCATATAGAGAGAGGTGAAGTGGTCCCTGGAGGGAAAACTTTAAGGACTCCTGAAGTTGCCTCTAGGGACCAATCTGACGTTCTTAAGAGACCAAGAAATAGAAAAAGAAGCTTTTACTTACAAATGGAGCGGATTGGTTAACTATGAAGATGAGATCAGAAATCAGAAACCGTAATCAGAAATAAAAAATCACCAAGAAATGTCAATTTTTTCCAGGAACGACTTTACGACTGCTTCGCCGCCTCCCTGTACCACTGCTACGACTTGCTGCACCCCGACGTGATCCTGGAACTCGCCTGGAAGCACAAGATCATGGACTTTGCCATGCCCTACATGGTCCAAGTCCTCCGCGACTACCAGAACCGTGTCGAACGCCTGGAGAGAGCCGAGGCCGAAAGGAAGGAGGAACGACAGGAGCAGCAGGGCCAGAATGGCATCGGAAGTGTGTAGTTGATCATATTTGAGGAAATTTTGTAGAAAAGAAAACAGAAAATGTGTCACTATAGGCTTCAGAATGGCATCGGAAGTGTGTAGTTGATCAGAGAAAGTAAAAAAAAAGTTAGAAAATGTGTCTGCTTAGGTTTCAGAATGACTTAGGAAGCGTGTAGGTGTTCAGGCAAGATGAAAATCGCTGAAAATCAGTCGATAGGGTTCAGAATTTGAAGAAAAAAAAATCTCCCATTTTTTTTAACGCGATGAGGGGGTTTGGAGCTTTTGAACTGCCAAAACTCAATTATAAAACAAAAATATCTTTAATTTTTTTTTTAAATATTCCCCTCTGTCAGAAACGAAATTTTGAGTATACCTGTAGGCTTGAAAAGCCCTTTGTGTAAACCTTTTCCACCCTTTTACGACCGTAAAAAGACCATTTTCTTATTTCAAATCGATTATCTTGTCATTCCTTCCTGTTGTCCAAAATTGGAAAGAAAGTTAAAAGCTCCAGAGTGGTCCCTATAGGGTCATTTGAAGATTCCCCTCCAGGAATGATTACATCTCCCCATGGACCGCTGGAGCTTGCAAAAAAAGAAAATGACTTTTATGAACTCTACGAGAAGAATCATTTTCATAGGAAACCTCGATAAATTAGCGCTTTGAAATGAAAAAAATTGATCAAGTCTTTTTTAAAATAAAAAAATTGAAATACCCCTATAGGGAACACTTGAGCTTTAGAGGCTTAGGGTTCAGGCTCTGAATCCCTATAGGGACCACTTGAATTTTACCCCTATAGGGGCCGTTTTTGAACTGCTTGTCGAAATTAAAGTTTTAGTTTGATAAAAATAAATTTAAAAAATCATTTTGCAGTGGAACCGCAACTGATGCTGACCTACGGACCGGCGGGCGCCATGCCCCCGCCTCAGATGGGTTACGGTGGACCGGCGGGTTACGGTGGCCCGGTGTACGGTCAGCCCCAGCAGCCCTACGGTGGCAACAGTTTCATGTAATCTCGAGTGCCATCTCCCCTCAAAAATTACTTGTTCTTCTCCCTCCCCAAATATGTTCTTCCTCACTTGATTGATGTTATCATCATCACTCTACCGTTTTTTTTTTCCTGTATCATTTATTTTGACTCGTTCCCGTTGGCGTCCACCCCCAAAATGTGATAGCAACAGCATAAAAAGAAGCAGTTTTTCAATCTTTTACTTGTTTTTTTCATTTCTCCGTGGTTAGTGATTGTAAGTTTTGGAAAAAGAAAATGTTATTTATAATTTATTGCGCCTTTAACCCCGTTGTAAGTTATTCTCCAATCCTAATGCATGTTCGAGACGTTTTATTTATTAATGAAAAAAATAAATAGTTTTATGCAAAAAACCTACTCGAAATCTGGGCCGTGTCGCGATCTCACCAAAAAGTACTTTTTGCTCGAAATTTTTCGGTTTTTTGATTTTTTTTTCCAAATGTTAGACTGATTAGTAGCCAAGGCAACTTGCAGCTGAATTCGATTAACATCTGCCCCTTTTTCGAACTTTTATTTATAATTAGTTTTTTCAGGATCTGATGTTTGTGCAGACTTGAAGTTTGCCCTGCATTTTGAGAAAAAAGGTGGGGCTTCGGATTTTGAAAGAAAGTTTTTTAGGATTTTTTCAGTGGTTTTCTAGTTTCTCAGTAGTTAGCGGCGCCAAAGTGGTCCCTTTAGGGGGCGCTCAAGCTTGCAAAAGTGGTCATTATAGGGGAACTTGCTAGTGGTTCCTATACGTCTTTTGAACCTTCAGATAATGAAAATAAGATTAAAAACCCCTATAGGGACCACTTAGACTTTAGCCCTCTAGGGAGCATTCTTTGGCCCCCTAATCCCTCCAGGGGCCACTCTGACCCTCCCCAGTAGCTCTAGAAATTTTTCCCTTATCAAACTGTCATTGATATGAGAAGGGTTGGTTGGAAAAGACACTTGGAACTTTATTTTCTTTTTTTCTCCAAGAAAATTATAGTTTATTATTTTTTGAAACCATGTTATTATGATGACTTTAGTGTTTCGAAGATAATTGGGTAGAATTTCATAGTTTTCCCCGAAAAATCCTGACATTTTCGTGTTTTCTTCAGTTTTTTGAGTCACAAAGCTTCTATAATTCCTATTTTTCAATCGAAGAAAAGGTATTTTTTTAAAATGTCAAAAAGAAAATATTGAGAAATCGTTATCTTTTTGCGTTTGTTTTGAACGATACGAAGTAGTGTTTTTCCATTGTTTTTTTGCGGTTATTATTTTTTTAATCGATATGACTAACATAGGATTTCGGTTTCGATGAAATTATTTATCAAATATCGTTTGGAATGATTCGATAATTGTGATATGCGCCGTTTAATCATTGTTTTTTTATTTTTGTTTTTAAATATTACGTTTTGACTTTTTTTCTCAGGAAATTTCAATACGTTTCATTTAAAAAAAGTTATGATATTTTATAAAAACATAGGAATCCTGGAAAAAGACGCTCACTTTTTTTATGATGACTAGTTTTTTTCAAGTTTTCAATTTTTTTGAAAGGGTTTTTTTGGGCTTTATAGAGGTTTTGAGCTACCGTTTTTCTTCATTATATGACAATTTTTTTCGAAGTCAAGTCTTTCAAAAAAATTTTTTTGCCATTATATACTTAAAAAAATTGAGTTTTTTTCTGAATTTTCCCATTTTCGCCAAAAAAATCCTATTTAAATCTTAATAAACACTTTTTTTCGCACTTAACATATTTTTTTATTTCTGGTGAAGCTTGAAAAAAATTTTTAACATGAAATTTATTGGAAAAAAACCGAAATATCCTATTTTTTTGGCCGCCAACGTTTGGTTTTTTTCGAAACTTGAAAAATTGACCAAAAAAACAAGAACTTGACGCATTTTGGACACTCAAAAAAATTTAGAACTAGAAAAAAACTTCAAAATTTTTCAAAAAAATGGCCACTTCGAAAAAAAGTGACCGAAATGATCGACTTTTTCCAGCTTGCCTAAAAAAATAAAAAAATAAATATTTTTTTATCGTTTGTTTTTTTGCCTTTTTGATTTCAAAACATCTTTCTTTGATGGAAATTAGCAATTCTTGTCTCATTAAGGTCTTTTTCCGCCGAAATTCCTTATTGTTTGGATTTTTTTGTAAAATCGATGTTCCTTCAAAAATCTTTTTTTCCGAACTTTTTGTGAAGTTTCCGGTGTCGAAAAATATAATAAATCCTTATTTATAAGCTTAATTTTTTTGTTACGTTGTTGAAAAAAAGAAGCATTTTTTTGTCAAAAACTAGTCACAAAAAAATGCGAAAAAAAGAAATTTTTTTATAATTGAAAATTGAAAATTCCGAGGTATTGTTAGGAAATTCTCATATCAGAAATGAAAAAGACGATGACTCATACTCTTGGTTTCCTTGCCCGCCCAGTATTTTTAGTACTGGTATGGGTTTTTGTTGTTGTAATGGATGCATTTTATTTTTTTATTTTTTTCTAAAAATTTGGTAAAATTCAATGTGTTTGGGTACAGCCAAATCAGAACTAGAGACGTTAGGAAAAATAAGAAAAAAAAAAAGATTTTTTATCAAAAAATTTTCCAATCTTTCGCAATCTTTTTGAAACCGAGTGTTTTTTTCCTAGATTCAATTTTTCAATTCAATTTGTTTATTTTTCGCAACGTCGGGATGGTATGGTGATGTTGCAGGGAGGGAAAAAGACCACTAGGTGGATTAACTAACCCCACCTGTGAAGGAAAAAGTTTTTTTGTGTAAGAAAAAGAAACATAGAACCATAATAAGTAGATATTTAAAACCAAGTTGATCATGGCACAAATCTGTGAACACTTGAAAGAATATGCTCGACGCCAACATCTTCTGCATACACTAAAAACATGTCCTTAAATTTTTTCTTGTCTTCCTCTGCCAATAATTCATGTTCAATGTCATTCCAAACATTAGTAATGCGATGTGATAAGAAATTGAAGAAAACCAGTGAAGGTTTCGTTTTTATTAATTTAAAACCATTTCCTCTGAGCTGACTGGGACGGTCAAAGATGTTATGTACCTGGATGGGAGAGTCTGACCAGCACTTATTATGCAAAAACTGATGTGATAATACCAGATCCTTAACTAAACGCCTAAACCAAAGAGGTTGAAGACCTAAAAGTTTTAACCGTTCATTATATTCCATTCTTGGGAAAAGGCGCTTAGTGAAACGCCTCTGGACCGATTCTAATCGATCAATATCTGACTTTGTCAATGGACACATTAGTTCCGAACCATACTCTAGAATGGGAAGTACCTTGGCCTTATAGCATGTCAAGAAGTTTTGGTTCGAGAAGCTAAAACAGCGGGATAGGTTGTTTATAATACGCATAGTTTTTTTGACGATTACTTCAATATTATTATGCATTTTGAGGTTAGATGAAAAAATAACTCCGAGATCTTTCACACAATCCTCGTTATTCACTGTTGTACCATTAAGCTCGTAACTCGCAACACTTCGAACTCGTTTCGATGCTGAGATTTCATCTTTTTTTCTTTTTTTTTTTCGAAAACCTGGAAAATTTTGCAGATTGAGATTTTCACAATAATAATTTGGTACATGAAGGAATGTCCTGACCAATTTTTAAAAATTTCCCAACCGTAAATGAAAATTTCCTCCTTGTAGGGTTCTCTTTAGGGATCCCTGAGAAAAAAAGTAGAAAAATTTTTTTAATCAATCTATACTGATTTTTTTTTAGTTCCACTCTTTCTTAAGTTTTTTTGAAGTCCAATTGGAAAAAAAGCTTGAAAAATAGGCGCGAAACGGAACGATTTCAGCGGCCCATTCGGTCACCGTACCGTCAGAAAAACGAAAAAAATTTTTTTGTCCATAACTTCCTCATGCTCATTTTTCCTAAAAATCAATGAATCTGCCTTTTTTTAAATGATGCCAAGATCTTAAAAATTACATTAATCACAACCAGGAATTTTCAGAAAGACCAAACTCCATACAAGAAAGTTTTGATCAAAAAAGCGTTCTTTACACATCTTCACTGTTTCAGTTGTTTTTTTCATATATTGTAATTATGATTGAATTTATTACCGAGACTATACGTTAGCTTATAGAAAAAAAGTCGTGTTTTTTTAAAAAAAGAAAAAAATATTATTTATTTTTTTACCCTATTTCGGACTATTTGATACAACAAAGTTATATTTGCATTGATTATCCTTTTTTATGAATTTCCAGAAAAAGAACGAAAACCGAAGAAAAAGTGGACGAATGGCCATTTTGCGGCAATTTCTGCTGCTTCTCTGGAAAGACTGGGTCCTGGTCCGACGGAACAAACTATGGACCTTTTTCGAAATCGTCATTCCGCTACTCATCACCCTTCCCATTGTCATTCTCGTCGTCAGGGTTAGTTTTGACGGATTTTTTTATTGGAAATGAAGAAAAATCTGTTTGAAAAAAAGATAATTTTCGGTTGCTACTCCAAGAGAAAGTTTTTCCGTCTTAGCCTTTTTTTAAATAGCTTCTCTGTTTTTTTAATTAATTTTTTTTAAAAAAATAATGTTGCTGAATTTCAACCGCTTCCTGTCCTTATAATACATCCCGATGTAGTTTTAAATCGAAATGAAGAAAAACTAAAAAAATGGAAGCTTCATTTTTTTCGAAAAAAAGCTTTATTTCTTTCCTCAATTGAAAGAAATATTCACAGATGTCTTTTTGAAAAAAAGATTTTTTTGAAATTTAACTTCTTTTTGAAACATTTTTTTGGATAATTAGTAGATTATAAGCTTTTTAGAAGCTTTTTAATTTTTATTTTAATGGAACATCGATGATCTTATCACCACTCGATAGCTGAGAAAAATTTGATATCTAATGACTTTCTTAATCTTTCATGAAATAATTCGGAAAAACACCTGATTTATTAATTAAATTTAAATGCTTTTTTTCACTTAAGTGAAACCTTGAAATAGTTCGTTTTATGGAAAAATTTGGAGGAAAGCTATGAAATTTATATTCAACTATTCAAAATTTCAATCAAAAAAATGTGTACAAAAAAATTTTTTTTTCAATTTTATTCAATTTTTTTGTTCATTTCCCATTGATATGAAAAAAAGGGCTTCCTTTGGAGAAATCGAGATTTTTTTCCGAAAAACATAAAAACTTTTTAAATTTAATTTTTAAGCTCAAAAATTTTCTCTAGAAGAAAAATTTTTTTGAAAAAAACGTAGCTTTTTGAATTTTTTTGAATCATTTTTGAAATAGGAAAAAAATTTTTAATTTCTTGTCGGTAGAATCGTGTTTTCTTAACGAAATAATCAAAAAATTTGTCGAAAATGTTTCAAATCTAATTCTTTCTCTCCAGAACGCGAATATAAACCTCGCTCCGGAAATCGAACACGAATCGTTCACGTTGCGAGGTGACGCCGAAGACGTGACGACGTCCTACGGCCACACGAAAACGATTATCAAAAGATGGTGCAACAGGAATGACGTCATTCTCGGATACACGTTTAAAGGATCAAAAAGAAGGAGAATCAGAAGAAGTTTCAGAACGGCCTCGGCAAGTTTCAACGACGAAGCGGCGATGATCATGAAGAGGCTTTCGGAGAGGTTCGCATCCGGAAGGGTCAATGTTCAAGTGGTAAGGATGTCGAAAGCTCAAAATAACTATTCGCCGCTATTTTTGAGAAAAAAAGTAAGAAAAAAAAAGAAAATTCAGAAAAAAAAAATCCATAATGAGGAATTTTTACAAAACCGTACAGCTCACCTTATCGCTAGTAGGACATTTCTACAAAAAGTCTCCTTTTTTGACAAAATCTCTATCTCTAATCGTTTCAAGACCTTTATTAATATTTTTGCCCAATGATCTATAGGTTAAAGAGTTTTTTTAAAGCCCGGAAAAAAATTTTAAAAAAATTGACACGTTAAGCTTAGAACAAAAATGTCCCCCCTTCCCACCCGATTTCTGAGAATTCAATTTAAAAAAAGACCTTTTTAAACTTCGAATTCGAAAATAACGGAAAACTTTTACGATCCCCCGGGCTACCTTCATACTCAATTTATTTAATTTTTGAAAAAAAAAACCGAATTTTCAATAGCTTTTTTCATCAGGAAATGTCCAAACGACCTCAAAAAGGCCTTAAAAGAAGAGTCTAAAGCTCCTTTTTGAGTTCCTAAAAGGTGTCAAAAGTCTCTTGGAATCTCCTTTTTTTTTCACATTTTTGCCTTCCCTTTTTACACCTCCTTGAAAGGTCCTTTTCAAAAGTAAGGCCTAAAAAAAGCGCCTTTGAGGCCTTTTTTCCGAAAGTCCTTCACGGGCAAATTCCAAAAGTTCTCAAAAAGGACGTTAGGAAAAAAGGCTTCAAAGGTGTCTTTTTTTTTGAATCTGTTTCTGAAAAGGACCTTTTAAGGAGGTGTAGAAAGGGAAGGCAAAACATGTGAAAGAAGAGACTTTTGACACCTTTTCAGCAATTCAAAAAGGAGCTTAAGGCTCTTTTTCAAAGGCTTTTTTGAGATCGTTTGGACTTTTCCTATGTTTTTTAGACCTTTTGGATTTTGCCTGTGTATAATATTAAACTGTTAAACGTTGAAATTTCTTCAAGATGCGCAGAAAATTGTGTATTGTATCCATTTCAGGACTTTAAAAACGACGAAGAAACGTTGAAGCAAACTTTGAAGGACGACGCGCCGAACGGAACTTATTGTGCTATCAACAAGTAAGAATAAAAACAGGAAAATTAACATTTGAAGGTATTCCAGGTACATTGGAGGTGTGGTTTTCGACAATTTGAACGTGGCGACTCGCGTTCTGGAATATCGAATTCTGATGCCGACGGCGGTCGAAGAGCAATGGCACATGGACGAATCTTGGAACAAGGGACGATCTTCGAGCTACTCCAAGTGGGATTATTTATCGATTGAAATGAAATTGAAGTTGGGAGGAAAATTGATCTCGAGTTTGAAGAGTTACATCAGGGAGATATTAAAAAAAAGATTCAAAATTTTTTTGAAACTCGAAATTTTCTCACATATGCAAAGTCGAAAAGGGTGAAAAGGCTCCATAGAAATGTGACTTTTAGGATGATGAAGGTTCCATTTTTGCTGCCTTTTTGCGCCATTTCTCGAGCCTTTAAAATTCCAGAAAAATGGAAGTCTTGATAAAGGGACTCTTTTTGCTACTTTTCTGCGACCTTTTTGCTGCCTTTTTTAAGCCTCTCCCCTTTAGCGACCATCATCCACCATCCCGACTTTGCCCGAGCGAAAACTCTTCGAAAAGCTTGATAAAGATTCCGAAGGCTTTTGATTTTGTGGATTTTTTGAAATCAGCAAAATTAGGACGGGCTTTTATTTTTGGTTTTTTTTTACAGTTGAAAAAAGCTAGTTTATGGGATACATTTTCCAAAATTTGCTTCCAACAAAATGTTGACCTGAAATCATCATTTTGCGACTTTGAAAGTTCTTCAAAAATAAGAAGCAAATTTGAAAAATTATTAAAACCAGAAAAATAGGAAAGTTTTTTTGAAGAAACCAATATGTAGGATTTTTCACCTTAGCTTTTTAAAAAATTGTTCCGAGCGAATCTTCAGGAATTTCCTCACTGCACATTCTTAAAGGGGTTGAAAAAAATGAATTAATTCAAATAATTTCATCGAAATCTGACGTTAAAGAATAAGAATTATTTTTTTAAGGTCTTATGAACTAACCAAAATCTGAAGAATCGAAAAATAAGATTTTTCAAAAGACGCAAAAAGAAACTGAAAGCTCTGCTTGATGAATTTCAATAAATGGAAAGAAAATCATAGGTTTTTTCGAACTTGAAATATTGAGTTCATTTTATTTAGATCCCGGATACCAGCTGAACCGCCGTATTGGTCTTCCGGATTCCTCACGATCCAATATGCCATCGAATCTTCTTTTGTTGAGGTTTGCGCATTTTTTTTATTCTTAAAGAACAAAAATTTTGGTTTTTCAATTGAATTATTTTCTCTTCATAAACACTAGTATATCACTTTTCATGAGTTTCCGGTTTCAAAAATGAGGTTTTGAGGTTTTTATAGTCTTAACCAAGTTTTAATCCCAGCCGTCGTTTTAAAAAAAAAACCGATTTTAAGTTTTGAATTTCATTTGGGAACGCCAGACGCTTAGAACCTATTTAACCCCTATAGGGGCACTAAAGCTTGCAGAAGTGACCACTCTAGGGAGACATTCCAGTGACCCCTAGAGAGTCTTGTACGTCTTTTTAACTTTCAAGTCAGAAAAAAAAAATTTAAAAGGCCACTATAAGGGTCACTTTAGTTTTATGAGGCCTAAAAACCCTGTAGGGACCACCAAATTTTCACCCCTCTATTACTTGGGAACTCCAGAGTGGTCCCTATAGGGGCCCTTGGAGGATCCCCTGTACGGATCACTTTACCAAACTTATAGGGGTCAATGAGGCTTGCAAAAATTGTCCCTCTAGGGATTTTATTTACTGGCCCTTGTAGGGGGCGTGCTAGTCCGAAAACTGAATAAATTAGCGTTATTTGAAAAAAATTGAAAGACCCCTATAGGGACCACTTAAGCTTTATGGGTTAAGGGATCAGATCCTAAATCCCTATAGGGGCCACCTTGATTTTACCCTTTAGGGAGCACTTTTTCGCCTCCTATAAGAGCTTTTTCTTCCTAACCCCTCTGGGGACCACTCTGGCACCCCAAAGCAAAAATAACTATTCCCAAACAAAGCTCTCAAATATTGAACTTTAACTCGAAAAAAGTTCAAAAATATGGAAGTATGACCACATATTGAAAAATATTGAATAAGCATCGGGAAGAATTTTTTTTTGAAGTTTAAATGAAATCAAAAATGATAATTCTCTTCTTTCCAGCGAGTCACAAACGAAGAAATGATCGACACGCCGTTGAACCTGCAAGCCTTCACCGAGCCGAAATTCAGCATCAATTCGGTCGCCGAATTTATTGATCTCCTGCCGATTTTGTGGGGAATTTGCGTTTTCACCACGGTTCTTCATGTGGGAAGAGAAATCGCCGCCGAAAAAGCTGGCGTCAAGGTGAACAATTGGGATTTTGACATGAGGAGAACTCATTTTTTAATCACAGATTACCCTTAACCGTTTCAAAAATTATTTCAAATCGTATATTCAACAAAACTTCTTTGAAAAAGAAGACTCAGAGACTTTTTTTAGTGACATTTGTTGAAAACGGCGCTTTCATAGTGAAAAAAACGATGGTTTATGTGAGAGTAAATAATTTTATTATACTTCTTTAATAGAATTTATTGCTAGAAAAATTAAAGTCATAAAAATCTATTTATCAAGACTCTAAAAACTCGGCCAGTTTTTTTAAAAAATCTTTTTTTGGTTTAGAAGCTTTGACATGAAAACTTGGAATTTAGGCAAATTTAAAATGTCAAAAAAGAAAATTTTGTGGTTTTCGGTTGATTTTCAGTTCTAAGCTTTTTTTTATTTGAGCTTTTTGTTTAGGAAGCAGGTTCATGAGAAAAAAAGAAAAAAATTAATCAAACATTTGAAAAATGAAGGAAAAAAATACGATTTTTTTAAAAAATTAAAAAAAAGTGGAATATATTTTTAGCCTTTCTTGTCCGCCATGGGCCTTTCCACACCGATGTTCTACCTGACCCACGTCATTTTTGCCTTCGCCAAGTGTTTGATCATTTTCCTGGCGTGTGCTATTCCGATCACCACTGTCATGAAGGTTTCTAGAGAAGCCGGTACCCAAAAATATGAATTTTTCCAGTTCGTCTCCCCATCTTTGTTCCTGGCTGTAGTATTTCTCTACGGCCTCGGAGCCGTCACTTTTGGAGCTTTGATCGCTTCAATTTTCAAAACATCCAACTCGGCTCTGAAAGGTTTGAAGTTGAAAAATCTGACGGAAAATTGTGAAAAATATTGGTTCGAGTGAAGATTTATGTTTCCAGTAGTTTTTACTTTGAAGAAAAAATGCGTAGCTTCTTTCCTAAGTACTGGGGAAATTGTTAGTGGCCACTATAGGGTTTTGACGTTTTAGTGGCCACTATAGTGGTAAAATTAGCGCCCATTCAAGCGGTTAAAAATTAGTGGCCACTATAGAGGTCTAAGTGCTACTACCAGACCACTGAAAACTCTAGTGGCCACTTTAGGGGTCAATGGATCAACATAACTGGTCCAATCTGTTTGTTTAAAAGTTACCAGAGTTACTGGAAGGAATACTGGATGAAAAACTACTGAAGGGGCCACTAAGACGCAAAATAGTGGCCACTTTAGTGTCCTCTCGAAGTAGTTCTTGAAGATTCTCTCAAGTGGCCACTTGAGTTTTTCCCAGTAAAAAAGTCTGAATTGACTAGGAATTCATTCAACTCGGGATTTTCTCCAAATAGCCTATTTGAACTATTTTTGAGGGTTCTCTTCGAATTTTAGGTGACCTTCTCGGAAACTATAAAGTTTTGAAGGTTGAGACTTTCAGAATCTTCATCTGGGGCCTCAAGAAATGATGGTTTTTCAAAAATTCCCAGCCGCAAAGAAAAATGACCACCCTTGTCATTTTCAGCTCTGATCATTCTGTGGTGTGCCTCGATTGGATTGGCGTTCAAGTTGCAGCCCAAGATTGACCAAATCTTTGCCTGTTTCGCCTATTCCCTCAATGTGAATGGAGCCTTTTTCATGGCCGCCGCAACCATCAAGGATCACATGAATCGTGGTAAATTGAAACTTCCATGGTGCGAAAAAAATAAAATCACGAAAAGTCCGCAAAGTCGCGTGCGGGGTGAGAGCGTGTCTGCAGACTTTTTGAGGAAAACTCGATGGCGAATAATAGATTTTTTTTTTCGTTTTTTGTTGTTTTCAGAGCTTTTGATCTTATTTTGCGGGTTTTTTTATTTTAAATTTTTGTTTTAGATATATAATGTGATTTTAAAAAAATGAAAATATCGATTTATTGACAGTAGACCAATAAAAAAATAGGAATTCACGAAATTTAGAAAAATTTCCATACAGGATTACCAATAGACAAAAAAATTTATGGTTTTTTTAGGATTTTGTAAGTTTTCTGAATGGGATTTTCAAAAAGACTTTTTGGGGAGAAAAATTAATCTCTTCACGAAATTAGTATGGATTAGAGACAGAAAAAAACACAAAAAAAAAATACAAAAAACACAGAAAAACAAAAAAAATTTCTAAATGAATCAGAAAACAACTTTTTCAATCCATAACAAAAAAAGAACAAATAGGAAAAAAATCAAGAAATGTTTTTTTACGGGAAGCCAATTTCGTAATCTATTTTTTTCGTATCATCAAAATCCAGAATTTCCCATCGAAATGTTCGATTTTTTTCAAGAAAAAAACCTCTGACGTGGGGGAACTTGTTCGAAGGGTCGACCCTGCAGTTTTCCCTCGGCTACGCCATCCTCATGCTCCTTTTCAACATTCTCTGGATGGCCGCCCTGACGTTGCTCCTCGATTTCATCCTTTCTCCCTTGGATTTCGACATCCGCAGCTTTTTCCGGAAGAAGGAGACTGATGTTTAAGAAATCATTAGTTTTGCTAGAATTTTTTTATGATTTTTTTAGGAAATGACTCATACGGATGGAGTCACGGCGTCCAACACGAGGGCCAATGAGAATGTGAGTTTTCGAATTTTTTTGGTTAAAAAAACTCTTGGGGGAATTCTAGAAAGAGGAACAAGCAAGTGATTTTTTTGAGGGGTTTTTCAAGTTTTTTTAGCAATTTTAGGCCAAAAAAAGGGTCATAACCGTAAAAAAAGAGGTTTTTTTGATAAGTCCGGACACCTTCAAAAAAAGAAAAAAATCGCCTTCGGGATTTAAATTTTATAAATTTTGCTGTCCCCTTTTTTTCTTATTTCTCTACAGATTGTTGGCCAATAAAAAAATTTTTTTGAGCAATTTTTTTGAGTTTTTTTCAAAAAATTTTTTTCGGCTTTCCTGTCAGGAAGATGCATGAAGAAATTGATTTTTTTGAAGATTATTTTTTTGTGCGATTTTTTTGGCCAAAAAAATATCATAATTATGAATAATTATGGTCGGAAATTGAAATTATCATGGGGGAGGGGTCAAGTTGCAAACAAAGAAAAAGGGGTATTTAAGGGTTTTCTCCTGGATTTTTTTAGTTCCTTAAGTTTTTTTCAACATTTTTTTGCAGATTATTGGCCAATAAAAAAATGGTAGCAAATTTTTTTCTAAGATTAGAAAAAAATATTTTTGAGGTTTTCCTGTAAGAAAAAAATCAAGATTTTAAACGAAAAAACTAATTTAGGACAAAAAAGGATGGTCGGAAATTGATTTTTTTTTTGGTGAATTTTCAAATTTTTTTTTTCAACTATTCAAAAAGTTTGAAAGCCACGTTTTTTTCTAGATTTTCAATTTTCCATCACCATACATTTCCATATTCTTGAATTATGCTTAAAAAGTGATTGATTTTTCAAAAAAAAGATCAAAAATTTTAATATGATCGAAAATTTTAATATGATCGAAAAAAAAATTGTCATTTCATAACTTTCAAGCTTACAATCCTCTTTGATACACGTTTCAAAGGACTTATAGAAGAGAAAATAAACTCGAAAATCTGATCTAAACAAAACCCATATGTTGAGTTACACAGTAATTTATTATGGGAAAAAAATTAATAAACGAGGTCAAAAAGGGAATTAGCATACTTGGAACAAAAAATCAAGTTGCTAAAAAAATTCGTTATTTTTGGATGTAGATTGATCAAATTTTGAACGTCAAGTTGTCGCTTAAACTCCGCCCCTAGCGACGCGATAAACCAATCAGAGCGCGAGCCATCCAGAGAGCGTTTTTCAATGATGCAGGGGTCCTTAACTGAAAACCCTATAAAAGAGGTAAAGTAGTCCCTAGAGGGAAATCTTCGAAGGCTTTTGCCCCTACAGTGACCACTAAGGAGTTCCCAAGTTGTACTTGACATTCAAAATTTGAACCGGCTATATATACAGTACCGCTCAAAAGTCTATTAAGTTTTGGTTTTTTGAGCATATCTCAGCGAGTACTTATCTGATTTATATATAACTTTCAGGGATTATGTAAAATACACTTTGAAACATATACGGTATACAAAGACATGTCCGCAATCACTGTGACGCGTTTTAGGCATTTTTTTATTGATTTCAATTTTTGTTTTTTTATGCTTTCATTTTTTTATTTATTTTTTTATTAAATTTTTTTAAAAAGTAATATTGTTGCCATATGTTTTTTTTCATGTTTTCAGACATGAGAAGAACCTCTCGAAAAAAGAATTTGACTGATAACGACAAAAGAGCCATCGTTAGGAGTCGTCAACTGACCATGATGACGTTGGCAGGAATGTTCGGCGTGACAGAGGCGTGCATTTCTCAGTTCCTAAAGCGTTGGAAAGCTCAAGATGGCTCTACTAAGAGCCAACGCACTGGAAAACAACGTGTCAGTGATCGTAATGGCGATAGAAACATTTTGAAGACGTCCAGAACCGATCCAAGACTCACCGCCCCTGCGATCAGGCAGGAAGTTTTCTTGAACTCGCCATCTCCGCCATCCGTCTCGACCGTGAAACGACGTCTGAATGCTGCTGGAATCATGGGAAGACGTCCAGTGAAGAAACCGCTGATTTCTGAAAAGAATCGAGCCTCCAGGGTGAAGTGGGCGAAGGAGCATCTCAACTGGACCCGTCAAGGCTGGAACAAGATTCTGTGGTCCGACGAAAACAAGTTCCTCCTCTTCGGGAGTGACGGAATTCAGTGGGTTTGTAGACCAATTGGGTCCAGATATCATCCGAAATACCAATTACCCCCTGTGAAACTTGGTGGAGGACCGTTTCGTCGGACCACAGAATCTTGTTCCAGTCTTGACGGGTCCAGTTGAGATGCTCCTTCGCCCACTTCACCCTGGCGGCTCGATTCTTTTCAGAAATCAGCGGTTTCTTCACTGGACGTCTTCCCATGATTCCAGCAGCATTCAGACGTCGTTTCACGGTCGAGACGGATGGCGGAGTTGGCGAATTCAAGAAAACTTCCCGTCTGATCGCAAGGGCGGTGAGTCTTGGATTGGTTCTAGACGTCTTCAAAATGTTTCTATCGTCATTAAGATCCGTGACACGTGATCTTCCAGTGCGTTGGCTCTTAGTAGAGCCATCTTGAGCTTTCTGACGCTTTAGGAACTGAGAAATGCACGCCTCTGTCACGCCGAACATTCCTGCCAACGTCATCATGGTCAGTCCATTTTGACGACCCACAACGATGGCTCTTTTGTAGTTATCAGTCAAATCCTTTTTTCCAGAGGTTCTTCCCATGTCTGAAAAACATGAAAAACATATGGCAACATTATTAATTTTAAAAAAATTTAATAAAAAAATAAATAAAAAAATAAAAGCATAAAAAAACAAAAAAATTGAATTCAATAAAAAAATGCCTAAAACGCGACACAGTGATTGCGGACGTGTCTTTGTATACCGTATATGTTACAAAGTATATTTTACATTATCCCTGAAAGTTATATATAAATCGGATAAGTACTCGCTGAGATATGCTCAAAAAACCAAAACTTAATAGACTTTTGAGCGGTACTGTAGATAGGCTAGAGGAGGTTAAAATAAACAGTTTTATGAGATTTCTAGAAACTTCTGAGCTTCACCAGCTTGACAAGCATATTGATTCCGAAATTCCGGAAAAAAGGGTTTGAAAATCGAATTCCTGTCTTTATGACTTCTAGATGATGCCAACGACATCACAAACACTCCCACTCCCCAGTTCGGATGCCGATTACCTCCTCGAAGGGTCCACTCAAGTGGACGGCGCCAGAGACTCGGCGGTGGCTGGTATTGATGTCAGCCGACTTGTCAAGGTTTCCGCGAAAAAGTATCCTTGGAAAGAGAGATTTCAATCTGAAGATCTGGTCCTCAACTGGAGAACGAGCGGTTGACGGACTCTCCTTGAGAGCCGTCCGAGGCCAAGTTGCCGTTCTGTTGGGTCATAACGGAGCCGGTAAAAGTACAACGTTCGCCAGCATCGCCGGAATCATCAAGCCGACAAGCGGTGAATATTTTTGGATTTTAAAATAGGTATTTGGGATTTTGTAGAGCTTTTCATTGCGCTTCAAATGGTGTACTTGAAATTTTACAGAAGTTCTCAGTTCTCGAGAAAAATTGATAGAAAAGGGAGCGAAAAAATTTTGAATTTTCGCGCAAAATGCATCTTGCAGCAAAGTTGCTCTATGGATAAAGATCAGTAAAATATCAAAACTTGATGAAAAACTACTTTTTGGAGCTGTTTTTCGCTTTTCGAACGGTCTATTCGAAATTTCAGAGAAAAAGTTGCTCTATGGATAAAATTTATCTCAATTTTTTTTTCTGATGCCGTGTTCAAAGTAATTTCCGCGAAATGCAAATTGGTCTCTGACCCTCCAAAATTTAGTTATCTTTCTCTTTCTCTGACGGCTATTTTGAATTTCGCGGAATCACTTTGAACACGGCATAAACCTCGGTTACGCGAACTAGACGCACTCCGGGCTTTTCCGGGCATGTCCAGGGATCAATTGAAAATGCTGACGCCACTAAAGAGATCACTAGAAATGCTTAAAAAAGTTTACGGCGCGCAAAATGCGCTTTGCAGTAAAGTTGCTCTGTGGATAAAATTCACTTTCATTTTTCAAAATTTGCACTCAATTTTTTCCTATTTCCACGGTCATTGAAGTTTCCGAATAAGAAAGAGAGAAGGAATATCGGAAATATTTAGCCTTGGCAAAAATTAAGATTCCCTGATACTTTTTTGTCATAGCGCGAGTTCAAATTTTCAGAAAACAAAGCTTTTGAAAACAAAAAATTCACGTTTTACTAACGGTTCTGCTTTCAAATTGCATATTATAAGGTCTGAAACTTCAGGAAGCATCTCGATCTGCGGTCACGACGTCGCGTCGGAACTCGGCGAGTGTCGAAAAAAATTGGCCTTTGTCCGCAGTACAATCCGCTATACGATAAACTGACCGTCGAGGAACACTTGTGGCTCATTTATGGACTCAAAGGCGCCCAGATGGAGTTGTTCAAAGACGAGGAGGACGAGCTCCTGGAGCATCTCAAGCTGGATGACAAGAGGAATGAGGTACGAGGGTTGATAAACAGGATTTTTTAAGGAAACGTGTCAAAATAAATCGAGTTTAAACATTTTTTTTTTTCTCTCGAGAAGACAGGGACTTGGTTGATTGGAGTCTGAAGAATGAATTAAATAGTTTTATCATGACTTCAGTTTGGAACGTTCAGGGAAACCTTATATTTTTTTATTCCATGTGTAATCACTTTCAAGGAGCCAAAAACATCGTCTTTAAAGTTCAAGCTCTTCATTTGAACTATCAGAAGCTTCTGAGACTTTTTTTGCCAGCTTTCGATGAACCTTTCCGGCGGAATGAAACGGAAACTGTGCGTTTGCATGGCGTTGATCGGACAAAGCGAAGTCGTTCTTCTGGACGAACCGACGGCGGGAATGGATCCCGGCGCCAGGAAAGATGTGCAGGCGATTTTGGAGAAGGAGAAGGCTCAGAGGTACTGGAAAAAAAATGTTCTTGAAATTACTCCGTTGTGTGCCTTTTATTAAGCCTTCTTACTTCTCTAGAAATTTTTTGAGCTCGAAAAATAGGTAAAAACATGAAAAGAAACGAAAATTAATTGAAATGGGTTCACAAAAAGACGGAAAAAGGTCGCTAAAGGGTTTTTTTTGCGCATTTTAACAAGATTTGCAAGTTCTTTTCAAATTTTCAAGCTCTACCAAGTAGAGTTCTCAAAACCGAACGTTCAAAAAATGACCGTTTAAAAAAAATGAACTTTTTCATTTTTCGATAGTTTACGGATATATCATTTTCAAACGTTCAACCAAAAGTTCGAAAATTGTTTTCTTATAATAATGAACGTTTGCTTTTCACATAAAAAAATGAACGTTCATTTCTTGATCGAACTTTTTACGAACGGAAAATAAACGTTCATTTTTTGAACGAACTTTTTGAAAATGAAAAATGAACGTTCATTTTTTGAGCAAACTTTTTACGAACGGAAAATAAACGTTCATTTTTTTGAACGAACTTTTTGAAAATGAAAAAAATGAACGTTCATTTTTTTCGGACGAACTTTTTACGAACGGAAAAATAAACGTTCATTTTTTTGAACGAACTTTTTCAAAATGAAAAAAATGAACGTTCATTTTCTTGATCGAACTTTTTACGAACGGAAAAATAAACGTTCATTTTTTGAACGAACTTTTTACGAACGGAAAAATGAAACGTTCATTTTTTTGAACGAAACTTTTTTCAAAATGAAAAAAATGAACGTTCATTTCTTGATCGAACTTTTTACGAACGGAAAAATAAACGTTCATTTTTTTGAACAAACTTTTTGAAAAATGAAAAAAATGAACGTTCATTTTTTTGAACAAACTTTTTTTGAAAATGAAAAATGAACGTTCATTTTTTTGAGCAAACTTTTTACGAACGGAAAAATGAACGTTCATTTTTGAACGAACTTTTTACGAACGGAAAAATAAACGTTCATTTTTTTGAACAAACTTTTTGAGAAATGAAAAATGAACGTTCATTTTCTTTGATCGAACTTTTTACGAACGGAAAATGAAACGTTCATTTTTTTGAACAAACTTTTTGAAAATGAAAAAATGAACGTTCATTTTCTTTGATCGAACTTTTTACGAACGGAAAAATGAACGTTCATTTTTTTGAACGAACTTTTTGAAAATGAAAAAAATGAACGTTCATTTCTTGATCGAACTTTTTTTACGAACGGAAAATGAACGTTCATTTTTGAACGAACTTTTTGAAAATGAAAAATGAAACGTTCATTTTTGAACGAACTTTTTACGAACGGAAAAATAAACGTTCATTTTTTTGAACAAACTTTTTGAAAAATGAAAAATGAACGTTCATTTTCTTTGATCGAACTTTTTACGAACGGAAAATGAACGTTCATTTTTTGAACGAACTTTTTGAAAATGAAAAATGAACGTTCATTTTTTGAGCAAACTTTTTACGAACGGAAAATGAACGTTCATTTTTTGAACGAACTTTTTGAAAATGAAAAATGAACGTTCATTTCTTGATCGAACTTTTTACGAACGGAAAATGAACGTTCATTTTTTGAACGAACTTTTTGAAAATGAAAAATGAACGTTCATTTCTTGATCGAACTTTTTACGAACGGAAAATGAACGTTCATTTTTTGAACGAACTTTTTGAAAATGAAAAATGAACGTTCATTTCTTGATCGAACTTTTTACGAACGGAAAAATAAACGTTCATTTTTGAACGAACTTTTTGAAAATGAAAAAAATGAACGTTCATTTTTTGATCGAACTTTTTTGAACGGAAAAATGAACGTTCATTTTTCGAACGAACTTTTTTACGAACGGAAAAATGAAACGTTCATTTTTGAACGAACTTTTTACGAACGGAAAAATAAACGTTCATTTTTGAACGAAACTTTTTGAAAATGAAAAATGAACGTTCATTTCTTTTGAACGAACTTTTTACGAACGGAAAATGAACGTTCATTTTTTTGAACGAACTTTTTGAAAATGAAAAAAATGAACGTTCATTTTTTTGAACGAAACTTTTTACGAACGGAAAAATGAACGTTCATTTTTTGAACGAACTTTTTGAAAATGAAAAATGAACGTTCATTTCTTGATCGAACTTTTTACGAACGGAAAATGAACGTTCATTTTTTGAACGAACTTTTTGAAAATGAAAAAATGAACGTTCATTTTCTTTGATCGAACTTTTTACGAACGGAAAAATGAACGTTCATTTTTTTGAACGAACTTTTTGAAAATGAAAAAAATGAACGTTCATTTTCTTTGATCGAACTTTTTACGAACGGAAAAATGAACGTTCATTTTTGAACGAACTTTTTGAAAATGAAAAATGAACGTTCATTTTTTGACGAACTTTTTACGAACGGAAAATAAACGTTCATTTTTTGAACAAACTTTTTGAAAATGAAAAATGAACGTTCATTTCTTGATCGAACTTTTTACGAACGGAAAATGAACGTTCATTTTTTGAACGAACTTTTTGAAAATGAAAAATGAACGTTCATTTTTTGAGCAAACTTTTTACGAACGGAAAATGAACGTTCATTTTTTGAACGAACTTTTTGAAAATGAAAAATGAACGTTCATTTTTCGGACGAACTTTTTACGAACGGAAAATAAACGTTCATTTTTTGAACAAACTTTTTCAAAATGAAAAATGAACGTTCATTTCTTGATCAAACTTTTTACGAACGGAAAAATAAACGTTCATTTTTTTGAACAAACTTTTTGAAAATGAAAAATGAACGTTCATTTTTTTGAACAAACTTTTTTGAAAAATGAAAAATGAACGTTCATTTTTTTGAGCAAACTTTTTTTACGAACGGAAAATGAACGTTCATTTTTGAACGAACTTTTTACGAACGGAAAAATAAACGTTCATTTTTTTGAACGAACTTTTTACGAACGGAAAAATGAACGTTCATTTTTGAACGAACTTTTTGAAAAATGAAAAAAATGAACGTTCATTTTTTTCGACGAACTTTTTACGAACGGAAAAATAAACGTTCATTTTTTTGAACGAACTTTTTACGAACGGAAAAATAAACGTTCATTTTTGAACGAACTTTTTCAAAAATGAAAAAATGAACGTTCATTTCTTGATCGAACTTTTTACGAACGGAAAAATAAACGTTCATTTTTTTGAACAAACTTTTGAAAAATGAAAAATAAACGTTCATTTTTGAACAAACTTTTTGAAAATGAAAAATGAACGTTCATTTTTGAACAAACTTTTTGAAAAATGAAAAATGAACGTTCATTTTTTTGAGCAAACTTTTTACGAACGGAAAAATGAACGTTCATTTTTTTGAACGAACTTTTTACGAACGGAAAAATAAACGTTCATTTCTTTGATCGAACTTTTTACGAACGGAAAATGAACGTTCATTTTTTTGAACGAACTTTTTGAAAAATGAAAAATGAACGTTCATTTTTCGGACGAACTTTTTACGAACGGAAAAATAAACGTTCATTTTTGAACGAACTTTTTACGAACGGAAAAATAAACGTTCATTTTTTTGAACGAACTTTTTTTCAAAATGAAAAAAATGAACGTTCATTTCTTGATCGAACTTTTTTTACGAACGGAAAATAAACGTTCATTTTTTTGAACAAACTTTTTGAAAAATGAAAAATGAACGTTCATTTTTGAACAAACTTTTTGAAAATGAAAAAAATGAACGTTCATTTTTTTGAGCAAACTTTTTACGAACGGAAAAATAAACGTTCATTTTTTTGAACGAACTTTTTTACGAACGGAAAAATAAACGTTCATTTTTTTGAACAAACTTTTTGAAAATGAAAAAAATGAACGTTCATTTTTTTGAGCAAACTTTTTACGAACGGAAAATAAACGTTCATTTTTTGAACGAACTTTTTGAAAATGAAAAATGAACGTTCATTTTTCGGACGAACTTTTTACGAACGGAAAATAAACGTTCATTTTTTGAACGAACTTTTTCAAAATGAAAAATGAACGTTCATTTTGGTTGAACGTTCAAAAGCGAACTTTAATAAAATGACCTTTTGAACGAAACGTTCAATTCAAACTTTAACCAAAAGTTTGGTTTCAACATTTGTTCGAAAAATGTTTGGTCGAACGTTCGTTCGAACGTTTGGTTTTGAGAACTCTACTACGAAGGGTGAAAAAACGAAAGGCTGGAAAAAAAAATACGTTTTCCACTTTTTTCCGGAAATTTTTAAGGGGACCCTACAAGGGAGGTCATTTTTCTTTGCGGTCGGGAATTTCCTGAAAATTGGTCAGAACACTTCTTGAGACATCAGAACATGATAAGTCTCAAGCCCGAAAATGTCCCATTATAACGGTTTTCTAGGGTTTTCTGGAGTTTGAGGAACCTGTTTTTGAAAAATAGCAAGTTGAGCTGGTTAGGTCTTGCAAGAGGGCATCAAGGAACGCTCTGGCTATTTTTTAAAAAATTTCCAACCCAAAAGTAAAAAGACCCCCCTTGTTCGACGAAAACTTTGATAGAATAGAAAATTCTTCAGAACGATCCTGCTGACGACCCACTACATGGATGAAGCTGAAAGATTAGGAGATTGGGTCCTGATAATGTCCTACGGACGGCTGGTCGCCTCCGGCAGCAATCAGTACTTGAAACATCGGTTTTTGAACCGGAAAATAATTGTGAATTTACAAAAAAGTCTAGATTTGGTACTGGATACCTGCTCACCGTGGTTTTCGATCATAAAAGCGACAAGAAGGTCATGGGGATCATCCTCGAACAGATCTGTCAAGCCTACGTCGAGGAAGCGAAGAAGGTATAGTTCCTGAGGAGTTTAAAGGCGCGGAGAGGAGTTTGGGAGAAACATTTTGGCGCGAAAATTTGAAATGACGTCGTTTTTGATTTTTTCCCAGTATGATTCAAGCCAAACCTTTAGAAGCCATGTAAAGTGTAAAATAAGGTCTCGTAACGTAATGCGAATTAGTAAGGTTTTTTGAAAAATTTAAAGGCGCAGGAAGGAGTTTGAGTGAAAATTTTTGTCGCGAAAATCAGAAATGACGTCGTCTTTGAAATTTCGTAGTAAGTTTTGAGCGGACTTGGTGTTGATTCAAGCCGAACCATGCAAATTACTTGAAAAAGTGGTCTCGAAACGAAAAGCGAGATAGCAAGGAAAAATGAGAGTTATATGGAAGCTCGAGCTTTTGTGTTGTAGCGACTATATTTTAGTGAATAAATTGATAAATTTTTGCAAAAGAAAAAACTCCTTTTTTGTTTTTGTTTTTTTTGCACACTGTCTCGCCCTTTCGTTTCAGGACCTTTTTTCCAGAAACGAGAGTCCTTTAATTGTTTCTAAAGAGATCTGTTAAGGGATTTATTGCAGGGAGAACAACACGGACAGCAAATTGAGATGATCCTACCCGAAAAGAGCAAAACGCAAGTTTTTGGAAAAAAATAAAAAAAGAAAATCAGATTTTTTTCCAGTCAGTTTGTGTCGCTTTTCCGAGCCTTGGAAGCTGTTCAACAACAAGAGTTTGAAAAAAACTAAAAAAAAGAAAAAAATAATTTTTCAGTTATAACTCTCGGAATTTGGCTCGGGTCTCAACGGATACACTGACTGAAATTCGGAAACATAATTTCAATATTACGAATTTTGGGCTGTCGCTGAACACTTTGGAACAGGTTCGTTGAAGTTTTCGATCTTCGGATTTCTACAGTGGCCCCTAGAGGGGTTCAGGGAAGTACTATCCCCAGGGACAAAAATGCTCCCTTTAGGAGGTTCTTATAAAGCTTAGGGTCTGATTCCTAAGCTATTAAAGCTGAAGTGGTCTCTACAGGGATAAGAATCTAAAAGGTCGATAATATTCTTCTTCTTCTTCTTTTCTTTTTCTTCGTCTTCTTCTTCTTCTTACGCCTTTGTACCGCTTGAGCGGCCCCAAGTCGATGAGCCGAGGACCTATCCTGATGATGATCAGTGATAATCAGTGGACTGGCTCCAGTGACATATCTGTCCTGTGTGGAACGGTTAGGAGATTTCGAAGTCGTGGTTTCCCACTACCAAAATTTCTCAAACCCCCTTGGTTGGGTCGGGGCGGGGATCGAACTTGTGACCCTGTGGACCGTAGACAGCCACACAACCTGTTGCGCTACGGCGCGCCCCTAAAAATCAATAAAACTTGATCGATTGATCCTCTTTTGACATTTTACATGCAAAAAAGCCAATACATTCAGTTTCTTGCTCTAAAATGTTTCATATCATTGTCTCATAACAATAAGAAACTGGCATACAGTCACGACTTGAAATTTCACCGAACGACATTCCGCTGTTCCGCTGCGTGCGTTCGCGAAGCGTCTTTCGAATCTAGGTCACACTTTCAATTGATTGTTATTTCTATGGGAGCACAGGAAAGTAGGTACCTTAATAAAGGAAAAAAACATTAAGAGCGCGAACAAGGCGCGCAGCGGAACAGCGGAATGTCGTTCCATGAAATTCCAAGTCGTGGTACATAGGCTATACTCCCCTATACAAGTCGCCCGTACTTTATAGCATGTCCAAAAAAATAATTGATCAATAAATCATATTTCTGGAAAAATTTGAAATCTTATTGAAACATTACTGTGTGGTTATCCAGGTTTTCCTGCGAGTTGGGGATTTGGCCGAAGAAAAGGAGCGAATGAGCCGACAGGCTAGTTATGTCAGCAGATCCCATTCTGGTGTCAGTTCTCTTCAAGTCAAGGTACCATTTAATCAAATTTTAGAAAAAACAATACTTTTTTCAGACAAATTACGACACTCAGCAAAGCACGAAAAGCGAAGACAGCTATAATCTTCTCATCGAAAGTCAAATGGGTGGGTTTTGGGAAGCTTAAAAAATTCAGAAACGGAGATTTTTGGTTTCCTGCGCAAAAAATGTGTGAGAGCTCATAAAATGAAGAAAATCAAGTTCGCTCCATTGAGAATCGCTCAAGACTAGCTTGGGACCAGGCTGGGCGGTCCGGCCCGGGCTTTGGGTTTTTGAGAAGGAGCCTGCGCGGGCTCGGGCCAGGCCCATTTCCAAAAAAAAGCGTGATTTTTGTCGCAAAAAGGCTTGATACTCGACTTGGAAAAAATTGAGCTTTTTGTACCAATCCGGCCTTTTTCGGGCCTCCCTGGGGCTCGCCCGAGCTTGCTTTTGCCGCAAAGGGGCGTGGCCTGTCTGCGCTCTCCACCAACCAAGCAATATCTCTTTTCTGATCGTGTCAGGACCATTTTTTATAGGACTCAAAAAAAAAGCCCTGAAAATATAATTGATTCAAAAGGCTGTTCAGAGTATATCATCGAAATTTGAGATGCAAAATTTTTTTTCAGATTTTTCAAGCCAACTCTAGTTTCTGAACAGTCTTGGTAGCGTTAAAATCCGAAATTCTTGATTTTTTCCGATTTATTTGAAATTTTTTCCAGTCGCCCCCCAGAAACGAGGCTTCAAACGAGTTTGGGCCCAATACTGTGCGATTTTCCGTAAACGGATATTGTACTCGATGAGGAACTGGCCGCAGTTGATCAGTCAGGTCGTCGTTCCGTTGATCCTCCTTGGACTCGTCGTCATGATCTCCAACTGGACCAGAACCAAGGAGGATGAAGGTTAGATTCAAATGAGGAAAAAGGAAAGAAATATCTTTCTTTACTGTTTCTGAAAGCAAATGAAAGTTAGGTGACTAGAATAATATTTAGTTACTTTACTTTACAATTTATTAAAATAAAATCTGCACCTGCTAAGAGAATCATTCTTAGGGGCGCCAGAGTGGTCCCTTAAGTGGAAATTCAAGGAGCTCTTGTAGGCTTCCCTCAAGGGACCACCTCACCTTCCCCTAGCTTGCAAAAGTGGCCGCTTTAGGGGAGCATTCTAGTGGTCCCTATACGTCTTTTAAACTCTCAAACCAGTACAAAAACTTGGAAGATCACTTTAGGGACCACTTAAGCTTTAGGGGCTTATGCGTCAGAATCTAAACTCCTATAGAGGCCACCTAAATTATAGCCATGGACTTTTCTTTTCTTAACCCTCAAGGGACCACTTTACCTTCACTGAAGCTTATTTAAAAGCTTAGAAATTAAACCTTAAACCCCTATAGGGACTATTTAAATTGTAGCCCTCTAGCGAGCTTTTTTCCACTATTCGGGATTTTTCCAGACCCCTCTAGTGGCCACTCTGGCGTTGTAAATTCCTAAATCTCTTCACGGTTATTCTAGCTAGACAAATGAAAGTTCGAGAATTTTAACAATAATGAACGATAATGTTAATGCAGCCCGACACTTGTCGATGGACTCCTTCGGGTCCTCCCGGGTCGTTCTCCATGGATCCAACGGCTCTTCGACCTTTGCCCGGAATTTCGAAACCGCCATCAAATCGTGCGATTTCACGGTGGAACGCTACCCGATAACCTACCCGTTGAACAATATTTCCAACGATTTGGCTGGGGTGAATATTTTTCTGGAAATCGGGGTCGCATTTGGAATGGGTTTTATGAAAATTCGAGAAGGGCGTTTTTTTAAACTGTTTATTGCATCTTCAATGTAAGAATACATGTGCAATCGACTTTCATTGATTTGACTGTGTTTAAACGGCGGCAGGAGCTGTGGCTTAGGCAGAGAAGTTGTGAATTTCGCTCGTAGAACATCAGGTACAAGAGAGACTGGTCCTTCGAGGTACACTTTCAGGGCCGTGAAAAGGGCGTATTTTTCTACAATATTTTTGATCAATTTTAAGCTTGCTGGGCTTTTTTTTGGGTTTTTCACTGCTTCATGCAGAGAATAGAACATCCAAAATCTTCGAATTAAAATTAAAATTATAGTTAAGATCCAAAAATAAGGTGAAATGAACATGAAAAAAAAAATGATTTTTGAACTTTTCTTAGGGTGAACTTATATATTCTGACAATCGAAAATCCTAGAAAATTTCGTAAGTAGCGGTAGAATTAATTCACCATTGAGTTGAGAGTCAAAAAAAAAAGACTGCAGCGATGTCTGAACCTCTTCATTTCATTCACTGTTTTCATCATTCCAACAAGATTTTTTTTCAGCAATTTTTGCAGTTAAAGCTGATTTTTAATCGAAAGGTTTAGTGTTTCTCAGAGCGCGCGACCCAAAGCGGTTTACGCTTGGCTTTATTTAACAAAGATTGAAACAAGTCGGTGAATTAACCATTTTTTCATATAGAATAGTCTACACTATCAGAAGATCGAAAAATGTTTTTTCAAAATTTTCAAATCACGTAAAACTAGACCGATTTGTAAGGGAAAAAGGGTTTCCTAGAATATTTCAAGTTTTTTTGAAGTTATTGAATTTTTCTCAAACATGTCAAAAAAGAGAAATTAACACAAGATGTTGAAAAATTAAAAATATTTTTTTAATATCGATCCATTCCAAATGCGACCATTTACGATTACTTGAAACTGTCTGGCTACTCTGCGCTCTCTTCTCTCTCACCAGAGAGGTTATGGACACCATAAAATAGCAAATAAAAACGGGAGAGCCCAGAGAAATCAGAATTCTTTAAGTTGGAAAAAATCGAGAAGTTGAATTTCAAAATTTTTCCAGGAATTACCGGCGCCAGGCTTCGGCGCGGCTTTCATGGACGACGGCTCTTACTTGGGATATTTCAATTATTATGCTTATCATTCCCTTCCAACCATTGTTAGTGCAGTGAGCCAGGCCAGACTTCCACAGGGAAAAGGTTGAAATTTTGAAGAAATATTGATTTTTTGAATAAAAATGATTTAGGAACGATTTCGGCGTCAATGTACCTTTACTCCAAGTATTCGGAATCTGGAAAGGTGGGGAAAAGTTTTGAAAAATGGTGATCTGCAAGGCCAAAGTGGTCCTCAAAGGGAAAAACTGCCCTTATAAGGCACTGGATGAGCTATAATTTAAGTAGTCCCTATAGGGGCTCAGGGTCTGACCCTAAAACCACGAAAAGTCCACATACTGGGAATATTTTAAATGGTCACTGTAGAGGCTCGCCAAGGACTACTTGGAGAGGACACTAAAGTGACCACTAAACCCACCTCTATGATGGCCACTATTTTCCGCTTTAGTGGCCACTATAGAGGCTCGCCAAGGACACTAAAGTGACCACTAAAACAACCTCTATAGTGGTTATTATTTTCCGTTTAGTGGCCCCTTCAGTAGTTTTTCATCCAGTATTCCTTCCAGTAACTCTGATAATCTTAAAAAAAAACAGCTTCGATCAGTTATGTTTATCCATTGACCCCTAAAGTGGCCACTAGAGATTTTAGTGGTCTAGTAGTAGCCCTTAGACCTCTATAGTGGCCACTAACTCTTAACCCCTTAAGTGACCTTTCATTTGACTACTATAGTGGCCACTGAAACGTCAAAACCCCATAGTGGCCACTAAAAATTTTCCCAGTAGGAGTCTTTCAATATTTCGTTCTGATTTGAAACTTTAAAAGACGTATAGAGATCATTAGCATGCATCCCTAGAGTGGTCACTTTTACGAGCTTTAGTGCTCCCTATAAAAGAAGGTAAGATGGTTCCTTGGCCACACTGCCACTCTAGTGCCCACTTCAATCATTCTGTTGATTTTCCAGTGTTCTTTATGTTTCACGTCCACACTATATAACTTGATTCAAAATAACTGTGTTATGTTTACTGCATATGGTACGGGCAAACTGAGCTAACTGAGGAGTTTTGGGACTTTTCTGGAACGCCAGAGTGGTCCCTAAAGTGGAAATTCAAGGAGCTCTTGTAGGTTCCCTTTAACGAGCATTTTACGTCTCTTAAAGGGGCACTAAATATTGCAAAAGTGATCCCTATAGGGATTATGGTAAATGGCCTTCTAGGGGGAATGATATGGGTTCTTATACGTCTTTCAAACTTTGTAACTAAAAGGAAGTTTATTAGACCTCTATAGGGACCATTTGAACTTGAAAGCTGATTTTTTTTTCTCCTACCCCTATAGGGATCACTCTGGCGATACTTAGTAGAATAGAGAGAAGCGCCGGAAAAAGAATATTAATAATATTTTAACGCGAAACGATTCAAGAAATATTAATCTGTTCTTTTTTTTGAAAATTCCGCTTTCTTTCTAGAGATCTTACATGGGTACATTACAACGTAAAAAGTGCTCGAAAATTAGTTCTGAAATCAAAAACTTAGATCTTCTCCGGAACCATCATCGACATGTTCCTCTCGCCACTGTTGGTCCTGGTTTTTGCCATGCTCACCTCGACTTTTGTCATGTTCTTGATCGAAGAGAGAGTTTCGCAATTTGCCCACCAGGTAGGGTTTTATCAGTGGAGCGCACTTGTAAAATTTTAAATTCGGCTTTTTTCTCAACGCGTTTTTTGGTCTCTGAAAGAAAAATTTTTCTAAAGAAAAGTTGTTAAGTTTTCTCAAGCCGAAAAAAAACGGATTGAAATTGAGCTTCACCTTTTCACTTTCAAGTATAGATTTATCGATGGGGCGTACTTGCAAACCTTAAGTTCGGCTGTTTTTTCAATGCGTTTTTTGGGTCTTTTCAACGAGAAACTTTTCAATTTTTTCAAGTCAAAAATAACCGGATTGCAAGTTGAGTTTCACATTTTATCCGTGGAGCAAATTTGAAAACTAACAGGTGGCTGTTTTTTCTCACTCGACTCTAATTTCTGAAGAGCTGGAGATTTATAAGCCAAAGTGAAAAATGAGAAGTTTTTTTCATTTTATTTTTTTGTTAAAAAAACAGTTTTTTTAGCCTTAGAATTTGTATTTTTTTTATTGTGCGGCCATTTTTAGGGCGAAATTTGAAAGATTCCACGAGTTTTTTTAAATTTTTTTAAAAACAATTTGTGAGCTCCGATCAGGTCTTTTTACACTATCTATTAAAATTTTAGACAGTTAATGATTAATTTTTCTTATTTGAACTTGATTCTCTATAGAGCGCATTTGAACATCGAGGAAAAAATAAACAAGTAAAAAAGTATTTTTTCAGCAATCCTTGACCGGGATCTCGCCGTTCGTCTTCTGGTCGGCTTCCTTGCTTTTCGATTTGATATTTTATGCAATCGTTTGCACAATTTTCCTGCTGATGTTCATTTTCTTCAATTGGATGCATGGATACTTGGGATTGTGAGTTTTTTTGCGACGGGAAGGGGGGATTTTTTTAAAGGGTCCTATCATCTTTTTTTCTCCCCTAACCGTCGAAAAAAATATCGTTTCATGAGGAAAAAAATACTTTAATTTAACTTTTTAAAAACCAAAAAAATTTGACTTGTTCAGTTACTAAGAAAAATCTTCATTGCTTCCGTGTTCAGAAAAAATAAATTTCATTCGAATTTAGAAATTCAGTTCTGCTGGTTCATTTTTGAGAAGAAACACAGTTCAATTCGTTTTGGAGCTTTTTTTGAAGTTGAAAAAATCGGGTTCACTTCAAATTATTAAATTTTTTGAACTTTTTTGCAGATAAAGCCGATGTAGAAAAATGGCCAGTATAGTAGTCAAATTAGCGGCCACTCGAGGGGTAAAAAAATTAAAGGCCACTATAGAGGGCTAATACTAGACCACTTAAATTTTAGTGGCCACTTTAGGGGTCAATGGATCAACATAACTGGTCCAATCTGTTTTTTTTTAAAGTTATCAGAGTTACTGGAAGGAATACTGGATGAAAAACTACTGAAGTGGCCACTAAATAGAGAACCTCTATAGTGGCCACTAAAACGGGAAATAGTGGCCACTATAGAGAAGGGTTTAGTGGCCACTATAGAGAAGGGTTTAGTGGCCACTTTAGTGTTTAGTGGCCACTTTAGTGTTTAGTGGCCACTTTAGTGTCTTCTCCAAGTAGTCCTTCGCGAGCCTCTATAGTGACCACTTAAAATTTTCCCAGTAGGCCATTAACTTGAAGTCAAAGAAAAAGATTCTTTTATTTTTCGGAAAGAAAGTATATTTTGTATTTTTCCAGAGTCACCTTCCTCTGGTTACTGTACTTTTTCGCGTGTGTTCCTTTCATCTACTCGGTCTCCTTCTTGTTCTCATCTCCCTCGAAGGTTTGATTATCAACTTTTTAAAGGAAATAGAGAAGAAATTGCTAATTTTCAGGCTAATGTTCTTCTGATCATGTGGCAAATCGTGGCTTCTTTTGCCGCCATGTTCATTATGATCGTCGTCGCGACGGTTATCGATATCGACGCTTCAATCAAAGAGTTTATCAGGGTACTGTAATAATTTTAAAAATTGTCTTGGTCGCATGGAGAATGGCTCAAAAGATTGCGGATTTATGATAGTGCATCTCAAAAAAGCGAGAAAAAAAGAAGCTCAAAAACTTAGCTCGAAAAGAAAGAGAATATTTGCTCTATGGATAAAAAAATAGGAAAAACTTATTTTTGAAGTTTTTCATAATTTTTTTAAATTTCACAAGACCTAATTTCGAATAAGTCTATGAGAGTACTTATCAGAAAATACAGCGTTTACATTTGAAGTGAAATCTGAGGCTCGAAAAAAAATTCCAAAAAAAAACCACAGAACTTGTAGCTCAAAAAAAAAGAGAATATTTGCTCTATGGATAAAAATCGAAAAAATTATTTTTTTATAATTTCCATGGAAAAATATGACTATAGAAATTCCTCTATTTCGAGAAAAAATTTTGGTCAGTAGCCGCGACGCGTTTAGCCATTCCCGTGCGATTAATTTTTTTTTCCATTTTTAGTTCATTCTTCTGTTCCTGCTCCCCTCATTTTCCTTCGGAACCGCCCTGATCACTATCAACACCAGTGGAATAATGATGACGTTCGATGAGTTAATGCAATGGGATAATCTCGGTTTTGAGATCATTTTTATTTCCAATCCAAAGATGATTTTCAGGAAAGAATATCGTCTGTATGGCTCTTTTCGGCGTCGCTTCTTCGACCCTTTTCTTGGCGCTTCAGTTCAAGGTACGGAAAGAAATAATGAAAATTGGCAAAATCAGATTTTCGCTCATTTTATTTATTGATAGAAGATATAGCCAAAAAATCGTTTTTTTCTGAAATCTTTTTGAAAAAGCTTCCTTCGAAAATAGTTCCTATCATTTTACATTTCGGTTTGGAACCCTCTGAAAATTTGTAAGCACATTCTTTGATGTACCAGAAGAAGACCCTGAAAGTCCCAACCTGCCCAACTTCCTAGTTTTTGAGAAAGGACCCCTAAAAGTCAAGAAATCCCTGAAATTCCGTGGGCTATTTTTGGGCATTATCTTCGAAGGTCATTTTACTTTTTTGTTGGAAATACCCTGAAAATTGGCCAGAACACTTCTTGATGTACCAGAAGAGGACCCTGAAAGTCCCAACCCGCCCAACTTCCTTGTTTTTGAGAAAGGACTCTTCAAAGTCGAAAAAACCCTCAAATACCGTAAAAAATGGGCTATTTTGAGGCTTTGAGCCCTTATTTCTCGAAAACTAGGAAGTTGGACGAGTTGGGACTTCTTGGAACTCTATCTAGGACATTGAGGAGTCTTCGGGCCAGTTTTTAGGAATATCCCAACTTCAAAGTTAAATTACCCTTCAAAGTCGAAAAAACCCTCGAATTTCTTTAAAATAGGCTATTTTTGGGCATTGACCTGGGACTTCCACTTTTTGGTTGGGCATTCTTCAAAAAATGGCCAGAACACTCCTTTATGTACCTCGAATTCCGTTAAAAAAAAACCATTTTGAGGCTTTGAGCCCTTATTTCTCGAAAAGTAGGAAGTTGGGCAAGTTGGGACTTCTCGGAACTTTATCTGGGAAATATAGGAGTGCTCTGGATGATTTTCAAAGAGCTCCCAATTTTAAAGTGTAATGAACACCTTGTAAGGCTTCTTTTAACAGTTCTGATTTAGTCCTTTCATCAACCTTTACTGATTAATTTTGCTGTCTTTTCCTTTTCTCACTCTTTCTTAGGCTTTTAAAAAATTCTAACAAAGTTTAAAGGCTTGATAAAAAGGCCCTAAATTGAACCTTTCAGCGGCCTTTTTGTGTCCTAAATTTCCAAACTTTGCAGCAAGTGCGACGGTACCTGCAAAGCTTGTGGTGGAGACCCCGTCGGACGATGAGCAACGCCGTCGAAAGCGCCATCCCAGTTCGATTTGCCAAAAAAGAAGAATTTGTAACGATTGCCATTTTTTAATAATAATAATTTATTGACAGATCAGCGTGAACCCTAACGAGTTCACTTGGATCTAGAATTTGAGAGAATACATTATACAGTTAAACATCATTTGAGTCGTGGAGGAATAGACAAGAAGATCTCGTGCAATGGTAGATTGACCAGTAAATTTTTTTAAAGACTTGGGGTGGTGGCTGAATTGAAATTTGGAAGTGAGTTTGTTCCAAGTAGGAATTGTTTTTAAAAGAAAAAAATCATTAGAAAACTGACCTTGAGAACGCAGTCGAAGTGGATTTCGCCTTAAATTGGACCTGAGGGCAAAAAAAGTTCGAACTGGGGAAAAATGATCGATACCGAAGACAATTTTATGAAGGGTCAGAATGTCAGATATAGCTCGTCTGAGGTAAAGTGGAGAGATATCAAATTGTTCAAGGCGATCAGAGTAAGATTCAAAGGATAAGTTGGACCTAATAAAAAAATTTTTACGAGAAAAAAATTCTGAGAGGAGATTCCAGTTTGTAGCAGAGATCAGAATTAAGGGGAGGGTTAAAAAAACTTCGGAGCAGTATTCTAGAATAGGCCTTACATAGGTGTTAAAAAAATTTTTGAACAATAGATCAGGTGATTTGGAACGAAAAACAGTTGAGTATCTGATTGGAACGAAGAGTTGCTAAAGAAACGATATTGTTAATGTGAGGAGCGAGAGTTAGTTTATCATCGATAAGAACACCTAGATCGCGGATAATGGTTTTTTTCTGGGAATAGACAGACCATTGATTAAATAAGTTGTTTTGGGATTGAGGGGACCAAGGTTGATAGCAAAAAGTTTTGTGCGCAGCAAGAGGCAAAGCCCCAAAATGGAAGACCATTCAAATATGGAATTAATACTACGTTGGAGAGATTCAGGGTTAGAACTGTAAATTTTTTTATATCATCAGCGAACAGAGAGATTGAGGTTTCATGGTCAATGTAGTTAACAATATCATTGATGAAAAATTAGAAAAAAAGCAAAGGACCAGATACAGTTCCTTGAAGGACACCGGAAGTATTGAGATAAGTAAGAGAAGAACGGGATCCATCGATCAGAACATTAGAAACACGCTCAGATAAGAAGTTTTTTTGTACCATCGAACAACGTTTTTCGTCAAGACCAAAGTTCTTGAGCTTATGAACAAGCAGAGAATGATTAACCTTATCAAAAGCCTTGGCAAAGTCAAAATAAACAACATCGACAAATTTTTTCGAGGCGATAGATTTTTGCCAAGAGGAGAGGCAAGATAGAAGGTTAAGCTTGCAAGATCGTTTGTTTAAAAAACCAAACTGAGATTCAGAAAACAATGAGGAGAATCTCCGGCGAATCATATCACAAATAATCCTTTCAAAGACCCGGGACAAAGGATGTGTCAAGGATATAGGGCGGTAGTTTGACGGATCTGAAGTTTTTCCACGTTTGAAAATAGGAATTACCGTGGTAGATTTCCAGGAGGGTGGAATGAAACCGGAATAAAATGATTCGTTAAACAGAATGGACAGAGGAATAGAAATAGATGTAGAGCACCTTTTTAAAACAAGTTGATTGATTAAGTCAGGCGAAAAACCGCATTTGGGAGGTAAAGCTATCAGAGTTTTATAAACAAGTTCAGGAGTGAACGAAATAGAGCAGTTAGTGGCTTTCGGGGAAGGGAAAATGGGCATCAAATCGTAAACTTCATCAGAAAAATTTGTACTAAAAATTTGAGCAAAAACATCTGCTTTTGAGGAGCTTTTCAGAAATAAAGGGAATTGTTGTAAGTAATGTTGGGGATGGAAGAACAACATTTGAGTTTTTTGGAGATATATTTGGAAAGTTGAACATGGTTGAAATTGTTAGCAATGTAAGTTTCCTGTGCCAAGGAGATGGAGGAGGCACAAGCTTTGATTTTTTTATACAGTAGATTGAATTGGAGGCGGGTAGAATTATTGAAAAGATTAGCACGAATGAGACTGGCTCTTTTAATATTTAGCCGGCGAATGCGATTGTCATGGTTGAATGGGCGACGTCTGATGGGGGGAGATAGAAAACTAGAACAGGAATCACGAACAATTTCATTAAAAATTTTTAAAAAATGAGAAAATTTACTCTCAACAGAGGAAAAATAGCTGAACTGCCGATCCCAGTTGAAAGAAGAAATTAAGTCGTTAACTCTAGAAAAATTACATTTTTTTAAATTGAGCTTTCGAACGGATGATGTGTGGTTAATCGGAGAACAGACAGAAATGGAAAATAGAATGGAAAAGTGATCGGACCCTAAGAGTGGTTCAGAAACTGACAAATCCGAAAAAAGAGAAGGGTTGGTTGTTAGAAGTAAGTCCAAAATGTTAGCAGTGCTTGAAGTGCAACGAGTAGGAGAGTGAACTAATTGAGTAAGGTTAGAAGTGATAGTAAAAATCGAGAAAGACTGAAGAAA